TAAAAAAATGCAAGCCCTCTACCAGTTATATAAAACAAAATAGACTTGTTGGATGAATCCCATATCCAAAAATCACCTGATGTCCCATGGAAGACTTGCTACTTCTTTCAAATACTTGGAGTTCCATGAACTAATTTAGAGGACTGGATTGTTACATATTTCGAGTTCATCTTCTAACTGTTGAAAATGAAAATATGATCGTCTCATCTGTCATCTAAGTACTATTATTTGCCCCATCCAGAGTTATAAAAGTATAGAGGACACATTCATCCAAAATGCCATCCTTCTTTTTGTAGACCTTCTGGTCATATGTTGCAAACACAAATACATATCTCAAGGGTAGGCAACCTTCGGCACTCCAGATGTCATGGACTACATCCCCCATAATGCTGGCAAAACATCATGGGAGGTGTAGTCCAAAACATCTGCAGTGCCAAAGGTTGCCTATGCCTGAGATATATCATTAACTGAAACTGAAATTAGTCTTCCTCAAGTAATAAACATGGGCCAGATTTCATTTAGCCAACAGGAAGGTCTTTTTGCAATAAAGTATTTGGCCTTATCACTCTCTTTTTATGATGGTAATATACAGACATAAGGCAGGTCCTGGATATAGCCATTGTTTACATTATTTTATGGCACTCCATCCTAGCTGCTCCTGAATGTAACCTTTATTTGAAGAATGCAGGGGGAGGATTAAAAACAAGGTCCTGACCGCGGTCACAAAGGGTTCTTCAAATATATCTAATTATAACAAATGTCCATACAACAATAACAAATTATTGCATATAAAAAAGGGTATTACCCCAAAAATAGTTTATAAATAATTAAAACATAAGTTATTTCACTACCTACATACAAGATGTACAACAATGAGTACACATGATTTTTTTTTCTATCAAAAGTAGATGGATGCAGAGGTTTCTATGAACATCAGAATGGTGGTAGATGCAATATTTTTCAGGGCTGGATATTCCTTCAATATATTTAGCTCTCAAATTAGCTTTTTTAGACTGGGAATGAAAAGTAAAGATCAGTAAGTGGAACAAAGGACATAGGGGGTGGCGGCTGCACCTTTTTTTTTGTATAGAGAACTTCATTTGGGATAAAGTTTAAACATAGGTTCTCAATATATAACTGGGGATGCAATGTCATTTATACACTGATCAGCTACAACATTAAAACCACCTGCCTAATATCATGTAGGTTCCCCTCGTGCTTCCAAAACAACTCTGATGCATCGAGGCATGGACTCCACAAGACCTCTGAACGTGTCCTGTGGTATCTGGCACACAGATATTAGCAGCAGATTCTTAAAGTCCTGCAAAGTGCAAGGTGAGGCCTCCATAGCTCTGATCTGTTGTTCCAGCACATCCCACAGATGCTCCATCAGAATGAGATATGGGGAATTTGGAGGCTAAGGCAACACCTTGAACTCTTGGCCATGTTCTTCAAACCACTCCAGAAAAATGTATGCAGTGTGGCAGGTGCATTGTCCTGCTGAAAGAGGCCACTGCCATCAGGGAACACCTCTGCCATGAAGGGATGTACATGGTCTGAAACAATCTCTTGGTGGGTACTACATGTCAAAGTCAAAGAACATTGTCCATGGCATAACACTGCCTATGCCGGCCTGTCTTTTTACCATAGTGCATCCTGTTGCCATCACTTCACCAGGTAAACCTGGTCATCCACCTAATCTATAAGAAAACGTGATTCATCAGACCAGGCAACCTTCTTCCACTGCTCCATGGTCCAGTTCTGACACTCACGTCCCAATTGAAGGCACTTTCGGAAATGGACAGGTCAGCAAGATGAGTAATCTCTCCCTCCTTTAATGTGACCGCACCGATCAGATGCGGTCAAACTAAAGGAGGGAGAAATTACTCACCTTGCCTCCAGCGCCTCTCCCTCCACACAGCTCCTGTAACAGCGGCCAGGTCCAGCGCTAGGAAGGATGCCGGCCGCTGCAAGGCGGCGCTATATGATAGCGGTGCCCACGATGACATCACTAGTGACGTGAATGTGCACGTTTTTTCGCTGTGTACGCACATTCTGGGGTCATGGGACCCAATTTAGCAAATAGCAGATTTACCAGGTTATTTAAACCCAACCCTGCAGATGTTCAGTGCGCTGTCGTGGTTTCCATCCTGTTGATTATCTGACAGTGCGTTCCTGTTTACTTATATTTGGTTATTGATCTTGGCTTGGCTTGACTTTCCTTATTTCGGTTATTCCTGATCCTTTCACTTTGTTCTTACCATATTTGTTCCTTTCTGTATTCCTAACCTTGGCTCGTTACTGCTTATTCTTTTACATTAAATCCGGCCATTCTAAGGCCCGATAATAAATTGTTACTGTTTGTTATTTTTCCGTGTTTGACTTAATTCTGAGTGTTGGGCCACTGGTTCGTCCTGACACACACGCACAGGTCTGCAGCTACACAGCCCCATATGCAGCAAACTGCAATACACTTTGTGTTCTGACACCTTTCTATAATGGCTAGCATTATGTTTTTCAGCAGTTTGAGTTACAGTAGTTCTTCTGTATGATAGGACTAGACAGGCTACACCATATACTGGATAATGGAGGAGTATGTGGTGTAGTATTTTTCACAATATGGAAAATGAAGAAAGAAATGCACTTACAGGTGGTTGGAGCTTTCAAGAGCTCCACCGCTATGTGCGTGAGCAATACAAGTCTCGCTTAAGACTACCTGGACGGGGCAGAAAAAGGAAGCTATTATTGGCTTCAACCAGATTACTGATAAGGCAGGTCGTGAAAAAAGCTTGAGTGACTGCAAAAGACCTGTAGTAAGACTTGGTGGCAACAGGCACTGAGGTTTCAGTGAGCACAGTAAGGCGCATTCTAAACACAGACGGTTTCCATGCCAGAACTCCAAGACGTACACCACTAATGACCCAAAAGCACAAGATAACTTGGCTCCAATATGTTGGATTTGTGGGATTCTGTTCTGTGGTGCGATGAAACAAAGTTGGAACTTTTCAGCCCAATGGATCAGCGGTATATCTGGAGGAAGAATAATGAAGCATACGCTGAAAAGAACACTCAGCCTACAACTGAGCATGGTGGGGGCTCAGTAATGTTCTATGGCTGCGTTGTATCCTCTGGCACTGGAAAACTGCAGCGTAAGAAAGGCAAGGTGGATTCATTGAAGCATCAGGAAATCCTAGGAGAAAATGTCATGCTGTCTGTGAGGAAGCTGACGCTTGGGTGTCATTGGACTTTCCAACAGGAAAATGATCCCAAGCATACCTTAAATTCACCCAAGGCGTGGTTGCATGGGAAGTCCTGGAAAATGTTACAGTGGCCATCACAGTCACCTGACTTAGAAAGAGACATAGAAAATCTCTGGTGGGATTTAAAGAAGACAGTTCCAACATGCAAACCCAAGAATATTACTGATCTGGAGGCCATTGCTCATTAGCAATGAGCTAAGATTCCTCAGGAACGCTGCCAGAATGCTGGTGTCTGGCTATGCTTCCCATTTGCAGCAGGTCATAACAGCAAAAGGCTGCTCTACTAAGCACTAAAGATGCTTGCCATGAATGGGTTGAATCATTTTGAGACTGGAGATGTCTTTATAATTTGCATTTTCAGTTGAACTTGGGGAAACCACTTGAACCATTCATTGTGTTGAGCTATTTCAATTGCTTTTGTTTCATTTGTTCATTGCGAACAGCTGGAAGTCTGTAAATTGTGACAATAAATCTGATTTTCAATGGGGGTTAAATCATTTTGATTACAACTGTTAGAGCTCCCAAAGTCTGTCCAACCATACTGTAGCCCACAGTGACAAGACTCGACCATAAAGCATTAAAGAGCCCGGGAATCGACTGGGCCCCTGAACAGAGTATGGGCTTAAAGTGGCAATGTCATGGCCGAATCCATCCATTTTAACCCCCCTCCGGACTCTACTACATCTAATTGTCCCCCTAGTTACCACCAAATACCCCTAAGTCCCCCAGCTTACCTATTTTTTCATCTTTATTTTGTGCCTGGACCTAGGTCCTGGGCGCCGCCATCTTTGCGTGGGTAGATGTGGGACACGTCATCTGCTCACACTAGATAGTGCTGTGAAATTCCCGCGCATGCCCAGTTAAAAACTTGGGCATGCGAACAAGAATTTCATCTTTTCATTAATTCATCAGAAAGACAAATAAATTAATAGAAATTTCAAACAAATGAACGAAGACCTCTTTGTTCATTCGTTTGGTTTATTACAAGGAGGGAGCTACTGGCTCACAGTTCCCTCTTTGTAATATGTAAAAATAAAAGCGTCAGAGAGCGGCGTGCCCGCATTACACCTCCCCATAAGAAAGAATTGAATCAATGCTTTCCTATGGGGAAAAATGTTGACGTTGGATGTCCTTATGCAGCGCGTGAGGACGTCCAGCGTCAAATAACGGACCAAAAGTCTGTTGCGATTCCAGAAGTGTCTGGTAGACAGCCACTGAGGGTAGACTTAGTGCTGCAATGTTAACATTGCAGTTTCTCTGGAACTGCAATGTTTTATATTGCAGCACTAGGTGCAAAAGGGACACAGCGCCTAGGCCACTTCAATAAGCTGAAGTGGTCTGGGTGCCTACAGTGTCCCTTTAAAAGTAAAAAAATATATATGTTCTACCTAATATCCCGGGGCGCATTAGTTCAGCCACTACTCCACATCATTAGTGTTGATTCATTGCTTCCCAGTAAAGTTAAGGCCAAATTAAAAACAAAACTGACTTGAATTTCCTCAATTCTCACTGTAGTCATCAACCCTGCCTGTGTGTGTTTTATGCACATACCCATTGCAAAGTTATTCAGTCAAGTTTTCATCCAATGTGAATTCCAGCTTCCAGGCCCAAAACAACTGAAATGGAACCATTCTCCAAGTCACCTATTCTATTCAATCCCTTCTAGTTTGCCCTAAAATACGAGAATTCTCTGTGAATTCCCACAATCCACCCTTTAGGTAATAACCCTGTGAGCTGTGTATGAGCTGTACAGCAAGAGCAGCCTCCTCTCTCCCACCCACCCCCAGTGGAAGGAGGAAAGAAGGAGGGGAGGTGGAGAGCCGACCGGCCAGCCAGCCAGTCAGCCAGCGCAGGGAGGTGGGGGCCCCACTCTGGAGGAGCTCTCACACGGATGCTGTTTGGTGCAGGATTGGCCTCGCTCTATTCCCGGCTGCTGCTGTCCATGCTCTCCCCGGCGCCCCACCAGGATTAAAGCCCCTCCAACACCTCTCCCCGGATCTTGCTGCTCCCATCACCACCATGTGGCCCCCCCGGAATGTTCCCCGCGCCATGGCCGAGCGCAGCCAGACCCGAATTGGAACCCGGTGAACGGGGACAATGAGCGGCGACCAGGAGCCAGAGTGAGTGCTACCTGTACACCCTGTGTCTATAGACCGTGTAGGGGGCCCTTTAATGGGCACTTTGTGTTTCTGCCCACGGATGAGGAGTTCTGAATACATTGTATCTGTTTACTGCATGGGCTGCGTGCGCCCAACATTCCAACGTTCTATCCGTATCCATGATATACAGTCCTAGCAATACTCTGCTTAGAAATAGCTTTATGGGTGTATTACATGCAGGGCATGCATTGCTATGGAGTAAAATCACTGCCTCGTTCTATATTGCCTGTTGGTCTGTTTCCTGCACATTTTCTTGCATTAGATCCCTAATTATCCTGTTGTCCAATCCATATATTGGATAATGTCATTCACTAAGTGCTTCTAGAATTGTGAATCACAGAAAGCTGGGTAGCTGGCCTAGTCTCCATGGCTGTACATATGGTATCTGTTTGCTAGTTCTGTGTGCAGCTATGTTTCGTGTACTGTGTGCAGCCCCGTTGCATGTTTGATCCCTTACAGTTTGGGAGTCCTTGTATATTGCTTGAACGTTTTTTGAGAATTCTGATCCTTGTTGCATATGTATTTACAAACATAGGAATGTCCATATACCTCATTTGCCAGTCATGTATATGTATGCTTATTCTTCCATATACCTTTCTGAGTATATACATTTAATTTTAATCCTCACAAGAAGCATATCTCAAAAACTAGTGTCTAATATTATTTTAGACTAGTTTCTATGCTGTATGTAAATATCCACATGTTGTGTGTGTTTTTTTTTTTTTGTTTTTGTTTTTGTGTGCATTTAAAGTTGATTTATTTGTGTTATATGTTTAGTTTATATAGGAGGCTATTGCATGTAATTATGACTTACACAAGTGTCTGGATTCATGTTTATTTCCCCCCAGATGATTCTAAAACAAAGGTGTAAATGCTTGCCTAACTATTTACTGTGTATTCGTTAGTATGTTTAAATGTATGTGTTCTGGTGTACTTGGTGCATACTCTCTCTCTCTCTCTCTCTATATGCTATAAAAACTAGCTTCCTGCATGACTCACCTAAGTCATGTTCCATTGTTAATGTCATGATATGAAGAATTATGGTGTGGCTAATGTGCCTGCAGGCATGGTAGAATGTACAGGTAGAAGTGCAAGATTAACTAGGATCTGTTATTTCTGTGTATTGCAAAAATACATTGAGACAAACATGTGCTCCCAACCTTATATGAAGTTTTCATGACATGCCATGAGATATTGATTGTGACCCTTTTTTCTTCTAATACATAACAGGCAGATTGCATTTTGTGAGAATGGAATTTCTGTGTTTAATAAATGCTGTGTGTGTTAGTCTGTCATTTGGGTATAAAACAACGCTTTTATATTAATTAACATTGCTGGGTTATAATGTTATGTATATGCAGTTGAAACAGTGTTTATGTGTACCCCGTGTATCAACTATGCTAGTATTCTAATACCACCAGCTCAGAGACACTGTATGTAATTCATTGTCACAATTTGTGACACTTGCGTGTTGTATGTTCGTGTGGTTGGTAATCTGAATATACCACTAGTATACTCCTAATGCTTTATGCCATTTAGCTTTGTGACTGTAAACGCTATCAGATATATCTTTTCAGATATACATGTCTTGCAGTGTGCTGTAATTATTGCAATTAATTGCAGGGGTGTCCAAAGAGTAGATGCCCAGAGGTCAAAACTCCAATTCCCATTATGCTTCTGTAGCTACAATAGCTGAAGACTATATTTTTGTCCAGCCCCAATTTGTGGGTTGTTTGTTCGTTTTGCTATGTCCTAATGTGTCTAGTGCTGAGTGTCTGCTCGTTGAGTGCCAATCACGAGTGTCACTCATTGTGTTCACTGTAATGGGTGTCCTGAATGTTTGTTTATTTCCTGTGTGGTGTACTCCCAGTGTCCGTTCCCTGTGTGTTGCCTGTCAACTCTGCTTTTCCAGTTTCCTCAGCTAATTTCTTTTAAATTTATTTTTTATTTAAAGTTGCCTTGTTCAATATGATTATTTTCTTTGTGTCTTTTTGTGGTTTGTTGTTTATTCCCTATGCTCAGTGCCTGCTCCATGTGTTGCTCTCTGTGTACTGTATGCAGCCATCCGCCATGTTGTGCTGCTGTTTTGTGAATTGTTCTTGTTTGCATAGCAGGATCCCATTCATAAAATGTTCCCTCCCCATGTCACCTTCACATACTATGACATGTTGGAGAGACTGGAGGGGGAAGGGCAGGCAGAGGCGAGAGAGCTAAAAGCAAGTCAGGCTGAGCAGAGTGGTTTTTCAGGCAGGACAGGCTGTGTGTGTATGTGGAGGGAGGGTTAGAACTGTGCAGGCCAAGGTTAGTGGGGGTATCGGGCAGCACAGCCTGGGGAGGACTGTTAGTTCAAGTCAGACTGAGTAGAATGGGGATGATTTTGACAATCTTTAGGGTGTAGGACGGGCTGAGTAGTAGAGGAGAGAAGAGACTAAATTCAGGTTTTAAGGATAGACGGGGGGATAGGGCAGAGTATAGTCAGGATAAAAGGGGGGCTCAGCCAGGGTAGGCTGTGTTTAAGGGGGGCATATAGTTGACTGAATATAACAAATGGGCTTGGACAAAGGTATGCTGAGGATAAGGGGGTGGTAGACTGAAAATAAAGAGGGTTCTAGAATAGTGGTAGGCTGAAGATTAAGGGGGTGCTAGGATAATGGTAGGCTGAAGATTAAGGGGGTGCTAGGATAGTTGTAGGCTGAGGATAAAGGAGGTCTAGGATAGTGGTTACCTCAGATTTAGGAGGTGTTAGAACAGTGTATGTTGGACGACCAGGTAGGCAGAGAATAAAGGGGAGGTAGAACAGGGTGGACTGATGATAAAGGGGGAGGTAGAACAGGGTGGACTGACGATAAGGGTGGTAGAACAGGGTAAGACTGAGTATAAGGGTGGTAGAACAGGGTAAGACTGAGGACAAAGGGGGGCTAGGACAGGGTAAAACTGAGGACAAAGGGGGGCTAGGACAGGGTAAAACTGAGGACAAAGGGGGCTAGGACAGTGTAGGCTGTGGATAAAGGGGGGCTAGGACAGTGTAGGCTGTGGATAAAGTGGGGTGGGGGCTAGGACAGGGTAGGCTGATGATAAAAGGGGTCTAGAGCAGAGTAGTCTGAGGTTAAAGAGGGGTAGTATAGGGTAGACTGAGGATAAGGGGCTAGAACAGAATAGGTGGTGTATAAAGGAGGGGGCCCTGACCGGTTAGGCTGAGGATAAAGGGGGCGGGGGGGCTTTGGGCATAATAGACTTTGGACTATGTCAGGGGGTTTGTGCATGACAAACTGAGAAGTTATTGGGGTGGAATTGCACCATGACAGACTCAGGAGAATTTTGCGAGTTTTGGGCATATGAAAAATATGGGTGAATCTTATGGAAGCGTTGGCCAATAACATGGCCTGTTCGTGTAGGATGGGATTAATGGATTATGGCAGGTTGGGGAGAACATTGTAGGGTTTGGGCAAATGAACTTGAGAAATAAAGGCTGAAAATAAATATTTTAGTGTAAAATAGTGTTCTTAGAATGGGGAAGTTTAGTCCATGGTAAACCCTTTATTTTCCTTCGTCCAAGAAGTATATGGAAGTCCTTTTAAGGATATAGTGAGCAACATCGTGTAGTTATAAAGGATATGGAGATCTGAATTAGGGAAAGTTTTATATAAGTGTTGAAGCTGAGGAGAGGTGGTGATATATTGCATATACATATGGCTGAGACATGTAGAATTGTGTATTCTGTCAGGCAGGGTTGAAAGTACTGCCCGACAACATGCAGAAAGCTTTAAATCTCAAACGTATCAACAGGACTGACTTATAGATTTATCGCTGATATCCTATGAATTACAGATACTGCTGGGCAGTATTTTCAAGCCCTGGCCAACAGAATGGCAGAATTCATGGTGCCCTATAAATCCGGTAAATGAAGACACACACACAGTATAGACATTTATCAGAGTCAGATAAAACCATCTCACTTTTTTATTTAGTTTTTTCAAAACCATTAATCGTATTATATATATATTTTTTTGTATATGCTTTCTGTTGCTCTCAATCTTTCTTCCCTCTCTTAGCTCCTATATCTCTCCCCTCTCCCTCTTTCCTCCTCGTCACAGCCCCCCTCCCCTTCCCCCCCTTTCCTGGCCTCTCCCTCTTTCCTCCCCCTCTGCCTGTTGACACAGTTATGTGGGAAATATCAATTCAGGGAGGCTCTGGTGTCACATGACCACCTCCTCCATTCATAAAATACCTGTGTCCATTCACAATACACTGAGTGCATGAGTCCACTAGCAACATACACACACACACCTGCAAATGCTTGCTTTTCACAGACAATATGACCTCAAGGGTGTGTGTTTGGAGGGGAGGGGAGGGGCGGGGGGGGGGAGAGGGAGAGAGTACCCATGTACACTAGCCTTTGGAGAGGGGGAGGGGAGAGTACCATTTATGTATACTTCTGCCTTAGGGGAGTCACCGCTCACAGACTCTCCTGTTTTGCACGTTTCCCATTCATATTACAGCTCTGCCTGGGGACACGTGTTGTTCACAGATACTGCTTACCTTGGGTTTATTTAACAATCCTTGTGAGATGAATAGTGTGTCTTATAAACAGATACATTTATATGCTGTTTGGGAGAGGGTTATTGTTGAGTTCACAGTCTGCAGGTGATGCTACAAGTATGATACAATTTATAAATGTGGTCTTGGCATGACTCATGCATTGCCACTGATTAAAAGCAAGGATTTGTGGATAATCTGGGGTCTTCTGCATATTGTGTGTGTATATAGTCTCTTTCCCTTCTCGTCTTTCATTTTATAGATGTGAATGAGATTTGTGTATACTGATAAAATTGGTAAGGGGATTGAGGAAGGGGTGGATGGCACCAATGATAGTCGAAGGGAGGGGGACGTTGTTTCTGGGCAAAGTCATTCCATCCAGGAGAAAAAGGGTTAACATTTGGTCTTCCTTTTTTTTTTTTTTTTTCTCTCCTTAATGGGTGTTTGTAATATAAGGACACTCCTCCTTGGAAAGAGCTCTGCATTCCGTAGATATTCCTTTCCTGGGGTATGCCATGCATATCCAAACTCTTTCCTAGGGGAAATGCCATTTGAGCTGTATTCTTTATAGCAAGGGCCAAATACATCACCACTTTGATAATGTGCCCGTTGACGCACAGGTTTTTTTTTTAAGTGTACATGAAACTCTCATCAATTATCTGTTAGATATGAGCTGTAGATTTATTTACTGTGTGGTTGCAGCACATACAAGGCTTTGTAGGTTTTTTTTTGTGTGTTTTTTGTCGTTGTCGTTGTTGTTGTTGTTGTTTTCTTTGGTCTGGTTTTCTGGCAGGTGGTAAATATGTAATATATTTGGTAAAATGTACAGAATTATTTAACCTCTTCACTACCACACAATAAAGTACTAAACAACACCAACTCATGGCGATAAATGTAAAAAATGTATTTAAAGCTTGAGTGTATTTGCAGAAAAATTAAGATAAATATTGCAGGTAGCAAAACATTTTAGATTGGGTACATTGACAGAAAATACACATTTCATTTAATGCATTACCATATTTTAAATAAATGCAGTTAATAAGTTTAGTTTCTAGAAAACGAAAATCTGTTTAGAAAGGGCAAATATAGTTGCTAATGTTTGTGTTTAGTGTGCCCTGTCCTTTTACTGCTGCCCATTGAAGCACTGTATTAGTTTAAGGCCCTTGTATAATGCTGGAATGGAAGATATTGTACACAGTTCCTCTGAGCATGATAGGACTATAAATGGATATTGGTTTATAAAAAAAATTTCTTCCGCGAAGTTTAGTGTAATCCTGTGTATTCACTTTGCCCCAAATTATACCGAAGACATCATATTGCAAATTTGTTACCATTTTAATTTGGAAAATGTTTACCCCAAATCGGCTATGTCACAGTTTTCTTAATCTGATTTTAATCTTAATTTTGCAATATGGTTTTTAATTTACTACAAAAAAATACACCTGATTGGGGATGGGTGGCAGACGTCTGCTACAAATGTATACAGTGGGTTAGCAGTGACAGGGTTAACTCGTTAGCAGTCGGTGATCTGTCCTGCTGCACAAAAATATTAATACTTTGCTGCTACTGTTAACTCTGTGAATATGTACTAAATCAATTATATAGCCTGTAGCCACTTATATACCATGGCAAAAGATGTTTTTGGTTTTTACCCACACTGTGCAATAATTCTGTGAAGGCCCAATTTTTTAACAAACAGGGTTCTTAATTTGAGGGTTTATACATTAACCAGTGAATTGCGGGGGAACTAAAAACCAAATGATAAACTACAGGGCCGAAATAGCTCTAGTTACTGGAGAATTTTCAGCCATTTTTGCTTCAATATTATTATTATTTTATTATTTACATAGCGCCATAAGATTCCGTAGCACTGGACAATGGGTGGACTAACAGACATGTAATTGTAACCAGACAACTGGACTTACAGGAACAGAGAGGTGGAGGGCCCTGCTCAATGAACTTAGATTCTAATATTGATATTTGATATTCAATTTACTATTCAAAAAATCTCTATTGAGTAAATAAAAAAATAAAACCCAATATTGGGAAATACAGAGAATTACTAATTGAATTGCAAATTTTAGGCTAAAATAAATAATTTTCCAGCATTTATTATTATTATTAATAATGGTATTTATATAGCGCTAACTAATTCCACAGAGCTTTACAATATTATTTGTAACTCTATTTTCCAGTTTGCAATTCTCCTGTCAATTATTTAAGATTTTGATTTACTGAACTATCTGGAATATTTTAGCCAGAGCAAAATACAAGATATTTTTTCTCTCTATTCTATTTTTTTTAGGAATGTTTGAGGGTCGATGTCTACAGGATGCTGTTGAGACAATAAATAGAATTTTAAGCAAAGCATATATCTTGATAGGGAATAACATACTTTGTGACTGTAACATTTTTTTTTTATAAGAAATTCTCATCTTCCCTTTCCTCACATGTTCCAATGTGAACTAATTTGTATATTTACTATTAACAAGAATTTCTGATCTACAGTTACCCTTTTATGGACAAGAGGTTTTGCTTAGAATCTTCACTGAGGTCCCCTGTATGGGGAAGGGTTTGTGCAAAGTGTGGGGCTTATTTATTAAGCGGTAAATTCTGGGGAGCTAAATATATTTTTCTATTAAACAGTCTGGTTTTATCCAGTAAAGCAGAACTGTTGAGAAAAAACAAGAGGATCACACAATTTTGACCAAACTCGCAGAACTGTAAAAATCCCCCAACTTCTCCATGGTTTTAATGGGCTAAAATGTGCGATTTTATTGTCAATTTCCTACAGTAAATAAACCCTTCTGTTTATCCTTCCTCTGGCTATCAAAGGGTGTCAAAATATGTAAAACCTCACGGGTTCCCAATTCAGCTTGACGTATTTGCTTGATTCACATTTAAACAAAAAATTTTCTGTGTTTTTGTTATTGTGCCTTTTTATATATTTCTTTCTGTGACGGAAATAATCGAAGTTCACTTTGACCTTATTTGGAATAAGGAATCTGTCTGCAACATATTTTATGTGCATGAGTCACAGTAAGATCGAGCAAAATTCCCAGAAATATATATTATTTTGTATATTGTTTTCAGGGTTTTTATTTTTTATTTATATGTATACATTTTTGGTAATCTTTTAATAAAGGGCTTGAAAAGTCCACGACTCCTCGATTTTAGTTAAGGCACAGAAACATCTTGAATAATTTTATTTAGAACTGTGTACATTTCCCCTCCCTGTTTCCGAATGTATAATTAGGTCTCCTTCACAGTATATTTGTCCAATTTCAGAAATGTTACTCCAGTCAAATCATTAGTTCAAGTATAGATTTAACAGTGCTCAAAAATTTCACTCGCCCTGCTAAGAAGCTGGTAGTAATTTTTAAGTTCATTCACATATTCACTATATGGACAAAAGTATTGGGACACCTGACTATTACACCAATAGGGACTTTTATGACTACATTCTAAATACATCAACATTGATATGTAGTCCCCCCCCCCCCCCCCCCCCCTTTTCGCAGCTAGCTTCCACTCTTATGGGAAGGCTTTCCTCCAAATTTTGGAGTGTTTCTGATGGAATTGTTGCATATTCATCCTGTAGACTATTTGTTTGGTCAGGCACTGATGTTGAATGAGAAGGCCTGGCTCTCAATCTCTCTTCCAGTTCATCCCCTAAGGTGTTCTATGGGGTTGAGATCAGGACTCTGTGTGGGCCAGTAAACTTCTTCCACGCCAAGCTCATCCATGTCTTTATGGGCCTTGATTTGTGCATTGGGTCGCAGACATGTTGAAATAGAAAAGGGTCTTCTCAAACTGTTCCTACAAATTTGGAAGCAAAGCATTGTCCAAAATGTCTTGGTATGCTGAAGCATTATGATTTTCCTTCAATGGAAGGAAGGGACCTAGCTCAACCCCTGAAATCCTACCCCATACCATTATCTCTCCTCCACTAAACATTACAGTTGGCACAATGCAGTCAGGCAGGTAACTTTCTCCTCACATCCGCCAGACCCAGACTCGCCAATCAGACTGCCAAATAGCAAAGCATGATTTTTCACTCTACAGACCACGTTTCTACTGCTCCAGAGTCCAGTGGAAGCATGCTTTACACCACTCAGTCCAATGCTTGGAATTGTACTTGGTGATGTGAGGCTTGCATGTAGCTGCTTGGACATAGAAACCCATTCCATGAAGCTCCCACTGCACAGTTTTTGTGCGGATATTAACCCCTTCAGGACACATGACGGAAATATTCTGTCACGATTCCCTTTTATTTCAGAAGTTGTGTCCTTAAGGGGTTAATGCCAGTGGAAGTTTGGAACTCTTACTCTATGGGGTCGTCAGAGCATTGGTGACTTTTACGCATCATGCTGATGGACATGCTCTTTGCCCTGTTCTCTATGTCCATAACAATGTGTCTTCTCTCTTCTTCCAGTGTTAGTATATAGCACACACAATGGTAGATTTGGCTTGTAGTTGCTCAGTCAGGGCATATTGTGTGCGGCGTTGTTCCAATGTGTCAATGTATCTGTGTGACAGGTCTGACACTTGTCATACTTAGAAACCTTAAGTCCTTTTTATAATAATCATCCTGGTTTAGTTTTTTTTTTAGTTTTTTTTTTTAAGTGTGCTCATATAATACAAAAATAATCAGTAGAATGTGCATTATGGGAAATGGCATAGGCCATGTGACTTTAGCTGCCATTATTTTTTGCATGTTTGGGTGTTCATTTACTATATAAGCAAATAGCTGTAGATATATCATGATCATTTTTTAATCGTCCTTCCCCATTGGTCTTTAATAGTATTAAGATAAACATTTTATATTTCTTGAGATGACCAACCCATTACAGGGCCATTGAAAAAATTGAGCTTTTGATTGCATTATTTTTGTTTTTTTTTAATCATTTTAATATTTTCTTTATCATTGTATTATAAATCTAAGTCATTTAAAATGGACACCTTAAAATCCACATTACATGTACTCGTGTTGTTAATTCACAGAAATGCTCGATAAAGTCCATCAAAGGTAGGCTTCTCACCAGGGCTTACTGTGTGGTTTCCGGTGGTAGAATGTGGTGACAAAAAAGGTGACCAGAGGTGGTTGGATGTAACGTGTTGGCTATGACAAAAGAAAATAAGGCAGTGAATGCTTGCACTGAGTCAGTCTAAGCCTGTAATACAGTTCCTCAAAACAGAACAGCTGCTCTCAGCACAGTGCGGCTGCAAATGTGTGGGTGGATGTTCTCCCCCATCTGATTACTTAGTGCTCATATGTTTCTGGTTTTGGGTCAGCCTTTTGATTCATCTTTTCTTGCACAGTTAACCCTACCCTTACTGTACAAAGCTTTATGGAAAAAGAAAAAGAAACATGCTGAAGTATATTTGAAAAGCCAAAAGAGACAATATTGAACTGGTTTTCACATCGCTGAAGGAGTAAAACTTTCTCCATTCGGGAGGTCGGTAAACTCGGAATAAAAGAACCGCAGTGCAGCCGAGGTTTTGTGGGCCTCCTTGTTTCACATGAGCCTGTTCAAAGATCTGTGTCCAATCAAAAAAACAACACAAAACATCTCATGAACGGAATAATCTTTAGTCCTGTTTGCATGGTTTATGTAATTGTCAATCTTGTCTAAGAGGCAAAGAAAAGGTTGTTTGGGTTGCAAAGAACCTTAATGGAACCCTTTTTATATTAAATGCTTGTGTCTACAAGAAACGGGTATCCCATGATATATTTCCAGACTTAAACTTCCAAGATACTTTGCCATTCTAACGGATGGAAAATGCATTGTGGGAGATGTAGTCCTGCAACATCTGGAGTTATACTTTTTGGGCAGCCCTGCTCCAGTCCATCTTTCCTTGAGTATACGGTTTTCATTGGATACCTGACCCACTGGAGTGTGCTTGATTTTAGGAGTAGTGTTGGTTAAATATTTTGCCACACTTGCATGTTCTGCATAAATGCTTTAAAAATAATATGGATGGATTTAATAAAATGTGGAAGTTTAGTTTTCCTCTGGAATCGGTATTAGAGTCTTTGTATCACAAATGTACTGAATGGGAAGTCCCTGTTTTTAAAAAAAAAAATTTTCCCCAGTGTTGTTTTTCCCCCAAACGAGTTCACAAACCATAAATACAGATGTTTGTGTCTGCTATCCCCTTCCTGCCTGACATTTTGCTTATTAATTGTACAATAAAACCTTAGATATTTAAAACTTTTTTTTTTTTTTTTTTTTAAAGGTTGTATTCTTTGCATACAACTATACTATTTTATTTTATGCTTTACAAATTGTAATTGCCATTGATAACTTGTAAATATCCACTCTGGGCACAATAACACCTTCATCACAATGAGGTTGTTATGGTGCAAGGACATCCTCGGCACAGTCCTACCTTAAGGGACCAAACCATAACAAACCGTTTAGCCACAAAGTCTGGAGCATGGCACCAGATCACTCTGCCCCTCCACTTCTCTGAAGGTCGGGGGCTTCAATCAGGAAGCCTCGGATTGAACGCCACTGAATGGGTTGAGAGCATGAGCTGACGTAACCTATCACTGCTTTCCATTTAGCAAGGTGAGGGTGAAAAAGTAAGTATATTTTCTTTCATTGTGATAAAGTTATGGTGCCCGGAGTGTCCCTTTAAAGAGACATCTGTGCTTGGTATTTATTTATTTATATTTTTTATGTGGGTGTTTAATTGTTCAGAATTGAGTAGAGTAGAATAAAATACCTGTTTTCGTTTTGTTACATGGTATTTTTATTTTCGACCTGTCTGCTGACTAATCATGAGACATGTGTTTACTTTCTCTATGCTTTAAAAGTACAGTTTGATCTTACTTTAAGGTAGCATCTTCAGATATTTTTTCATGTCTGGATTAATCTTTACAGGAATATTGTTAATTTACACGTAAAATATTTATTTATTGTGTCATGCTGGTATTGGGTTCCCAACATGTAAAAGGTGCATACTTTGTGAGGTCTGTGCATGCATGCAGCAGACGTTGTTATATTTGTTTAATAGTAAACTAATAAAATAGATTGCTTTTTGGTGTTGTCAATCTCTATTATAATGTTGCTATAAAGGCTTTAAGATTTATTTTTAAAAATGGATATGTTGAATAACCATCTTAATATGAAACCAATATGTTACTACTTTTTATATGTTTTTTTGAAGAAAATTTTTTGACTGTTGTTGGATGGGCAATTACACTTGAAAATATTATTCTCAACATTATTTTATAACTTTTCACCTAGTTAGATGTTTGTATAGGTAAACAACCTCAACTAACTGTCTAGAGAAGCCATCGAGATAACTGAGCATTGGACGTACTGAAAGGCTTGTAATTTTAAAACTTGTGGATCGGTCCACACTTGGATTTTTTTTTTTTCTTATTCTAAATTCAGTTCTTTATTTTATCATTGAAATTAGCACATTTATATTGCAATACCATAATATGTATATTATCTTACTATTGTTGTGAATGATCCTCTAGCACATAAACTCATTGAGCAGGGCCCTCAACCCCTCTGTTCCTGTGTGTCCATTTGAATGCTTACAATTACGTGTCTTAGTCCACCGATTGTGCAGCGCTACAGAAATTGCTGGCGCTATAGAAATAATAAAATAATAATAATTGACACTTAGACAACCTACACTAATTTTACATATGGGGTTTCTCTGTTGTGAACATGGAGGAGTGAAAAGGTTTACTTACAATGGCTTAAGTAAATAATGTAACATCTAAAACATGTTCGTTTCTTAACAAAAATTATCATGAAAAAAAATTAATTGTTAAAATCACACACAAGGAACGAAACCTGAGCTGCCAGGATGAACAAAACAAAAATCGACGAAATAAAAAACATAGCCGTTCGACCATAGGAAAGCCAATAGAAGCACTTTTTCGCTGCTTCAGATGCTTACTAGATTACCCTTGCTTTTCACGGACAGTTTATACCATCATTATCGATATTGTCTTCCATTCTTTTTTCACAGCTAACAATTTTAATATTTTTATATTATTTTAGCACCGGTTATTGTATTAGTGTAAAAATGGCATAAATCAATAGACAAAGCTGTCTTTATTGTGACATATATTAAAAAAAAAATAAATAAATAAATATATATATATTTTTTTTTTTATTATTATTTTTTTAAATGTTGGGTGGAGTTTTACGCATCGCCCCCACCATGTTAACACTTCACCAGGTGTCACTATGGACAAGTTGATCCCAATATTAAAACAGCATGAAAACTATGCTGTGTACCTCTATATTTTAAGTTATGTGTGATTATATAACATGTTCATTTCTTTAAAAGGTACATATAGTGCAGAGCGAAATTCTTTTTCTATTTAAAAATTAACTTTTTATTGGATGGGCTCCTGGTGTCTTATTTGTCAGTAGCCATTTATTTTGTGGTTTGACAATTATTTGTAGAATTTAGGATCTGAGATGGCATATATATACATGGTTCACAGTGTCCGACACCTTTATTGCTTTCCTCCAGCTCCCTAGCATTTTTTTGTTCTGTTATTCATTGGCTATACTGTGCTGCTTTACACTAGCTGTGAAAGACTGAATCCATTTAGATATATAAATAAATTGGCCTTATCTATGCAGTTACATTATGGCTAGGCACTGATTGTCCAAAAAAAGTACATTTTGAACTCCAGTGCAGATTATACTTTGAACAATTTGGGATACAGCAGGCAGTCTCACTGTAGGACTCGTTTTCTAGAGACTGATGGGTGAGGGTCTCATGCAAATGTCTACCAGGTCTTGCCTCTCGGGAATATTAATTCATATAGTAGTAGTATTTGTATATGCTAGGGCAGGAGTCAGCCACCTTCGACACTCCAGATGTTGTAGACCTCATCTCCCCTGATGCTTTGCAAACATTATGGCTGTAGGAGCATTATGTGAGATGTAGTCCACAACATCTAGAATGCGGAAGATTGCCTACCACTGAGCTAGGGTCTCCAGCGTTATCACATCATGGGATACATGCAAGGCAGGCAGCCACCCTTATCAGCAACAGGAAGTAATATAGATTGGGAGTAGCTCATGTTACTTGATATATCACCTAATTGCCTTCTCTGAAAAGACAGGAGCCCCTTACAGGCAACCATAAACAGTATTGTAAATCATTCACCAAACCAATAGTGCAAGCTTTCTCAATCAATTACCTTTAAAGCTGAGACCAGTCTTTTTTTTTTTTGCGAAAAGTATTGTTTTCTACCAGTTTTCACAAACTCCTAAAACAGAAAAACGTCAGTGAGAATGAAGAGGCCCATCAAATGCGAATTTGTTTGTGCTTCGAGACAGTCTGATGCACACACTAGGAATTTTTGAATTCCTTGACTTTATTTGTATTTCCTAATTCCAGGACTGCCAAGAGGGCATTAAAGCTGATACTCGTTTCAGGGGCCTGGTTTGAATGTTGGGTCATTGTGTGGGAGGATATATTGGTCTGTGAATGCATGTGTCTGTGCTGGTTTGTGACGGCATCTGTCTGCATGAATCTGTTAGAATGTATCTGTGTGTATCTGTATCTGTGTGTGCGTATGTCTTGGTATGTATATGTGTGTTTTTATTTGTGTACATGTCTGGGAGTATGTTCCGGGAAGGAGGGTGAGGAGGGGGCATCATTTCTACCAGCGACACAGACTACTACTTCTATAAAATAGTAGGCATTGAGAATTTTGTTGTAACATCTTCATGGTAATTGTGGGATACAGTATTGTGGGATACCACATACATCAAATAGCCAGACTTGAACTATGAGTTAATGTGTATCCATGATTACAATATAGAGATTGAAAGTTCTCACTTACCTGAAACTGGCACAGGACTTATTAATCAGTCACCCAACCCGCGTGTTTGGTACACTTAGTGTATTGAAACCCTTACTCTTTTATGTTTTGTTAATAACGCTATGTATCGTTCAGTTACTGAATGTTTTCATATTCTATCTAAAATAAACGATGCATGTTCTTTTGAAGCCAAGTTTTCAACTATTGGACTAAACAATATGAGGTGTCACAAGTAATCCAAAAGTTTTATAAGTACATCTCCCCTCCCCCGTTGTTGACACGTCTGCCTGTGCAACCATGTATCCCCATGTGTGAGTAATTAAATATCACTATGTATAGGATGTGTTGATAACCCCCATTGGTGTTGTCAGAATTACTCACATAGCACACGTACCCTGGGCTGTGAAACTGTATGCTAAACATTCCGTTTTAATTGCATTTCCCGAAGATATGATCTTGTTTACTGAACCTTCCTTTTAAAACCATTTCAATTTATTGTTATTAATTATTAACATTTTTTTTTTTTTTTTAACTTAGCATTGTATATATTTCTCTGAATATCTATCTGGTTTAAGCCTTATTTGGTGTTGTACACAAAGACTTAAAATGTGTTATTTAGCCTTTTATTGCATCAAATCACTGTGGTAGTCTGGAATCATAGGAAATAAAATTCTAGGTGTACCGTCTCGTGATGAAAAAGCCCAAATTAGCTGTAAAGCGCTATGGAATCTGTTGGCGCTATATAAATGGCAGTAATAATAATTAAGGTGATCTGGAGGATACAGTTGCTTTAAGCAGATGGGTTGAAACTATCACCAATGCACAAGGACGTTTAGTTTTTGTTTGGTTTTGTTTTTTATTATTCTTGGATAAACAAGTCTGCCAGTTACTCTATAGATTGGTTACAAGAATGTGATTTTATTTACCGATGCCACTAAAAAGGCATAATTCAGGCTTGTTTGTTTCCTCTGTATTTAAATAGCATTCTTAAATTAGTTGCTGATATGGCAGACCTGCCTATATTCTTCCCCATTTCAATGTTTTATTTTTTAAAGAGTGGTTTATTGCAAAGTCAGATTTAATCCCTGGTTTAGTGTAAATCCTAGGAAGTAAATTGTAAGTGTTTAGAATGTTATTCATATAGTGCTTTTTATATGTGCAAGACTACAGTCACTGTTTCTTTAAATACTTATCTGCTATGCAACTACTCAAATGCTTATCTCTATGTTTATTTTAAAAACAAAGAAAGGAAATCATTTAACCTGTTGGAATGCAGCATTAGGAAGGAAGTTTTAACCAATAAGCTGGAGTGAAATACTATAAACATGAGCATTAATTCCAGTTAAATGATATGGTGCTGGGCTCAGATCTGAAAGGTATTGGGTGTAGCTCGCATAGTTTGGCTGACAAACGTGATATTGTCACGATGCCACTAAAAGTATAACCTTATCATACATCATGACTTGGCTCAGTTCTTAGTTGAACTATTTTGGCCTTAAAAATTTAATTCCGTTGTCTGTCTGTTCTTGCCGCTGGATGCACTTACTACAACCTCCTTGAATTAATATATATTTATAAGTGTAGTGATTTTTGTACATGATTTAAGTAGTGTGCATCTACCCCACGATAGCCTCTGTCCAGTCACCTGGCCTCTTTGGCTGACATCATCAAGCTTGATGATCTCAGCCAATCAAATGGTTCCCCACCGGGATACATTAGGAGACTAGTGCTCATGCGCTGTAAATCTCTGTGCTGCGCCAATCAATGTCTCTATGATTGAGAACAGAGTCTGACCCTGTGGAAGTGCCTCTAGTGCAGTGATGGCGAACCTTTTTGAGGCCGAGTGCCCAAACCGCAATACAACTTTTTTCCCTCAAAGTGCCAACACGGCAATTAAACCTGAATACTGAGGTTTAAGTTTAGAATAAACAACTTGTACTGTTGTCCAAACTAATTAACAACTTTTGTTTTAAAAGAAGAACACAACAGAGTTTAAAGATACAAATTTTAAATAATGATATAAATAGATATAAATAGGTAAAATTAAGCTTATATTTATTAGTATCTCCAACAAATTAATACATACACACAGTCTGCTGAATACACACACAGACAGACTGCTGAATACACACACATACAGTCCACTGAATACACACACTGCTGAATACATATACACACACACAGACTGCTGAAGACACACACAGACTGCTGAATACACGCACACACACAGACTGCTGAATTCACACACACATACTGCACTGAGGGGTGCAGTGTATGTGTGTGTGAGGGGTGCTGTGCAGGGGTGGGGTGCTGTGTTTGGCTAGTGTAGGGGTGCTGTGTGTGGGGGGGGTAGGGGTGCTGTGTGTGTGGGGGGGGAATGGGGTGCTGTGTGTGGGGGTAGGGGTGCTCTGTGTGTGGGAGTAGGGGTGCTGTGTGTGGGGGTAGGGAGGTAGGGGTTCTGGTTGTGGGGGGTAGAGGTACTGTGTGTGTGTGTGTGAGGGGTAGGGAGGTAGGTAGGGGTGCTGGTTGTGGGGGAGGGGAGGAGTGCTGTGTGGGAGGGTAGGGAGGTAGGGGTGCTGGTTGTGGGGGAGGGGTGCTGTGTGTGGGGGTAGGGGTACTGTGTATGTGTGTGGCTGGTACGGGTGCTGGCTGAGTGGGAGAGTATGGAGATAGGGCTGCTGGTTGTGAGGGAGGGGTGCTGTGTGTGGGGTTTATGGGTGCTGTGGGTTTAGGGGTACTGTGTGGGGGGAGGGGGTGTAGGGGTGGTAAAAAAAAAAAAAGTGTGGATCTGTATCCCCCTCTCCCTCCTTCTTACCTTTGATGAAGGAGGGGGGACACACACAGCCATCCCTGGTGGTCCGGTGGTGGTGGTAAGTATTGTAGGGAGCAGCTCCCCTGTCCTCCCGCACGATGCTGTGTGGAGCTTTGCCATGGCAACCCGCGGCAATGCTCCACACATATTGCTTGCAGGAGGACAGGGGAGCTGCTTCACAGATCCCTCCCCCTGTCCTCCTGACATGGAAGCAGAGTAGGCGCTTGCTCTGCATTGATGGCGAACCTATGGCCGCGTGCCCACAGAGAGGGCCCGGCGTGCCACCTGTGGCACGCGTGCCATAGGTTCGCCATCACTGCTCTAGTGGTTGTCAGAAACACAAAAAAAAAGAGAGAAAATATTTTTATCAAGCCATTTTTAGAATGGAGAGCTACTCCATATTGGCTTAGACTATCAGTTGATCAGCAGCGCTCCTGTCGCAGCATTACGAGATACCCTGTTTGAAGAATTTCAGAGAAGCAGAAAGACAGGGGCAGAGCTGAACTGTGCTGGAGTGAAGACTTGGGCCCGTACCGGGTACCTCTTGGCACCATAACAACTTAATTCAGATGAAATTGTTATGGTGCCTGGAGTTCCCTTTCAGAAAAAAGAAAAATATTTTTTGTTTTAGAATACACTCATAACTAATGTATAGTTGTGAGTTAATACAAGTGCAAAAAAAAATAATCTAATTTCTAACAGTTTTTCTTTAACCTTTTTGTGGAAAATCTGCCAAGGTTTTCCTAGCTGCTCCTTGTGTCAGGACATTAAGCCAATTCACACTGTTAAGTACTTTCTTTTCATGGTTGTCCGGTGGGTATTTGGGTGACCCTTTTTAGTGACTCGAGGTGTTAATTTGATCATGGGATTAAAAGTGCAACATGTCACACAGTTACAGCAAGTGCCATTGTGTTAATTCAAAATGCAAATGTGACCCCACACTGTGTCATTATAAGCAAAGGTGTAGAAGTCTACAGTGTGGTGTCCTTGTCAATCAAACTTCAAAGTTCCACATAGAACCCTGCAGAATGTTGTAAACCAGTCCCTGAGGGTCACTTGTAGGTGGGAGTCATTAGTTCACCCAGTGTTCTGAATATTGAATAGCATTCACAAAAGAAGCCATTATTTCTATGTGACTCTCTCACTGGAACTATGGCGAGAATCCAAGGCTATCCCAAATGCTTTCATAACCCACAATATTTACCACTTTTAGATATAGATGTTTCAGTTTTATATTGCGTTTTGAAAACACTTATCAACATAGCATAAAACTGTCTGTGGTCTACTAGTGTATGTAAGTGAAAAATTAGTTTTTCCAAAATATATTTTAACTTCCATTTATATCTCATCCAAATATTATTTTATTTTTTTAACATTCAAGGTTTATTGAAATAGGAGTTAACAAATACATGACATAATATGTAAAACAAGACTTGAGTCATATAATACAAAAAAGATAAACATTATAATTGCAGTGCTGTGATCTATTATTAATTTCCAATAAAAAATACCTTTTATCATAATGTGCTTTTTATATTTTTATTTAGACATGTTAGAGCAAGTTCCTGTCTATAGCACATTGCGTGTCACAAGCGGGTGATTAGAAGAGGAGAGGGGGTATAAAAGATTTTAACGGAAGTAAGGCATAAGAAAGGAAGTAGAGGAGAGATAAATTAAAAAATACGGGGGGAAACTAGCCACTGAGATGCACATGCCTGTTCATGGTGGTTGCTAACAGTCAGACTGGGGGAAGTAGCAGAGGCTATGGATGGGAATGACTTGGTGGTCCAGAGACAGCAGACCCAGAGGATAACCACTACTTGCAGTGAAATCAGATAATTTTATGTCTGATAATTATCTAAAGAGTATAGGATGAGTTCTTCAATTGAGCTTATTTCTACCATTATTGTCCAGTCCTGGACCGTGGGTACGGCACTCTGCCCCCAAAATTTTGGAACAAGGCTGCGGGCAACATTAATGAAGTATAGTCTTACAATAATGTCCAATTGGGATAGATGAATAGTGCAATAGGTACATTGCTGGGGAGAGGGGTGCGGGTACATCTCAAGCAAAGTTATGTACATACTCAACTTGTGATCCCTACTATGTTTAAAAATTACTCTTAAGTGCTTTTCTAACACCTGGTGATTGTATTTACTGTGATCCTGCTAAGTATTATTGGTCCTATACAAATATAACATTGTGCTATATTATTTAGGTTTACCATAACCAATAACTTATACACGTGTGCAGCACATTAGGAGTGTGCACATTCATTCCCTGTTTGTCAAACAAAATACAATTCCAAGAGGTGTGTGGGTTGACAGCTTGTGTGGTCATGCCTATGTGTCTATATGTGATGTTTATGAAGAGTCTGTTTTTGTTGTGTCCAGATTCCTCACACACTATATATGTTTCCCCCTTCTCCCCCTATACTTTTGGGCATGGATGGGAGAGTCTGATTCCAGTTCCTTTTGTCTACATCCTTCTACTGCATAATGGTTCAGGGCAGAAGTTTAGACACTCATAGGACACTTTGTGGTTACAGAGGAGATTGAACTACACGTTTCAATTATTTGTTTGCAGTCTCTTGGAGCATCAGGTTAGGTGCTCATTGTTCGTTTATTTTATCCTGATGTTTCTTCCTCTTATTGGCCTGCTCCTTGCTCTTGTTTGTTGCTTGTTATGAGAGACAACCGGGACAGACTTCAAATGCAAATGCCTTCTCAATAACCACTGCTAAACATCGTTACCTCCTGTGTGCTTGAACACATGGCGAAATGCACACAGCAAAGGAGCACCTTAGCAGAAAACTGTCTATTTACCTTAGGTCCTCTATACTGAAACGACCATGTATATAACGGACTTTAAATGTAAAAATACACACCGTAACCTAGATCTTTGTCCTTAGCCTGACAACCTCCAGTGGCAATCCAACTTGTAACTGAAAAAAAAGGGAAAGGCCTTCAGGAAGTATCCATCGACTGGTGAAAGCTTATGTTCCCCTTGTAGACTCATTCATGGCTTTCACTTGAAGTAAAAAAGGGTTATGAACCATCAAAAAAAAACAACCCATCAAAGTGATGAATAAAGTAATTGAACCCATGACTAAGCTTTATTGAGGTGTAGGTTTAAGGTGTCAATCCCTCCCTACCATTCTTTTTTTGTATTTTTTTCACCAAATTTATATTTTTAAAGGACCACTCAAAGCTCCATAACCACTACAGCCCATTGAAGTGGTTATGGTGCATTTTATTCCAGGTATAACAGGTGCCTTCTCAAGATAAGAAGTCAAACCATTTTAGTATAGTTTGACAGATGATCCATACATGGCACCATAACCATAATGGTGGTTATGATGCTTTAAATGTTCCTTTAAGATGAGCCAATGTACGCCATTTTATATGTATGCCATCTGAAGGACCTGAATATGTACTGACTCAATCGGCTCCTCGATGTATCCCAGTGGGTATCTCTTTAACCCCTTAAGGACACATAACATGTGTGACATGTCATGATTCCCTTTTATTCCAGAAGTTTGGTCCTTAAGGGGTTAAAACCGTTTACACTTTTACTTGTACATACTTCAAAGTAAGTATCCAATTTTGCGACTCTCCAAATATTGTATCCTTTGAGAGGTTATAGGACAGCAATTCTGATCATTATTCATATTGAATGTTTTATTTTCTAGTGAAGCAGTACAATGCTTGTGGCCCTTTGAATTAATTAAAGGACCACTATAGTGCCAGGAAAACATACTTGTTTTCCTGGCACTATAGTGCCCTGAGGGTGCCCCCATCCTCAGGGTCCCCCTCCCGCCCGGCTCAGGAAGGGGGAAAGGGGGAAAAACGTACCTTTTTCCAGCGCTGGGCGGAGAGCTCTCCTCCTCCGATCCTCCTCTTCTCCTTCCCGTCGGCTGAATGCGCACGCGCGGCAAGAGCTGCGCGCGCATTCAGCCGGTCACATAGGAAAGCATTCATAATGCTTTCCTATGGACGCTTGCGTGCTCTCACTGTGAAAATCACAGTGAGAAGCACGCAAGCGCCTCTAGTGGCTGTCAATGAGACAGCCACTAGAGGAAATAGGGGAAGGCTTAACCCATTCATAAACATAGCAGTTTCTCTGAAACTGCTATGTTTATGAAAAAATGGGTTAACCCTAGCTGGACCTGGCACCCAGACCACTTCATTAAGCTGAAGTGGTCTGGGTGCCTAGAGTGGTCCTTTAATTTATAAAATATTTTACCAGGATGGATACATTGAGATCTCTCTCGTTTTCAAAGGATGTGAATATCCTATGATGATTGTGAATTCCCCTCTTTATCTTGCATTTCATTCATTATGTGTAACTTCCCATTCAAATGAGGAAATGTTATGCTCTGGATTTAACTTTTAGACACCACAGAAAAAAAGCCACCTCTGCGTGATCCCCATTCTGAATTACTGATGCACTATAACCACATTTGTGAGGAACTTGCAGCTATTCTCTAAACTTGATCATGGAACTAAAGGTTCCTTATTTTTAACGGAAGGGTGAGTTCTGAGAATCTAGAGAGAGAGATTACTTTTATGCTGTTTTCATGGAGTATATGCCCTCTTGCACATTTTTCACTTGTGAACTTTATACTTTTATTGAATTGCATAATCCAACTCGCTTATAGCATCGAAGTAACATGTGGAAGGATCTTGCACTCCCTGTTGTGATGTTACCTTTAACAGGTCCAGCTGTATTTTATAGAACACTGTGGCACCATTATTGATTAAAGTCAGATTTCAAATTGAAGGCCCCGCAGGGTAGCCAAACGGAAAGCAAAGCAGACTTCGATAATTTTACCAGTTTGGCTACTTTGATCTGAAACCTGAAAATCACATTGAATCACCTTGAATTCACGGTGTCATCTCATTGTCATGAAAAACATGGTGGGTGTAGTCCGCATCAATTGTGAGGAATTGGCAAATGAAGTAGACATTTGAAGTGGGGAAAAAACCCAAATAAAAATATATATATATTGAGCTGCATTGAAATTTTGGCTTTAAATAGGCAGTTGCCTCAACATTAATTGCTGGTTAATGGATTCTGAAAAAAATAAAAAAAAAAAATATATATATATATATATATATATATATATATATATATATATATATATATATATATATATATATATAATATTACAAATAGTTTATTTCTTGGTAAGTGAGGAAATCTGTTCCTTGAACTATTTTGTGATGGCACTTCTAAATAGTGTATATTCAAGGCAAGTGTCTCCAAACTGTTTGATGACATTGTAACTTTTCGAATGCTTTCATTTTTATTATTTTTTGATAATTTCTAAATAAATGGTCAAAATTCTACTCACACACGTTGAGAGCTTTGCTAAGTCTTAAACCATTCTAGTGGATCAGAATAGTTTTTGTTTTTGTCTGAGTATTTCAATGTTTTGTTGCAATATGGAATTTTGGTCATTATTTACAACGGTTTGGTCAAGGGCCTACAGGTTGACATACTTTCACAACTGATGTCCATGATGAAAAATGGCGATTTATAGTAACTTGTTAACCTATTCGGTGCCAGAGGGTTGCAGTGTTTACACTCACCGGCTCCAAATTGGGATTAAAGGCCATTCTTCACTGTTTTTTGGCTAAAGATCTCTTGGTTTAATCTAGCAGAGTGTTCACACATGCGCCTGATTCATAGTCTGCCTCCTAACGTGTCTGGGCTCTTGTACTCATTTTATCTACTTCACTAAACTCTGCAGCAAATGATGAATGATTAACCATTGGACAGAGGGAGCGGCCTGGACAGGAAATGGCTGATAAGAAAGTTCATTGAGAGCTTCTTGCGCGTTAACACTTGCTTTGCCACTACCAGAAACTTTTTACGAACCACAGTTGATGTTAACACATTCAGTGCCAAAGGAAAAATGTAGAATAATTGTACAATAGGAACCAAAACCGGTTAGAATGTTTGTGCTTTAAATATGATTGCATAGCATATTGGGATTCAGTGAGGAGTCTCTGCCTAGCAAGAACGCTTTATTGACTAATTTATTATACATGGCTCTGCAAAACGTTGAGTTATGATTCTGTGAATGTACAGAAATGCCTGTCCGTGTTTGTCGACCCTGCCAAGCCTCTCCTTTTAATAAATCAATACCTTGTCCTTTTCTCAAATGGATTGGAAATTAAGATATGGCGAGTCCTCAAGGTGAGAAGAACTGATGGTTTGGATTCATAGAATCATTGAGTAGAGAACAGGCAATTCTCTTAAGCTGAGGTAGTCATATGGACAGTCACTAGACACGGAACACTCTCCATTATGGATTTTGCTCTAATGGCTGATTGACTTTGCCCTTGCCAGCGGCTCCTGCCCAATTCTGTTGTGTTCTATCGCCAGTTCTCCTACCCTGTTCATTTATATGAACAGGAAATGCAGTCTGCTTTATGTAAGCCATTCTGGAAGTGTTAGGAAGACCTGAAACACAACACACCTCTGTGGTACTTGCACTTCCTTTGTCCGCTTCCAGGTACTATGGAATAGGCTTGTTTCAAGTGCGGTTCTTTATTAATTGTATATACACCATTCATGCTCCCCTGTATCCTGTATCACATCAGTGCACACGAAATATATATTATCTCATGTTTTTAATGGTTTTTCTTTTTGTTTTAATTTAATTCCCTTGACATACGAAAATCAGGTATTTTCCGGTGTTCCACCATGGAGGTAATTTTAACTATGCATCTTGTTGAATGCTTTGCTCTGAGACTGACATGTTCACTCACTGTGATAAACTCGGCCTTCTTGCAAGTTGTCATGGAAGTCTGTATCAGTTGCCTTCCATGTTTTGGACCACCCTGCTACAGAATGAACCTACAAAATACAGTATGTTCTCACACTTCATTGAAAGTTCTCCCATTTAAAGGGTCAGTTGTACAAAGGATATGATACAGGAAGTACAGTGATCCTTGTCTCCCTTTTCAGATAAGTTTAGAACTGCAGCAATTTGCAGAAATCACTGCAGCTTTAGAATGTCTCGTAGATGAGCATCAAATGATGACATTTAACTTTTAACTCAAAGACCTGCCTTATTTTTAAATGTTATATGTACAGTTTGGATTGAGATCCTTCTTTCTTCTCTCAAGCTCTGGCGAGAACCTTCAGCTGACAGTGTGCATGCGCAATCATTGACATAGGAGATTATGGCACACAGCCTGGTTTCTAAAACCGTGGACTGAGCTGTGAAAAGACAGACATGGCTGCTATCAGCTTCTTCAGCAGTAACACGCATATTATGTGATGAGTGGAACTGTAGCTGGTGGGCAAACTACGCATACACACCACTGGTTTTCAGGCATTTATGGGAAAAGGAAAATAAAGACTTGAATAAGTGGCTCCTGATTGATGGAGCTTTTTTCTGGCCTGGGAGATGTCAAAATTGTTTGTGTAAATACCGCATTTTTACTTATTTAAAGGGACACTATAGACTCCCAGACCACTTAATCTCATTGAAGTGGTCTGGGTGCAGTGTGTCTTCCCCCCGTTAGTCCTGCAATGTAAAACATTGCTGTTTTTGAGAAATTTTCAAGTTTACATTGCAATGTTAAGACTGCAACTGGTATCTTTCTACCAGACAGCCACTAGAGGGGCTCTCTGCTGTTTTGCAGAGTTTGACTCCGTCAAATGACACTGGACGTCCTCGCACTTGGCATGAGGACATCCAGTGTCTTCTAAATCCCCACGGCAAAGCGTTGATTCAATGCTTTCCTATGGGGAAGGCCTAATGCAGGCGCGACGCTTACCTTAAGCCCCGTGGTGGGGCAAAGGAACACTTTAGTGTTGGGAATACAGCCTTTCATTCCTAACACTGTAGTGTTTCTTTAAATCTAAATATGTTTTTCCTTGTATGAATTATGTTTGCATTCTGTTTTCCTTTTCAATGCATTCTATGTAAAAGGAGATTTACAAAGACAAACAAAAAAAAAGTGCTATTCTGGGGTAAATTGATAAATAACGAACAGTCACCATGGAAACCAGTAGAAATGTCTTTCAACATTTAGCACTTTAGTACCAAAAATAGCACCTGTTTTTCGTTGCGATGAATCTCCCCAATATTGCTTTGAAAATGGAAGGGGGTATCTTCCTGCATATTGTGTCCCTTTAAAACCTTTTGTTACATGTCCCCAAGCCTTGTACAATTAAATGCTCATCTCTAATTGTTAACATAGTTGCTGTGAAAGAGCAGAGACTGGTGAATGAACACTGCCTGCTATACATTCAGAATGACTCATCCAGAGATCACACTGTCTTAACATACAGGCAGTGTGGGATACAGAAAGGATGTTCGCTTCCCACGCAGATGAAGACTGTGACATATACAGTAGTATCTGCAGCACACACAGCATTCCATCAACCATAAAGGCTTAGTCTACGCACCATAATTGGTGCTAGGACCCTGCCTGTGCAGAATTTCAGCTAAAAGTGGAGCTGGTTCCGTTATCATTTACATTGTCTAATTGCCCATCATCAAACCGGAACCTTCATTTCAATGGATGTCATGTCCGTTTTGAGCAAATTTTGAGTGCATCACCTGCACACCTTGCGCATAATTTTGGCTAAGCTCCCGCTCCACATAGGGGACAGAGTTGAGCCACGGACAGCGGCATTACTGAGACGTAACCATGAACTGGGCTATGAATAGACTGATGGCAGCTATGGTATGTTTTACTTGGGACGAGTGGAAATGCTCTTCGGTATAAAGACAGTGAGCGATTTTTCCAGGTGTGAGAGTGGTCTGTCTGTTCGTGCTGTGTACTGTGTCATTGTTTCGTGGTGTGCGCAGCATGTACTTGTAACGTGCTATATGAGCACTCAGGCGCTTTGACATACATGAGTTTTCATTGCGCCCATGCTCTTGAAAGTATTGGAATTAAAGTAATTTGCATTTTATGCTCTGCTATGTAAATACAAACAAAAATAAAATCTCAACTTTGACAGTTTTTGTTTGTTTGTTTGTGATGTTATGTGTTATAGTTTGAAGTTATTGTAAAATGATTTTAAAATGTGTGAGCAAATCATGGCAACATCGCCGGTGTTAGTCTCGTGTGTTAAGCTCGGGGCTAAATAGTTTTGTGTTCATGAGCTAAAAAACCTGCTATTATGATCTAATAAAGTAAATTCAATAACATTTTTATCTGACTCCTTATGTCTCTCACCGGAATTCTTAGGAAATTTTGTCAGGTCTGTCCTGATTGTGACCGGAAGTTCACGATGTCCTCCTACAAAGCTAAGACAATACTCAATGAAATCCCTTGTTGTTTAGGGAAGTTTGCTTGAGGTTTGGAAGTGATGTGAGAGATGAACTGTGTTTTGTCACTTGGCTTGTATACAAGGTGGGGAGACATTCTATGTTCTGATGGAAAGCGATTACAGTTCTGTTTTTGAACAAAAGTTTTCTCACTGTTTGTTCATCCCGGATGTGTTTCCCGCATGTTACACATTTCTTCTCAGTGTCCATATTCAACGTTTCCTTGACGTGTTTAATATTTCCATGGGTCTTATTTATCTGTGCTGGTCAGACATTAAGCATCCTGTCTCTTCAGCAATCTCTCCGAATTTTTTATTTATTTTTTTTGTACCCTACACTTCCCTTCCCCCCCACTTTTTTATCCCTTTTATACTTTTTTTTTTTTTTTTTTTACCATAGCCTGCATTAGCTATGAATGTAATCCCAGGTGTTGACAGAAAACTAGTTGCAGGAAGGAGCAGGTAAAAGGAATAGATTAACCATTTGCCCGAGGGGATTTAAAAACAGACTGCGGAAAGGAGATGGAGATAAACATGAAAGAAGGAATGTTTCTTGTTTGTTCTTTGTTGAAGAACAAGAAAAAGACACCCCCACCCACTTAAAATTTTTAAGTCCTACACCACTAGCCAGGCTTTACAAGTTACTAGCCGCTACATGCCTGGAGGCTCCATGTCACATTATCACCAGTTCCTCCTATCCTATTCACTTGTATTAACAGGAAGAGCCGTCTGCTTTGTGTAAGCCAGTGGGGAAGTGTTATAACGACCTGAAACACAACACCTCTATAACACCTGCTCTTACTTTGTTGGCTTCCAGGGGTTTTGGAACAGCCTACTTCCAAGTACGGTTCACTCTCCTGTATCCTGTTTCACATTAGTGCATGTGTTATGTAATAGACATGTGCATTCGTTATCGGATGAATATGATTGTCAGAATTTTCTGACTTTTTCGTAAACGAAAGTCCTACATATGAATTATATACGAAATGAAAGGGCAAATGCATTACCTTTTCGTTTCAGTTCTTTCATTTAATAGACTCCATGATGCAGGATAGGCAGATACTGTTCACCTAATCCACGCGAACGATTCCACCGAACAGTGCTCTTCAGGATATAAAGAAATAAACGCAGGCGGGGATGGAAGTTCAGCGGTATTCGCGAGGTCGAGTGCCTGATTTTAGTTCCATGCACTCAACGTCCAAACACTGCTGCCTGCGTTCGTGCGAACAAGACGGCTGCCACCACATGTTCGTGCATACAAACTGTGGCCACCCAGCTGATCACTTAGAACACTGATGTGTGAATCGTTATTGAGATGTTAACAGGGGCGAGCGGGATTAATAAGCATACAGGTGGTCTGGGTATTTTGTGGTTTTGTTCGATTACCGTGAACACTGTATTTACCGAACAAAACAGGGAATAGTAAACGAACACTGTATTCCACTGACAGGGTGTTATTCCCCCCACAGCATGGAGCAGAAACAAAAACCACTGGTTCTCCCAGCAGCCTGAGATGGGGCCCATTTTAGTTTTTTGGGTTCCCAACTATAGGGAAACAGGGGGGGCCTTGTCCAGGTCCTCCATTATTGCACTAGCGACTGGGCAGCAAAAAGTACATCTCCAGATAGCCCTGATCTGAGTGTACAACATATCCAAAGATCACTCAGATCGGTTTAGTGGAACGGGAATGCCATCGAGGTAAATTTTGATCGGCCAGACACGAGGCGCTAACCCAAAACAGTTCCAGGAGAATAGGTGTATGTGCCAGTCTCTGTTCGTGGAGTTCATGTGCGAACACCAAGCAAGGTGATCTTTTCATTTCAGGATATGAATGCTCCCTTTGTTTGGTAGTTTATATCTCCCGAACATCGTTCATATAGGTGGTTGGGGGAAAAAAACGGCAGCGGTCTAAGTTTTATCGGCGTTCGTGCGAGTACCTAGCCGAAAAGAGTTCCAGGCACTCGACGACCAAGTACCGCTGCCCACATGCGGGAGACAAAATGGGGAGACAAGACATTCTTTTGTCGACCACGTGCATTAGGCCACCCAGGGGTAGCATTCATTAATTACTTCCCTTGCGGATTCCCACTTAAGTTGCTTGTGTGAACATTCTAATGGGGTACAGGGGTGGTCCTCGTTCGGTAAATGAATGCATATTGTTTGTATGAAGTACTCCAGGAAAAAAAGGGTAAAACACACAAAATGAGGGGAAAACACACAAAATAGGTGGCAGTCCGCCACACTTCCTTTTATTAATATGGGGGTCATCGTGACCCCCATAGGTTTAAATGCCGAGGGGGGGGGTAGGAATTGTTAATATTTATTACAAGGAGGGAGCTGGTAGCACTGCCGGCTCCCTCCTTACTTTTTTTTTGTGTGTGCATGCGCTGTGTTATTTTTGTCCTAATGAGCGAAAACAAATTATTTTTTATCAAATTTTGTCTGAAAAACAAATGTTTTACACTCTAAACTCGGAATGAACAAATTTAATTTTATTCAGTACGAATTAATTTGTACGAAATGAAAATTTCACTGGTGCACGCGTCTATTGTATAGTATCTCGTGTTTATCATGATTTTTGTTTTGGTTTTAATTCAACTCCCATGACCTTTGGAAATAAGGTGTTATTCTGTGTTCCACCATGGAGGTAATTCTATATATGCATGTTGCTGTATTTGTTATTCTACTGATGTACTGCAGTGATTCTAACTCAATGACTGTGATACAAAACCCGGACTTGTAAAACTGGAATGGCAAAAAAGGTAGAAGTCTTTATTGTGAGGATAGTGGTTCTGCATCACCTGTGATCTACCTTTTGGCCAACCCTGCTACAGAATGAACCTACAAACCAGATGATTCACTAGAAGACCTATCAGATCCACCCAACATGACGCACCATGGTATCCAGTGTATCTCCAATGCTGCAAGTTACCCTTATCCCTCGTGCCAAATCCACACCAGCAGCAACACTGGCACATTGGAAGCTTGGACAGCAAGACATGAAAGTCCTTTGATGTGGAGGCACCCAAATGTCCGTGTAGGTCTGCTACCTCCCGAATTCAGCAACAATCAACTCCTCCATAGCGCGGCATTCCTCTATGCGTCTATACCAAATTAGAGGCGTAGTGATGGATTGCCTCCAGCATAGTGTTATAAGTCTTTTAACAACATCCAGGAAGCAAGCTAACATTGACTTGAAGCCACAGGGGTAGAGGTGTGGTGTTGGAGAAAGGGTGCAGGTTCAAAGGAAAATGGATTGTCAGAGAATTTAGATATGATGGAATAAATTTTTCTCATGAAAGACTGAATCAATGGGCAATCCCACCAGATGGATTTTGTCGTACCCTCTGTGTCATGGCACCTCCAACAAAGTCCTGAGGATAAAGGGTCTATGACCTGCATTCTCTGAGGCGTTCTGTACCATAGGGAGGTACATGTTGAATAGTCTATTTAATTGTACATTTTTGTTAATGCTTTCTGATACACAAGCATTTTTTTTCTTTTATTTGTCCTTGAAAGCATTATTTGACATGATAAATCTCAGGCTAATGGGTAGTGGTGCATACTTAAAGGGGACTTATAAAGTAAGAAAAATTGGTGCTTTTATTGCAAGAATAACAACGGTGGTTAATGTTTTAGTCCAGCACCCTGAATTTTTCTCAAGATCTTAAATCTCCAACTCAGTTTGTGCTTGGGTACTAAGAACTCCTACCAATAGATGCAGACCCCATGGAAAGAACAATACAGTCCCGGGACTCCGCATGGATGCTCAGACTGCTTTTGTTGAGTCTTGAGAAAAGTCTGTGATATTGGACTGAAACATTGGCATTTATATTGCATTAAAGGGACACTCCATTGCACAACAGCAATTACTATTTAGTAAATATACCATCAATGAAAACAAATATGGGGGATCTGAAATATGGTGGGGAATTGACGCTGAAACCCATGCTATGCCGCTGTGTCTGGTCTGAAGAGGGGTTTCGGGAGGGGCAAGGAAGTGTCCCTGAATGGCATTTTCGAAATGTGGTCACCCTACCTTAATCAAGCTTCAAAATTGAGGCTCAGTGCTGCACTGCTGCAATGCTATTTTTAAAAATGTCATGCCGCCATTATGCGGGGGCCGCGGGGCCGGCAATTCACAATGGGAAGGTGCGAGTGTTGATTTGCCTTTATGACACTTGGTTCACCTTCCCTTCCATTGACTGTCCACCCACACTCTCTACAAACCTCGTGACCTGACATCAACAGTGTATTTGTGTGTGTGTGTGTATGTATGTATGTGTGTGTATATGTATATATATATATATATATATATATATATATATATATATATATATATATGTGTGTGTATATATATATATATACACATATAAGATAAAGATATGTGTGGCTGTAAATATATATATATGTGTGTGTGTATATGTACAGGGCTGGTGCAAGGATTTCTGCCACCCTAGGCAAAGATCCATTTTGCTGCCCCTTCATGTTACTCACTCACTGACAGACACACACGCTGACACACATTCACTCACTGACACACACATACACACACACACACACACACACTCACTCAGACACTTACTGAAAGACATACTCATTCAGTGGCAGACACATACACTTACTGACAGACATACACACACACACTTAGTGACATACATACACTCACTGACAGACACACACACATACAGACACTCACTGACAAACACTCACCTCCCTGGGGTTCAGTGTGGGGCAGCCTCTCACTCCTCCCGCCCACTGTTTAGTATGCTGGGGCCGGAATGACTTCATACTCTGGCTCCCGGCATCACAGAGGGCATGCGAGGGAGGAGTGAGAGGCTGCAAGAAGAGCCTCCCTCGCCACCTGCATTCTCCTCCGGACACCGACATTTGATGGCAGAGCAGGCACCTGTCATCAAGGTAAGAAGGTGCCTGCTCTGCCATACTGTGACAGGGCTACTCTGGGCGCCCCCACCTCAGCGCCTGGAGGAGCGCCCCTGCGCTGAGGTGGTGGCTCTAGAGCCGCTCGCACAGCACTGTGGCCCAAGACAGGGGAATGCCTATTTCGCCTAACGGTGGTTCAGGCCGTGTGTGTGTGTGTGTGTATATGTATGTATATATATGTGTATGTGTATATATATATATATATGTGTGTATATATATGTATATGTATATATATATATATATGTGTGTGTGTATATACATGTATATACGCGGCGTTTGTGTTTGTGCTTTAGGGTGCACAAGGGTGTGCACGCCTATGTATACGTCTAAAATTAAAATGGCATTTTAGTCAAAAAAACTATAAAACTAAATTGAAATTTGCTGCCAAAATTGACACTGCACAGAGGGTTCTGTGGAAGGGAAAAAAGTGACATACTGTGGCTTGGGAGAGAGACCCCAAAGGGACTGGGAGGACACAAAGAGACACAGAGGGGTTGCGGAATGGGCAAAAGAGACAGAAAGAGGCTTTAACTAAACCCAGTAGATTATAGTCGTGCCGACTAAAACAATTCAGATGACTAAAATACGATTAAAACTAAAATGTCTTTTTAGTCAAAAGACTGTGACTAAAATTATATTGAAAATTGCCGCCAAAATGAACACTGATTTCAGCAAGCTTAAGTACTTTGTGTGTTTGCAGTGTCACTTTTAACAGCAGGAATAAAAGCAGTCTTTGACTATCAATACTGAGTCTAGTAAGTGTACTCTTTCAATCCGAGATAGAAAAATATATATGTAATATTAAGCACGTGAATAATGTGGGTTGTTGAGGGGCAGTTGTAGCATGGAGATGCTGTGCCTTGCTTATAACTCAACCAAACCGTCGTCACGGAAACAGCTTTTCTCTTTTTGAAGGTTTTTATTTTTTTTAATTTCCTTCAGCTTAGAGATAAAACTGCACTTAGTGTCTCTGCAGTTGGTGTTTGTGTAATCTGTATATTGAATTCACTGTATAAATGGTAAGTATTTACATTAAACCAACTCCGTCCTGCGTAACATCGCAAAGCCCCCTTTTAATTTGCAAATAATGTAATCAGTAGATTGTGCCAGATGGACAGATTTGCATATTTTAATTAAAAAATAAAATTAAAAAAAGTTGACTTTTGTACGTGCCTCACCTGGTATCCTAAAAACTAAAAGTCAATTAAAGCAAGCGGAACATGTCGGAAATTCTATTAACCCCTTAAGGACCAAACTTCTGGAATAAAAGGGAATCATGACATGTCACACTTCATGCAGAATAAAAAAAATACAAGAATTTACTTTAAAAAATAGCTTTTCTGATATATGAGCATTTATTATCTTCTACTCTAATAGTGTCAGCATCATATGCAGAATTGACCATAAGCATCATGAGTAATGTAGTGCGTGGATGACTGGAGTATCAGACTATAGTCATAATTCTTTTATGAGAAGCTTGCTTTTTTTGGTGCCCTCATTCATGATGTGTGAACTCTTCTGCCCGAGTCTGTGAATGGCATTTTCTGCGTTTCCTTGTGTTAGTCGTACTAACAGCGCCCGGAGGAAGGAAACTGTTACATAAAATATGAATGCTGAGTGAGACACATGGTTCAGGGCAGAATCTGCACTCTCTGCTTTGTCCTTGCCATCGTAATCCTGTTTGAAGCAATGACGGAGACCTCTTTTAGGCCAACATGTAAAATTTTCATTAGAACCCAGGCCTTGCCATATAGCCTACATGAGGGACTTCTTCAAGCTAATCGAATAAATGTAGGTTTTAGAATGATTCATTTCCAATTTGAAAAGGGGCTACAAATATAAGGAGTTTTTGTTTTTCTTTGTACGCACTGCGGTTGAGTATTTAGAATAAAGGAATTTATAATCTGACCATTGTTGTTACAATACAGAATATAACCTGTTTTTTATTTTATTTATTTATTTATATATATATATATATATAATATAAATTTTGTTTTTGTTTTGGGAGGGTGGAGGGAGGGGGCACAGGTTTGTACGCATGAACTGTCCATATCTGAATGTATCACTATCAAACATTACAATGAGCATTAATCTAACTTTTCTTTCGATTATTGGGATCTTTCCAAGCATACTTCGACAGAATAATTGTAATCCAATCCTATTCATCACCTCACCACTCGTTACTGTGCTTAACAAACTGGGTACAGAGAGACTAAGTGGCAGTCAAACATTTTGACTTTTGAGGTTTCCTCCCTAAACACAAATTTGTAAAGTAAATTGATGACAAAACTGTAAAATGTAATTTAAAAAAAGCCGTTTAAAAACAAGTCTTTTACTATGCTATATCCACAGCTTATTTTATCCCAGATTTTTTTTTTCTATATGGTTTAAAGGTGTATTTGTGTATACGTGCCAACTAATATTGTAAAGCGCTACGGAATCTGTCGGCACTATATAAATGGCAATAATAATAATAATAAAGTAACAGGTTTATTGTGTTATACTATTCGGGGGCTTTTACTAAATTGCCTAACTGAACTGCAAGCATAGCTGACTGACAGTCTTTTCAGTTTTTATTTTGACCTTAAATTTGAAATTTACCTTGAATTCTCCCTTTAGGGACTATGTGTTTGTGTATCAATATATAAACCGATAGGCTATAAAGTATCACGTATACACGTAAACTGACTTCAAACACAAGAAGGTCCACTACAAAGTAACAATTGCCTCCCATCCTTTAGGCTTCATTATTAAACCCTTAAGGACACATGACATGTCTGACATGTCATGATTCCCTTTTATTCCAGAAGTTTGGTCCTTAAGGGGTTAATGTCTCTCTTTTATTTTCTGAACAGTCACATCACTGTTACATTTGGCTAGGCTTTTTTCCATTACTGAAATTCATCATTATCTGTGTCTATCCATCACTAAAACACTAACGCTTGTTCTTATCCTGTCTTGTCTTGCCTTTATAAGCGCTCTAAATTCAGCCTGCTAACCTACAGCCTATTGAAAATTCTGCTGTGAGGATAAGATCTCTGTCCCGTCAATTTGTCTTTGCTTCCTTCCTGATGAAATCTCTCTCCTGCCCCCTATTAAATTTCAGATCCACAACACAACTCGTCTTATATTATTCAAAGCCCTTTACTTCCTTGCCCCTCCCTTGGAGTTAATCTTTCCCTGTGCCCACTCCTTCTGCCTGCACAACTCAAATGTTCTGGGCAGAATGTTCAGTCTGTCGTTTAAAGGCACAGATCCTCTTAAAGCACATGGAGGGCAGCCAGAGCTGCATTGAATTTAGTAATGCTCCCAGCCGCCTATTGCCTGTTCTGCTAGTGGTCTATCAAAATAGAGAACTCAAACAGAAGGCAGACATGCTGCTGCAGGCATTGTACATTCGCACGATAGTAGTTGCATTGTTCAGACCTAGTTTTTAAACAACCTTGATTAGGGATGCATTCCAGTAAGGTGATACTACACACTCCTTATGCGGGCTGCTTTTATTTACGTCTAGTCGCATGCACTTAAAGGGTTACTTTAAACCTTTGGAGTAGGGGGAGGGGTGCTCTACCAGTATAAAATACAATTTTGGGTACTATGTAGGAGGCCCCTGCACCCCACTCCGATTGCTCTAAAACCTGAAATAAAAGCTGGGTTTTTGTTTGTTTTTACTCGCCTTGAATCCTGCACCAGACGAATGTCCTGGCGTTGACTTTAACAGGGCCGCACGCGGTCCAATCACAGGTTTTTCCCAGAATTTACACAAATATCGTGTGCTGGGAGTACAGCGAACCCCCAGCACACAATTAAAATCTCTGTAAGTGCAGTGGTTCAAGCTGAAACACTGCACATACTGACTCCTGCCGCCATGACCATTTCAAATCTCCAAAGTGGTCATGGTGTTTGGACTAACCCTTTAATTATTCTTCTGGTGGTCTTTCTAGAGTATCTAATTAGTCCACAATCTTAGCAGTCTGGGGTACTTTTCGTATACCTGATTAGTTGTATGTTGTATGGTGTTTGGCTGGTACATGATTTTCCTTGTATGTAGCAAGTACTGTATATTAAGTTGCTGTTATGTGTCATTCCTTTTATGTTGTAAGTATGGTAAGGCATGGATTAGTAGCTGCAGTATGCAATTGGTCAAATTAAACTTCAGTAAAGACAAATCTCCCAATTATACTCTATAATTGCCTGAAACTAATGGGAGTCCCTCTCCTGGACGGTTGGAAAACATTTTTCTTCCAACAAACTTTGCCTGTGCCTCTATATTGTGTGTGTGTGTATGTATAATAACATTTGTATAGTGTCTGATTTCACATGTATCTGGTTTGTAATCTCCCACATATGTCGGTTACTATACAGAATTGTGGTGGTGGTGGTAGTGTTTCATTTTTATCTTGTTATCAGTATTTTGTCTTTGAAGTATATTTTTGTCCTCAAGATATCAGTCTGTTAACGTTTTGTCTCACTTCTTTCTGTGTTCCACCAAGCAGGTTGTAGTTTGAGTATTTTTTTTTTTTTTTTTTTTTTAAAGGGTACTCTGAGCACCATAACCACAACAAAATTTTATAGTCATCAGTCCCCTGTCACCGACCTAACAGTGGTTTGCACGAAAACAGGAGTATAATAAAAGACTGCCTTTTAGAAGAAACCTCGGGAGAGCCTGGATATCTTTTTTTCCACCCACCTAACGGTGAACTGTCCTACCATTTAAGAATTTTGCCATTCGACTCTGTCTCGTGCTCGTAAAAATAAGGTTCATACTTCCACATTGTCCTACCGATCCAGGACTTTAATCACTGGCTGAGAGTGACAGCTTATGGCGGTTTATAAATGTTCACCTTGATGCTGTTGGCGTATTTTCCGAACACAGTCCTTACCAGGACTGCACAGACTAGTCCCAAAAGGGGAAAAACATCTGTCCACAGCTATGTCTTTTTTTATAGATACTAACCCATACATTGGACCGGTGGTTCCCAAACCAGCCTTCATGACCCAGCAACAGTCCTGGGTTTGTCAATATCTCCATTGAAATAAAAGAGGAAAATACATAAATCCTGGGCTATTTCTGGACCATGAAGATTGGTTTTGGGAACCACTGCACAAGACCAAAAGGCTATGTATAAAATAGCAGGCTATTGCTGATGGAACCTGCTGAAATGAAAACAGGAATTCTAAAAAGTTGTAATGTTCTTTATCCTAATTTGCATGTTTCTCAGGGCATTCTGGGAGTGTTATAAAGCAGTTTGTTAGAGTTATAGTCGTGGGGCAGATTTCAAAATTTGCTTTATGATACGTCAGGTGAAGGTTGTACACACATGCGTGTGCATGGATTTCTCTTCTTCCCAACTTGTTTCTTATATTATCATATTGAAATCTGCATGACATATTTTTGTCTTTTACATTGAAGGCAGTCTCTGTACACATGATGAGGTTTTATTATTTCTCTTATAGACAATCTCACTGATTAAAATTATATGTCATTTCAAACTAGTCTTACTCTGTGTGATGATGTCTCCTTCTTGGAGACATTATAATTCAATTCATAACGGGTTTTTCTGGGAAGAAGTCTCATATCAGAATGTGGTCTTGTTTTCGTAGAGGCAATCTCATTGATTTAAATGGTGTCTTATTTCTTTTAGATTCATTATGAGAATGTCTCCTGTATTAGTGGCAATCTCGACCCTTAACGTGGCATCTGATTTCTCTTGCAGCTTGTTTCATCAAATGCAACGATACTTTATTGTTTTGATTATCATTCTGAAATGTGGTCTGATTAAACAAAATTGTGTGTACCCTATTTCACATGTTTTGTTTACATTTTACACATTTAAATGGTGTGCACATTTTTTTTCATTGGAGACTCACATTGGAGCAGTGTCTAATGCATAAAGAATGTAGTTGTTCACAACATTCATATGTAGTAGATATCCCATTACTACTGAGATATACATTTCATTTCATTGCAGTTCAGCATTAGCTAAAAGACCTTGGTTATGAAGTCCCCATATTTTTGTGACCATTGTCATCATTCGTTCTTGCTTGCTTTCATGATCGGTTCACATGGACTAAGTTATGAGTTACTGCTAATCATGTTAGAACGAAGGTTGCAACTATTGGTGGATTAAGGCAATAGTTGGAGAACATGTTTTAGGAGACTGCCTCTTACACCTGGGGGATCACCTGTAAATAACCCTCCAATGAGAAATAATCACGCCTTACCCTTCTGATATGCATGTAACGGAAATGAACAAACTCTAACAACGGAATGTTTTAACAGTGGATAGTTTTGTTTTGATTTTTTTGCACAAATTAACACAAACAATACATATCTAATTGTGAAGAGGTAATTTCTGTACTTAACTCATTTTGTGTCTGCAAGACTTTGTGCTGTCACCATTGACACCTTAACTCAAGTGCATTTGTTTCTCTGTCTCTTTCAGTGACAGTTACGCTCGTGTGCGAGCTGTGGTTATGACACGGGATGACTCGAGTGGTGGATGGCTGCCACTCGGAGGAGGTGGACTCAGCTGTGTCACCGTGTACAAAGCTCTCCATCCTGAAGAGAACGGGTGTGCGGATTTCATTGTTCATGGAGAGAGGCTCAGAGACAAAACCGTAAGATAATCAAGCATGTTTAAACTTGTCATTGTCACCTGTCCTTAGCTGTCACGTTTGCAGTGTCCTGTCTTACTCTGTATTCTGCCTTAGTGTCCAAGCTTGCCTTTGAATTACCTGAGTATTCGCCCCACACTTTGTCCAAAATTGTCATTATTCCTTATGTTTCTGAGCTTCAGCTCTCTTAATCTCGTAACCTATATTTTTCTTTACTCTGTAGGCCTCCCTAACGTGCCTGTTTGTCTTCTCTTTCAATCCATGCATCCCACATATTTGCTTGTCATGCTTCTCCTATTCCTAAACATGATTGTTTGTCTTTACATAATGTCATCAACATTCCTTCTCTCATTTTATTATTTTTTAAAAATTTTATTTTGCTTATTCCAGTTTTAGCCCATCGTAACACTGTTTGTCTCCTCCATGCAAGTGTCAATTTTTACACCTGCATTTTTCTGTGTTCGGGATACCTGGGTTGCATTTTTATATACCTTTGCTTCCAGCTGCTATATGTGCACCTTCCCCTTTCCACTTCTCTCCTGTTGACCGTATAAGAGGGAACGTGAGCGGGTATAGGCATCTTTTCCAAATCTCCCATTTAGTATGTCGTGCGTCTGCAATGCTACAGGAACGTCTTCGCAACTTGTGTGTATTTCAACGCAGAAACATGTACTGCACTTATTTCATACTGTCTCGTTGTATAGGGTCGATTATTTTTTTTCCTACTCTCGGAATAAAAAAATTTAAAACAGGGATGGCCTAATGTAGATCTCACAGTACTGCTATAAGTGCTGGGACCTCCCTTTTGGTCACTCATTATACCTCATAGTCCAGGATGTATATAGAAAAAATGCTATTGGTAAGGTCTTCAGATTGCACACATTTCCATGTTTTTGGCACACTGTCAATCGTGGTAGTTGGTCCAGAAATTGTATTGATGCAGGAAAGCACTGAAAATAAGCATGTTTTTTTTTTCACAATATTCTGGCAGGAACTAGTATAAAAAATAGGAGCATATGGACAGAATGAATGTTCCTCACTGTGTGTGGAAAGTGTTCCCCACCAGCCCTTGGATGTACTAATGCAGGTTGGCACGTCTGCTTCCTGATGTAGAGCAAGTCATCGTAGGTTCACCTGAGGCATATGTTCGTCTCTGGTCCGGATTCTGGGCAGATCATTTTGAAGTGATTTAAGTGAATCTGATGTCCTTGAGCTTTCTCTGGCTTTTTGAGAGTGATGAGAGTTAAAGTGTAGTGGTAGCCTGGGATAAAGAAACTAAAAGAAAAAAAACCTGAGACAATATGGAGTATTCCAAAGAGAAATGTGATAATCCTGCCTGATCTCTTCCCTACAGTAATCAAAGAATTGATAAACAGACATCATTGGGTATAGTACAATGAAATAAAATAGCAAGTACCACCTTTACCCCGTCTGTAACTGTGACTAACTAGCTCCTCTATAATATGTTGAATTAAGACTTTACAGACGCACAAAGCTTGATAAAAAACGGAATTTGGTTTATCCTTAACTGTTACATTGTAACATTCTAAACACTGCTATTTAGTCTCTATTAATTGTTATACTTGATATTTTATTCTGCTACACTGTGCCAATCATGTCTGTTTAAAGGAACACTATAGGGTCAGGAACACAAACCTGTATTCCTGAACCTATAGTGCAAAACCCAACATTTAGGTGGCTTGCCCCCCTCACCTTATTTCCAGCACCGCCCCCTTGGTGACATCATTATAATTGCTGGTTTAAGCCAATCCAATGCTTTCCCCGATTGAGTAAAATCAGCAAAGGGGCGAGGTCAAACACCATTTTGGCCAAACAGCACCTCCTCATAGAGGTGCATTGAATCAATGCATCTCTATGAGGAAAATTCAGCATCCCCATGCAGAATGTAGAGACGCTGAACAGCAGTGCTGCCTACTGTGCAGCACTGCCCCAGGAAGCCCCTCCAGTGGCCATCTGAGGAGTGGCCACTTGGAGGTGTCCCTAGGGGCAATTTAAACACTGCCTTTTTTTCTGAAAAGGCAGTGTTTGCGTGAAAATGCCTGCATATAATGATTATACTCACCAGAACAACTACATTAAGCTGTAGTTGTTCTGGTGACTATAGTGTCCCTTTAACTATTCTTTTTGGCATAGTCTATTTTCTTTGTTTTGTTTTTTACTTTTAGTTTCTTTAATCTAGTATTACGGTTAAGCCCTCAGACAGTCGTGGTCTGGCATTTGGGCACTAAGTTGTCTTAGAGTCCATCTCCTTTCTTTGTAGTTAGGCTAAGCACATAAATGGTTGTTTTGGCATTTATAATTTCCATATATTTAAAGGCAAACCGGCACAGCCTGAACATTACTCCAACACATAAAATATTGAAGATCACTTAAAACTTGTGCTATCTTCATTTTTCATGTGATGCTCTGATTTCTTGTAAATTCTCATTAAAGATTTAGTGAATTACTCTATTATTTATTTAAGTCCTGGCACAGCCAGGGCACAAAATGTAAATGAGGATGAGAATTAGAAAAGGCAGAATAAATGAGGTTTGTTATTTTTGACATTTCATTTCATTTTATTTTTCACAACTAAGAAATACATATTTTTAGCATTCTTTATTTCAAAATTATTTTAAGAATATTTTGAAGACAAGAAAAAGGGTTAAGAAACATTAGAACTGTCTATAAGATCTACCAAAACAGTTTGTACAAACATGGGTTTGAGGATGCATTGTAAGGGGTAGCACACATGTAGTAAAGTGATCTGTTTTGATTGATTCTTTATGGGAATACTCTATACACGAAACACCTTTAGCTTAATGAAGCCGATTTTGTGTAAATGACATGCCCCTGTTGTCTCACTGCTCAATTCTTTAGGTTTTAAATCAATTTGTTTATATTTATGCAGCTGTAGCCACACCTCCCCTGGCTGTAACTCTCACAGACAACATGAAAAAAATGTTTTTTGTTGTTTTTAAAAATCAGATGTGTCAGCACAGTGTGTTTATTTTAGTTTTATTCTCTTGCTCTGTTACGTGAGCTTTAACCTCACACAGGAGAATCCTGTAGACAGTGGCGTACACATGATCCATGGGGCCCGGTGCTAAAACAGATCTGTGCCCCCCCCCCCGGGTGGTTACATCGCGCGAGCCAGCCGCAACACATGGCGGTGGGCACCTGGTCGCAGGGTCTGCAGGGCGACCAGGCCCCCTGGAGTGATGGGCCCGGTTGCAGCTGTGGCAACTGTACACACATACATACAAAAACACAGACACACATACATACAAAAACACAGACACACATACATACAAAAACACAGACACACATACATACAAAAACACAGACACACATACATACAAAAACACACACACACATACATACAAAAACACACACACACATACAAACAAGCACACATACAAACAAGCACACATACAAAAAAGCACACACATACAAAAAAGCACACACATACAAACAAGCACACATACAAACAAGCACACATACAAACAAGCACACATACACATGCACAGACTTACACATGCACAGACATACACATACATGCACAGACATACACATACATGCACAGACATACACATACACAAACATATACAGACAGAGAAACATTCATACATACAAACACACACATATACAAAATATTTTAGTCACCCTCCTGTTTCCTACCATTTAGATGCAGACGAAATGTGTGGCTAGGGCTGTATAAACAAAGCGTTTTAACTCTTAAATGCCAAATAATTGAGCAGTTAGACTGCAAGGGACATGATCTACACAATATATAGTTGTTTTGGTAGTCTTCGTGTCCCTTTAAGTGTCAGATGGAAGGTAAGGGAGGCATAGCAAGTTCTACAGATAAGCAACCTATTTTTATTTTTATTTTTTTCGCATGTATAATATTGGCTGAAAGCAGGGATTGGAGAAGAAGCACCAGGAACTAGAAGAATAGGTTTCTTTAAAATGCGTAAGCACAGTCTCACCACTTGTACCCAAAACAGTTGTGGCAAGGGACACTGCTATTACATATATGTGAATAATGACCAACCTTACCACAATGTTTCCAATTGAGATTGTTAGTTATTCTTCCGGTGTTAAAGGAACACTCCAAGCACCATAACCACTAATCTATAGTGATGTCGTGTCAGGGTTCCCTTGGCTCTTTCCACTGTAAGGAGTCAAACCATTGTCGTAAACGTTTGACTTGTTACCTGGGGTATGCTGGTGCCGTTCCCTCATTTTTGAAAACCAGAAGGGCCTGCTAGGGCCAGCTTATTGGTTGAGAGCATCAACAGATTACTGACTTAATGGTTTGCTAAACTGTTTGATTACTTACATTGAGGGTATTCCTGGCTCCATAACCACTACAGCACACTATGGAACTGGGACATATAAACACGCATATTCAAATTGTGTATCATTTGAGACCACTTATGACAATTTTGACTGCTCAATAAATGATGCAGTTGTATATTATTATTATTTTGCTATTTATATAGCGCCAACAAATTCCATAGCGCTGTAAAAAGTGGAAAAAGTCAAAGGAGAGCAAAGGTGGGAAAATTAAATATAGGGGATATGTAAATATGTTATTAAAAGTCCTGAGAAATGGCAGTGCACCTCCATTGGCCAAACACAAAATTGACTGTTTAGTAGATATACCCAAATAAACACATGGATGCTTTTTATTAAGCATTTTTTCATTGGGGTTACATCTGTGAAAAAGCTGCAGATATTTTGTGTGCAGTGTTTGCAAACCCCTGCAACCTTTCTTCCCCAGTCCAGACATTCTGTCCAATCACAGACTTCCCAATGCAGCTCAATGAGAAGTCTTTGCAAGGCCGGTGCTCCGAGCAATTGCTGCCTCTTGAGTTTAGCTTCACTGAGCTAACCAACCCAGGAAGTGACAGGACCTGCAATCCAATTTCTATGGAAATCTGCCTTTTTTATGCAAAACGGATAAAGCGGACACACTCTTCACACATAAAGCACTTCAGAAAGCTAAAGTGCATTAGGGGTCTCTGGAGTGTCCCTTTAAACATTGAATTGAATATCTGACTTATTTTCCATGATTCCGTGGTACAACTTTAGAATGATGAGCCTATCTCAACCACATCCTCACACCCTGACCGTGATAGCAGAGCTTTGTCGTGAGGAAACCTGCTGTAAAACTCACAATTTCTGGATTGTATGAAAAATAAAAACTTTTTTTTATATTTTTCTTTACTTTGTAATTTTGTAACAGAATCCTTTATTCCAACTTTTGTGGCATTCAGATGTTGCCGAGACCTGTATCCTTATCTGACCACCTTCTTCCCATACCCTCTCCGTATCCTGTGGCGGCCAGTTTAACACATCTCGATAAAATGTGCATGTTGGTCCTCGTTCCCCAATGCTTGTAGCTGTGCGCTTGTCTCCATGACGACAGAACACTGTCTCCGGAACAGAATAATGAGCCTGGGGAGGAAGACAGACTGCTAGTGGGAGAGAGCTTGCAGTGTCCTGCATGAATCAGTCCTCTCACTCCTGGCATCTCGGTGCTCGTAGAGGGTGAATGCTAAGCATTCGGCCAAAGGGAAGTGGTAGTCATGGTACAATGCAGGGCAGGAGAATTGCTGTATATCGCCGATATTAGTGAGAACACAGTATCACTTAGCTATGCTACATCTGCACAGTCAGAATCTTAAACATAATTCAGGATATTTTGTACTTGTAGCGAAACTTAGAATTTAATTAATCACGTCTTGCATATCTGTCCTGGCCAATTGAACGATAAATGTAGCTCTTTTTTCGGAAATCTAAATTAAACGGTTAATGCCAGACTTTTAGATGACACAGTCAGGGATCAATTTATGTGGGCTGATGATGAAACGCCATGGATTAAAGGCAAAGGTTAATTGCCGTACCCTAATGTAGGTAAAAGTTACGGCTCCGCAAACCTCTGCTTTTTTCTGAGCCATCAAATATAGTTGTCGATTCTTAGAGCTTTTTTTGTAAGCTGTAGTGGAATGACTGCTTTACCAGCTTGTCCCTGGTGTGGATTTCCCATCAGTCAGTTCACTATCCCAGTTAATTTAAGAAGCAAGTCACCCTTCCTAAAGTCTTTTTTTTTTTCTACTGCCCCCTCTCCTCCCAGACTGCACGTGGGCTAACCTGAACATTCTCAGACATGGTCTTTCTTGTAACGTTAAACTTTTCATTAAAACAGGATTTCACCGCACGTTATAATAAAACAGGACCCAGTTAGTGGGTGCCTAAATTTTTGCGTACCCAGAGGTGTAAGCAATGCAACACATTCACACACCTCTAGCCCTCGAAGGTCTGACTTTTTTAGCCCTCCACTGCATTACTTTAGCCCGCTGGAATTCAATGGGTTAATGCCTATGATGACCTAAGTAGAAACAAACAAAAAAACTGAAGGTGGTACTTGATATGAAAAGTTAGGATTCTTCTGTAGTATGTTGTACTCTGTAAACTGTCAGGCCAAGAGTTACACGGACTATTTGTAGTAGTGTGGATTTTGTCATTTTTCTTTTATTAATAACATGCTACCTCGCCGTAGACTATCATTTAACACCTGCCTCGAGACCCTTTATTCCCAGCCTGCGGAGAGCACAATTACTATTTTTGCTGGAAGTTGTGGGTAGGAATTTGAGCCAGACGGGCTCTTTCTTTCCCACTGCTATGATGCATTAAAAGCCACAAAAAGCTCTTTTCTCATCCAAGAGCGACTTAAACATAGAGTATGAAGCAGAGGAATGATTCATTGGAGTGCAGAGAGAGGAGGAGGAGAGAAAGCGAGGAATGAGGCGCATAGACGATGAGAAAGAAAGGAGGAATGATTGCATCAATAGTGGGGCATAAAGCTCAGGAAATGGAGAGAAGTAATGATGTGGACTGTTTCCTGAATGTTACTCCCTCTCCCCTCCCTGGTCGTACAGGAGTATAAAGGAGAGGAATTTGACCTCTAGAGGCAGCTGGAGTATTGATTTTTTACAGATAAGTGAAAAGGCCTCTGCCTGAGACCAGCTTGCAGCCTCTGTGAGGTCAAACCTCATGTTGATTCCACATATCCTGGTCTTTTCACTGTCACCTTCCTGAGCTGGGCTCCAGCCAGTCTGCAGGAAGCAATCGCCACATCCCATATAATCCCTGTGTCACTCAGGAAAAGCCCACACAGCAGAGCTCAAAAGCATGTTCTTCAGTTTAGAGTGGGTTTTTTCGCTGTAGCACGGGAACACGTAGCCTGAACATTGACTTGTTTACACTCGGTGCATCCTGGTTTTATTGTTTATTACTTGAATCATTGTTCCATGTACGTACACGGATGGATGAGTTAATTCTGCGTCTGTCTGTCCCGGTGGAGTGAAATAATATTTTTAATGTGCTATACAGTATTGCGAGGTTGATGCTCTGTTTATACTCTGGGTTATTTGCTAAAGTGAGAATTGTCAGAAATTCTAAGTAAATTTCAAATCGAATGCCAAATTACTCAAAATGGAAGCATAGCAGACTTGGCAAAATGTATCCAATTTGGTTATTTTGGATTTAAAGGACCACTATGGGCACCCAGACGACTTCAGCTCAATTAAGTGGTCTGGATGCCAGGTCCATCTAGGGTTAACCCTGCAGCTGTAAACATAGCAGTTTCAGAGAAACTGCTATGTTTACATTAGGGTTAATCCAGCCCCTAGTGACTCTCATTGACAGCCGCTAGATGCGCTGCCGCGCTTCTCACTGTGATTTTCACAGTGAGAAGACGCCAGCGTCCATAGGAAAGCATTGAGAAATGCTTTCCTATGGACTGACTGCGCGCGCGGCTCTTGCCGCACATGCGCATTCAGCGGATGACGTCGGAAGAGGGAGGAGAGTCCCCAGCACCAAGGGAGCCCCGTGCTGGAGAAAGGTAAGAATTTAATCCCTTCCTCCCATTAGAGCCCGGCGGAGTGGGACCCAACATTCACTTTCTGATGTTCCTCTGGGCTGGGTTGGTACTCCACCTCCTACAACGTCATCTGACGGGGGGAGGGGCTAATGCACATGCACAGCAAGCGTCACAAGACTTAATAAGGACTTAACTGACACTGGCTGTCTTTATGCAGAGTGAGAGGACGTCCAGCACCAGTTAAGCAACCTAAAGTCCGGTAAAATCCCAGAAGCACCTCTAGTGGCTGGTAGTGTCTGGTAGACGGCCACTAGAGGCTGTCTTAGTCATGCACTGTAAACATTGCAGCTTTTGCCAAACTTAAATATTTTACATTGTCTATTTCAGCCTATTCCCTTTTAACCTCTTCACAATTCTCACAATATGTTAGATGATCAGACACACCAACAATACAGAGCTCCTCGAAAAGAGGTACCTAAAAAAAAGAGGGATTTGGGGGCAAAATCGAGACACTTGGGACATATGAAGTTTATAATGAAACTGCTGCTCAATTAGCACTGATGGACTTGTGGAATCCAATCCTTTTATTAATTGTTTTTGTATCAGATGCTACTCGAACATCTCAACTACCCTGTGGAAAAAGAGCTGGCTGTAACTTAATTCCTTAATGAAATCATTGTAGCCTTCAAAATAAATTGTCATTCAAGGGCCGCCAATAAGTTGTTGTTTTTTGCGACCTGTAAAATGATACATTCCCCCCCCCATAAACTTTATGGGTGGCCTTGGCAATTCCAAAGCAAACAATGACATGATAAAATGTGTGTGATCTATAAAAAAAAAAAAGAAAAAGGAAAGCTATAAACCTGTGCACATAAACACAGGATTCTGCATGGGCATAAAAAAATAAAAATAAATTTACCCTTAGGTCTATTTGGTCTTTCTTTTGGTTCATGCATTCTTGTCACCGTTGAGTTTATATTTAAAATTGTGTCCAGTTTCGCGCGCATGTTCCATTTCCTAACACATAAAGAACTGTTCATATTTTTATATTGGTGACGTATCTTTTGCCTTTACTGTAATGCAACAAATGTATCATTTTTTTTTTTTCTGTCACTTCGCTCTCCTATTTTTTTAAATATTTATTTTGTTTTTATTTTTTTAACCAGTGATCATTTATCTATGATCACTGGTTAAAAAAATAAAAACATGAATGTGGCCACAGAATGATGGGGGCCGTAGTTTGATATGAGTTTGTTTCACTCCTATCCTACCATGATCTTGCTTTAGTTGAAGTTTTAGTTTTTTTTAAAACATTGTTTTATTTATTTACTAATTTTATTATTATTATTGTATTTCTTAAACAAAAAAAGAAGACTGTGAAAGCTGCTTACTTGTTTCAGACAATAGCATTGTCAAAAAATGTTGTTGAGGGGTCGGGGGGAGTGTAGTATTGCAAAAATGCAATTCCATGTTTTTAACAACCATAAAATCTTTTGTGACCTAGAAGAAAAAAAAAAAACATGGAACCTAACGCAATAGAAAAATAAAGTGACAAAGTGTTGTAGTAAGGATTTTTTTGGCGCAAATTAAAAAATAATTTCATGGGTTTTTTGAAGGCAAGGTCAAAAGTAGAGCGGAGATTTCACCAGACACTATAGAAATGTAAATAATTACAACAGCATTTTTTGTGAAATAGGCAGCACAATAGTATAACATGTTTTCAATTTTATTTAGCAAACTAAACCCGCAACTCATTCTCTGGCATTCATTTAGGGACGATCAGTTTAAAGGTTTGTGGTAGTCTGATTTCTTGCCCTCCATTTTATCTAATAAATGGGGAATGTAGTGTTTTGGTTGTCGAAACAAAGATGATGCTGGTTTTTTTTTTTTTTTTTGATTTTAATTTTGAGAGGTTGATCAGATAATGTGGCATCATTCGGTTTGTCTGTGTCCTTGTTAAAGAGACACTAAAGGCATTAAAACCACTTTGGATTAATGAAGTGGTTATGGTGTAGATATCATGCCTCTGAAATCACACTGCTCAATTCTCTGCCATTTAAGAGTGAAGTCACTTTTGTTTCTCTCCGTGCAGCCCTAGCCACACCTCTCCTGGTTGTGACTGACAGTCTGCATGAAAACGAAATGTTTTCATTTTCAATCAGATGTTAACTTGCTTTAGGAGTTTTTATCTTATGCTCTGTAAATTAAACTTTAATCACACACAGAAGGCTCCTGCAGGGTCTAGAATGCTATTAACAAAGTGGGAGATTAGAAATTGTAAATTATACAGAACGTGCAATAAAGGTTTAAAAGTTTAAACATTAAAGCTCTCTCTTTATATAAAGTCTTAGAAAGACTGTGCAAGTCACTTGCAGGGAGGCATGGCTAGGGCTGTATAAAAAAAGTGATTTATCTCCTAAATGGCAGAGAATTGAGCAATACAACTGCAGGGGCATGATCTATACACGAAAAACACTTATTTAAGCTAAAGTTTTCTGGGTGACTATAGTGTCCCTTTAAGGTAGCCATTTTGCTGCACAGCTTTAAAAGTTGTTGCCAAAACGGGTGAATCATGGGCACGAAGCACCTAATAGGGAGATGTACTGCAGCTGGTGCCTCCAAATATCCATATGCTGCTGATTGAGATGTTGGAGTGCACTGGCCATTGGCACAGTTATCCGTTGGAGCCTCCAAAATCTGTTCACCTTCCTTTAAAAACTATTTTTCAGCCAACCAAAGTGGAAATAATAAAATCAGCTTTGGAATATTTACCTGTGACTTAATGTATTTTCTCACTTTGATGAGTGTGTTTATATGCTGCTTGCAGTGCTACGTGTGACACTGTTTCCAAGTTTGTCAATAACCGTACAGTTGAACACATGTAACCATGTGTACCATAGGAAATGTGTACTGATGGATTGAACGAAAACATTCTAGTTTCTGTTTCTACATATATTCCTGTGTGTGCTATTCTATGTGAGACTCCAGTTCAGTTATCCTTGGAGATTTGTTTCCTCCACAGACAGGATATTGAATAAGGAAAAGAGTTGGTCTACCTAGTCCGACTGCAGCTGGTTCATATCTGCAAAGAATTGTTGGGGTTTGAGTTCTAGAATTCCCACAAAATTTTTGTTGGGTGCCAACATTCAGTGTGTTCTGTTTCCCAATATGTTGCAGAGTCAATCAACCGTGTCACAATTCGTGCCCTGTCTGGCTGAATATTTCTGCTATTTTCCCGTCCTTACACAAAGCAAGCCCTAGCAGAGATCTGAGGGTGTGTCCTTAACTATCTGTATGCATTGGGTGTGTAAGCCTAGGCATTCTGCGCCCTGAGCACCCAATTTAGATACCCAAAAGAACAGCACCCTGCAGGGTGTGTACACAAGTGCTGTGCAAGATTGCAGCTTGTTTTAAACTCTCAAAGCTTACAGAGTTCAAATTGCACATGTATGCGATCTAACCACTTCGACATCTATAAGCTAATGTCATTCCATTTATTGCCATGTCTATAGTGGGTAGTTGATTTAAGTTCCAGAAAATGGTTTATTCATTAAACTGTTAGTTGAGGAAGATTGAGAAGAAAATATAAGTTAATAGAAAAAAAAAAACAAGCAGAACTGAAAGATGTTTGGCTTAAATTTGTCATACCATTGTTATTTCCCCACAATGTTTTTGTTGTGTCAAATCTAGATTTGACTTGACCGTTTCTGGACAGCTCATATGAAATTCTAGATTTTGGTTTGGTCTGGTTTCCTTCTCTGCTGTAGTGCTGAATACATGTATTTATGATCTGAATTTGTAGTATTTAAAAGGTTGTTCTAAACTCTTTTTAGAGCCAGCTGTTTGGGGAAAACCTTTTTTTGGTACCATTTTTTTTTTTTGTTTAACTGCAGAAAAAAAGACAAATGTACATTATACTTAAAACAAAATAAAAATAGCTAGCCTGGGTAATCCTTAACCACTGATAAAGATAAAAGGCATTTACAGTAACTCCAATCACCATATTGGGCTGAGGTCAGTTGAGTTAATAGTACACAACAAAGACCATCCTTCAAAGACATGATATATAACCAACTACTTTTAAGTAACCAATACATCCTTTCACAAATTAAAACAAAACTAACAGATTTCTATTTCTATGTGGGGAAAGGTCAAGAGCCACTCTGAGAAAGAGATTTCACTTCTACATAAAGTAAAATAAGAGATTTATGCTGGTATTGGGGGATGCTCTGCCACCACTTTTAGATGTGCCACATGGCATTTTGAAATCCTAAATAGACCTTGGGTGTATACACCCAGAGCAAAGATATCCGTCCTCCATGCAAGAAAGAATGTATTGCTGTATTTTTCTTTTTTCCCCAGCTAATTCATCTTAAATAAGTGTAGACTCTTGGTTTATATAGGGCCATGGTTGGGGAGTGCAGAGTGTAGTCACTGGTGGAGAATAGTTTTACGAGCCGCAGATGTAACCGCGTGTAACATTCTATTGCATTTTGAGACACCCTCTTTCAATATATTGACATGGTCCACTTCTCAGGTTGAGTTCCACTAGGACCACATAGAGGTTCATTGCCCTCCAAAATATATGAATGCGTAGACGTGACCAGAAACAGTAACCAGTATCAATACGGATACTTGGGTTATTCGGGGTTTACGTACTATATTTAGGTGTCATTCACCTATGAGACTCAGTCTTTTTTTTTAATTTTATTTTTTTATTTGGGGCAAGAATCTAAAAATCTGTTCATGGATGGCCTAGGACTCCCAAGAATTTTTTGAATGCGGAATGCGGCCACAGAATGATGGGGGCCGTAGTTTGATATGAGTTTGTTTCACTCCTATCCTACCATTTGATCTTGCTTTAGTTGCACATGAAAAAAGTTCTTCAAATAATAATACGGTATACTAAACCTTTCAAATGTAAATTGACACTTTTTTTGTACATGTCTGGGAGTGGAGTAAAGGGATTTGCACCAGTCTCTATCCCCAAAGTTTTACATAAGATCTGTAATGTAACTCTTAATCTGGGGATACCCAACGTAGTGGAAAGCTGTATTTAGGGGGTTTATATAATCCCGTGTCTGGTCTATTCTGGGAGGGAGGTTTTAGTCCCCAGTCCTGAAATGTCGGATTAAACAAATAAAAAGTCAAAAAGGATAAAAACTGCTTTTGAAAGAGCAGACGAAGACTCAAAATGGATAACATTAGGGCAGTGGTCTCCAAACCAGCCCTCTAAGCACACCTACTAGTTCAGGATTTCGGTATTACCCAGTTTTAGAAAAAAAGAACACAACAGGGTATTCCCTAAATCCTGGACTGGGAGGCGAGCCCTGAGGACTGATTTGGAAACCACTGCATTAGGGTGTTATCACAGAGGTCGGTAACAATGAAGACAGACAGGGTATGTAGCAAAATGGATAGGAAAATGTCAGAGGAATATTGTTGGTCCAGGTGGGTCTCAGAAAATTCCTAGACTACTTTCTTATAAGCTGCTTTTAAATAAAAAAATCTTGACTAATGAGTTACTCTAGTCGAAACACCATAACAATTACAGCAGCGGAGAGCTCTGCACCACACACCATAGTCATAGCCACATGTTTAGTGTGTGAATCACACCTATGGTCTAAAACACAAATATACAGACTGCAGAGGAAAAAGGGGCCCGGTTTGAGCTGGGCTTATTCTCCAAATACACATCTGTGGAGAACTCGAAATTATATAATTTTGGAAAAGTCTCTAACTCCTCAAAGGTTAAGATAGTCTTAAAGTCAAACATTTAATTATTATTTTACTTTTTTAATATAGCGCCATAACATTCTGCAGCGCTGTCCATGGGTGCACTGTTACGAGTAAAAAGACACACTTCAACAGGGGTGCCCAAAAGGTAGAACCCCAGATGTTTTAAAACTACAACTCCCATGATGCTTTGCATGCCTTTAGAATGTTTCCGCATGGAAGCTGTAGCACTACAACATCTGGTGATCTTCCTTTTCGGCACCCCTGCACTACAATGTAACTTAGACACAATACAAAATCTGACACGCAAATACAGGAGGAGATGAGGGAGAGCCCTATTTTAGTGGGCATTTACAATCTAGATGGATAGGGGTGATCTAAAATAGTTATTCATGTCAAATTTTCGGGAATTGCATACATATGGAAAACTCAGTCAAAAATAGTAACTTTGATAGAGAATCGTTCCAAATCCGCTATTTTTGCTATATTTCGCTTTAGGTTGTGAAGTTCCGAGTTTAGAGAATATAACCTTGTTTGGTGAACTTTTTAACTCCACACCATAACACACTAATGTACATACCTCTCAAAATATGGGATACGGTTGTCTCGAGATAGAAATCCAATTGTTTCCTGCGCGACTAAAAAAAAATTCTTTTTTTTTTTTTATTTCTCCAGCTGTTTGCATCTGGTCCTTTTCCAAAAAAACTTTCTGTAGGAAATGTAATCATGCAAAATGAGGCCCCAGGCTAAACTGCTCCAGAATTCCAGGGGAGCAGAAAGTTATTAAGGAAAAATGTGGCGTGTGTGCATATTATTTTATATTATGTGTGCATAAATACCTTTTTCTGTTTTGGGTTTAATTTACATTGTAAATAGATTTTGTTTGAGATACTGATAGAGACTTGGTTGTTGTGTTTGTCAGTTCTAGGTTGAATGATGTCGTCTGATATCTTGTTAAAAGACGGTTCTCAGACTTCCGAAAGCCTTTGAAGCTCTGACAAAGATTCTGGTATCTATGTAGCATTGTGTCATCACGTGACCCAATACCAGATTGTGACTTTTGTAAGATTTGGTTCACTGCAGTGCCGATATATTTGTTTCTCTTGGAGTTTTAGCTCTCGATGTTGGATGGATGGATGGATGTGTGTACGTGCTTTCTTGGTACATAATGGTGCGTTATTTACAGTTTATTTACATGTCTGTTTCCCACAGGTTGTCTTGGAGTGCGTACTTAAGAGAGAACTTATCTATAATAAAGTCACTCCAACATTCCACCACTGGAAGATTGGAGACAAGAAGTTTGGCCTCACTTTCCAGAGTCCTGCAGATGCTAGAGCATTTGATAGGGGTATACGCCGTGCCATTGAAGACCTTACTCAAGGTAGTACCACAACTGGAGATACTTTTCTAGTACTCTTGCATGTAAGGAAACCTTTTGTTTGAATTCCTAAAACTCAGGCTACAAAGTAAGGTTCACAACTCCTTTATAAAAAGGGAACCCACTGAGTGATTAACAGATGTGATTACCGGGCTAATTACTTTTTGTTTGTACGATACACAGCTATCTTTCATTCTCTTGCCTCGTTTGTTCTCTATCTCTGAATCCTTCCTTTCCGAGCAAAAAACATCCTGCATATATCTCTCTCTATCCCTTCTTCCACTTCTTTGTCTTTATTACAAAGGTTATTTTGCACTATAACTACTTGGCAGTCCTCTTCCATGATGAGCTCTGCATGTACGGAGATACTGGCGATCTCAAGATCTCTTGAAATTATCACGAACTGGCACTTACTTTGTGCTTGGTTTTATTTTCATTCCATTTTTTTTTCTTTTTATGTAGTAGTGCCTTGCAGATGAGATCAGAGGTGAACATATTTAACTCTTGTCTTACAAATCTTTTTATGGTAATTTCAGGGTGCCCGTCATCCCTCCATGGAGAATCGGAGATTCCTGAAGATGTGCCCCAGGTTTGTTTTTGTCAATGTATTTGATTTTGATTGTAAATATTGCTGCTATCTCCAACACACCACACTTTCAAACAAACAAACACACATACACACACAAAAGAAAAGGCAAGATTTTGGATTTAGCAAATTGTATTACTTTAAATTCTAGCACTTGAATAAGAAGGATGAATATGTGTAATTCAGTGAATACTATTAAGTGGACAGGAACTTGGCCAAGTTGTTGACTTGACCCAGATGTGGTCAACCGAGAAATCCAAACTTTGGACTTACAACCCCCATAAAACTCAAGCTCTTGATAATCCTACGCTGGCAATGTATCATCTTTTTTTCCATTAACAAGTCCATCCATCCATCCATACATCCACCAATCAACCATCCACCAACAGAAACAGTTGCTTAGTGTGTAGGACATCACATTTTTGAATTTGATCTTTAGAGAACAGATATCTCTGGTTAAAGGGACATTCTAAGCACCATATTCACTACAGCTTATTGTTGTCCTTATACTACAAAGATCCTGTTGCTTTCTCCATATGCATCATCTAATGTATTATCAATAGAATCTGTTTAACGCTTGGGGGTCGCAGGTTCAAATCCCGTCAGGGATGACTTCATCCTTCCGAGGTAGATAAAATGAGTACCATTAAATTGGGTAATAGTAGCAACCCCAAGACGTACTTGGAAACCAGAGAATATCTAAATGTACCTTTCCTAGTTAAATACTTTGTTGTTATTATTATATATTCCAAAATATTTAGAGAATAGCTGCCCCTTTGATTTTGATGTGAATTTAGGAAGCTATGCTTTCTGATTTGGCCATTCGGGTGTTTAGTACAGGATTAGTATGCATTTCTTGCACACAAGTGCCTCTATTAAGCCATGCACAGTGCCACAAACATTTTCGTGCAATGCTTTAAATCTGTTCCCCTGCCTGATTTAGAACCCTGTTCGTGATTGTGCTCTGAGCAAATATCCTCTGAAAGATTCTTTGATGCTGGCCTTTATTTTCACTGTGTCAGTAGCTATCTTCACAGTGATACACATATACAGTAGCAAAACCAAGTGGCTCTTTGTTCCAAAAAAGGATTCAGATCCCAAAAGCTGATGAGCGCGAGAGAAACAAACATGTCATTTCTTTTTGAATCAAAGGAAGATATGTTACTGCCCCAGGGTTGCAGAAATCTAACTGGTGTCAGCCAAATATAGTTAATATCGCAATGAGTGTTTGTGGCAAGCCACATCAAAATTGAAAGCACTTTGAAAAGCTTTCCTTATTTGTAACCCATGTCGATGATTTCAGCAATAGTCTGTACATCTTTACTCGTCTCTGCAGTCGATGGTCGTCATATGTGACTGTTATGCAAAGGTTTAGCTGCATGGTATTGGTTCGTAAATCACATGGAGTTTAATTTAAAAATAAAAAAATAAAAACCTGAAGCCACAATGCTGCCTCTGGAACCATGACAACTTACTTTTTTGTGACTTTTGTTACATTCTCTTTTTCCATTTCCTTTTCTCACTTCCTTTCAATGTCTTCTCCTGTCCTGTCTGTATCTCTGTTTATAGCACGTATGTGTGTCTGTGCCACATTCTCTGTTTCTTGTCAGTGCCTGCCGCTGTCTCTTAGTGTCTTCATTTCAGTGTCTTGTCATTGCTACCATAATCTGTCCCATTTCACCCCGTCCCATCCTAGAGCATGCATGTGCCTGACCCATTCTGTCTGTCTGTTCCTCCCTCTCTCTCTCTCTCTCTCTCTCTCTCTCTCTGGCAACTGCAGACAGTCAGTTGAAGTTTTCCAGCTGCCCGAAAGATGCTCACGGATGACAGGAGGAAAGTTCTGTGTGCTTTTCGAAGGGAGATTGGGGGGGAAGGGAATGCTTTCCTTTCCTTCCCTCTCTCCCTCCGGCCCCTCTCTCATCTGGCTGCAATTCCTGCAGCTGGAGACAGTTTTATAGCTTTCCCCTAGACTTGCCTGCCCCTGCACAGAACTGTGGATTCAGGAGGGGGCTGAGGGGGGGGGGGGAAATCGAGCCCATCTCATAGCAACCACAGTACTATAATTGTTCTTCCAGCAGCTGGAATAAAACAGATTTCCGAACTGCATTAAAAGCTGGCCGAAAGCAAGGTGCAGATGATGCCAGACTCCTCCTTTCACTTTATTATTCCAGACTTTTTGGTTATAGAATCTGTAGGCTTTATGGGAGTGAGTGCGTGAGTCTGAAGGGAACAATATAAGATTTGGTGGACGAGCTTGACGAGAAGTTGTGTAATTACAGAGACCGAGATATTACTGCAAGAAGTGGGGGGGGAGTGTGCGAACACTGTCAGGGTTTAATTTTAGAGAATTCCATCAAGGTAAATGCTGTGATTCAGTAGGCATGATTCAATAGTTTGGAGGAAGTGGTAGGAGATTGGCGCTGTGTAGTAATGACGAACGTTGAGAAAATAATCTTTAGGACTAAAAAAATATATATATTTTGTGTACCTGCCTGTGGATCCAGATTGGATGAAGACGTGCGAATGAGTGATTGCACTGTAGCTACATGAACTGGAAACAAATATACTAGTGGGCTCCTCTGTGGTGGGAATGAAGACTCCTCATGGCAGGAGCTGTACGAGAATCTCGCTGGCGTCATCTCTTGCCTCTTTAAACAGACAAGATCCAGTCGGAAAGAAAACCGCTTACAATCTTTGAGTACAAGCCATGAGTTCGAGATAAATTCCAAGTCTATATGAAGTAATATTCCCCTATATTAAAGTCCTTTCTTTTTTTTTTCTTTTCTTTTTTTTTTCAATATCTGCTTAATTGGAGAGATCCCAAACTGTGAATGGTGTCAGCCCCTTAACTAGTCGGGCCTGTGAAACCTGCAGAACTTGTCTTCTGAAATAGAAGTTTCAAGATCAACACATACAGTGTTCTAAAGGTGATCATGCCTAACAGGCGTTACTCAGAAGAAAGCCTCGTAGGTCACCTGCAGCAAAGTATCGAAGCATTGCACAACTTCTTCGGATCATAAAATATATACAGTTTCCTCAAATTTAAAGGATTGACAGATTAAATTACACATTTTACAGTTTCCTGGTTTATGATATTTTTTCATTGTTTTATTGCATTAGTGTTTCCATGGTAATGACATCTTGTTTTCTTAGTGGGGCTAGAATGAGGCGGTCTGCGTACTTACAGTATCATACACTGATTGCACAACTTTCTACGTGCTCTCGTGAGCTCAGATTCATAACGAATTAACTTCTTTGTGGGTCTGCCACATGCCATGCAAAAACGCTAGTCTGTATCACTCATTGTAGTGTGGTCAGTCCATAACATTTAATTTGGTGTATCATGATTTGTCTATAACATTTATTGCCCTGCATTGTAGTAATTTAATGAAGTGTCATGGTAAGGCTGGAATATTCAGCAATGCTTAAATGTTTGGCCTTTATCATCCAATGCAGTGTGCCATGAATGGATTGTAACATTCCATCCACTTCATCATGGTCCATCTACATAGCATTCAATGCACTGCATCATGGTTGGTCTTTAAAATTCAACAACGTGTCATGGTCAGGATGCAACATACAGTGCACTGCATCTTGCTTGTGAAGTAACATTCAATGCACTCAGTCTTGCTTGGGAAGTGACACTCGGTGCACTCCGTCTTGCTTGGGAAGTGACACTCGGTGCACTCCGTCTTGCATGGGAAGTAACACTCTGTGCACTGCGTCTTGCTTGGGAAGTAACACACTTTGCACTGCATCTTGCTTGGGAAGTGACACTTGGTGCACTGCGTCTTGCTTGGGAATGAACATTCAATGCACTACTTCTCTCTTGGAGAGTAACATTCAGTGCACTGCACCTTGGTTGAGATGTAACACTCAGTACCTTGTGTCCTGGTTACGAAGTAACACTCAATGCACTGCATTTTGGTTTGGAAGTCATACTTTGTGCACTGTATCATGTTCTTGCTGTGTTTTTTAAAACAATGCATCATGATCCATCAGTAATTATTTTTGGTTAATAATTTTATTGAAAAACTAAGAGGATAATAGAAAAAAAAAAACACACACAAAAAATATATGCAGGAACATTAGATGCAGAGCTGTGTTGGTGAATAACCTATTACGCCCTTACTGTAGCCAGCTCTCTCTGACATAATCATACAGGATTGTTTGCAATTGGTCATTCTTTAAATATTACAATCAACCATCAATGTCCAGCATCACCATCTGTCATTAACCTTCTATAAATGTGCCATTGGTATCCGGACAGCAGTTTCCCAAAAAAAGGTGAAAGATAACTTGCCTATCAGCCCAGCTAATGTACCCACATGCAGCGACATTAAATCAGATGTCAAAAAAATACACTGTTCTTATCGAGTATCTTAAAGATATTGTGCATTCTAGTGGTAAACGCTCAGTCTCCCTGCAAAGACGGCAGTACTTTTGTGCAACCTGAGTTTTAACAAATGATTGATCAACCTTTTATTGTTGCTCTAGGTGAACAGAGACGAATTTTACAACTCTCAAAACACGGACACCTTTTTCCATCATGATTCCGTTCCATTGGATGAGTTACATCGCAGCTCCGCCATCCGACCTTCTCCATTCGAGAACCTGAATCCAAGAAGGAACTATATGCACAGCCAGGTGAGAGGGGCCATCAAAAACTTAGCTCCGCGTTCTCTGTCCTTGAGGTTTGGTCAAAAACTGCCAGTTGCTAATGTCAGCAACAAGAGTCCCGATAATTACAAGAAACAGTTTCTATTTAAAAAAAAGAAACACTTGAGCTAGCAGAAAATTTGGAGACCTAGTTCTTTGTCTCCTCTATTTTGGAAGACAGATTCAGTTTAAAGGGACACTGTAGGCACCCAGACCACTTCAGCTCATAAAAGTGGTCTGGGTGCCAACTCGCATCACACTTAACCCTAGAGTGGTAATTATTGCAGGTTTTTTTATAAACTGCAATAATTACCTCTGAGGGTTAACTCCTCCTCTATTGGCTGTCTACCTGATAGCCAGTAGAGGGACTTCCGGCTTCTTAGATTACTTTTGGTCATCTAAACCACGCTGGACGTCCTCACGCAATGCATGAGGACTTCCAGCGTCACTGGAATCCCCATAGGAAAGTATTGAATAATGCTTTCCTTTGGGGAGATCCTAATGCGAGCGTGGCCATTGCAGCGCATGCGCATTAGGACTCCCCCACGTTGGTGGGAGAGGAGCGTGAGCAGAGCTGAGCCAGCGCTGAGGACACCGGCGCTGGACCCAGGTAAGTGACCCTTTAGCGCTGCAGGAGGGGACCTTGACAGAGAGGGAAGCTATAGTGCCAGGAAAACAAGTTTGTTTTACTGGCACTATAGTTTCCCTTTAAAATCAGCAAAAATTAAGACATAAAAGTTTGTCAAATTATTTAGAAAGAATCTGTTCCTTCATGTGTAGATGCTTATTTGTCCATCTGAGATGCCCTTGTTTATGCTTGTTCCATTAACGGCAAATTTTAAAGGAAAAATATGGGATAAGATTAAGAATTTATTTTGCATTTAATATCATAGTTATAATTATTACTAATTTATACAGACAAATGTATCTCATAAAAAAAAATAAAGAATTACACGTCGTTTAACTTCCTATGAGACCTTGCACTCCAGAAAAAGACCTCCAATCAGGAGAGCCATAAGTGTATCTACTTTTTGGTGAACAGGGTTGCAACTATTGACAGAGCCATTGTCTGCTAATGCATGAATATGTGCATGTTGAAAGAAGAAAAAAAAACTAGACTTATTTAATACAGGCAACGCAGGCAACTGAGGGTTTTGGACTTCTTGGTTGACCGTTATTCTCCTTGTGAGGTATGGAACCAGGACAGAGGGCACAGAAAATCTTTTGGGTTATGTCAATGATGCAACTGCATATGGGGCAGGCCTTTTGGAGAAAGGTCAGCCTGGTGTGAATGCATTACAGGCTGATTGGGCATACTGCTGGCCAACCCAACTTAGGGGAGCACGCACAGGGTCCTTCTAAAATTTGCACAGCATTAGTGCATCGAACGATACTCATGCTGTGACTTACGGGGACCCCAGATGCAGAACACCACAATGCAAACCTGGCACAACAGGACAGTTAGGAGACATGTTTATGTAATCTAGCAAAGTTGTGATGGTGCTTAGAGTGATCATTAAAACTACTGTGTAATTTTTCTAACCTTTTTAGTTTTAGGTAACATTATCCTTCTACTATTCGATGTTGTTATAAATTAAAGTGGAACACAGCACATTTCACCATGTTTATTTTTTTTATTGTTGTAAATGATGCTGCAATATAAAAGGTTTGTTTCTGTCTCCACAGGTTCCTCTCAAGCCACCTCGACACGTCAGCTTTCAGGACGAAGATGAAATTGTGCGCATCAATCCCCGTGATATCATCATCCGGCGCTATGCGGACTACAGGCATCCAGAGATATGGCGGAACGACCCGGAGCGGGACGAGCCGGAGATCGGTGCTCTTGACACAAAAACAGACAGTAAAAAATGCAACTATGTTTACTCCCCGGCCAATGGCAGAGACTCTATTAAAGAGCATAAAGGGTCTGGAGTATTTATAACCCAACCCACATCTTCCCTGAAGAAAAGGCGGAAAGAGGATGGGGAGCGTTCCAGGTGTGTATACTGTCAGGAACGCTTCAATCACGAAGAGAACGGGAGGGGGAAATGCCAAGATGCACCAGACCCTATTAGGCGTTGCATCTACCAGGTCAGCTGTATGCTGTGTGCGGAGAGCATGCTCTACCACTGCATGTCGGACTCTGAAGGAGACTTCTCAGACCCCTGCTCTTGTGACGCCTCCGATGAAAACTTGTGCCTCCGTTGGCTGGCTCTAATCACGTTATCCTTCATTGCTCCCTGTATGTGCTGCTACCTCCCCCTGCGTGCCTGTCATCATTGTGGGGAGATGTGCGGCTGCTGCGGGGGGAAGCACAAAGCCGCTGGATGACGTAACAAAACTGTAACTCCGTGAATAACCTTTTATTTGCCAGGTGGCTGCTGATTGGGAATGGACAGTTTTCATTGATGCTGAGTGGTTTACAAGAGTACATGGGACTTAACTGAAGTTGTCTGGATTGGAAAAGGACCAGCGTGGTGAACATGTAACAGTGCCAGTCTTGTGTATATAAATATATATATATATATATATATATATATATATATATATATATATATATTTTTTTTTTTGTAATTAATATTTTATTTTTTATTTGCCATTCCTATTTAAAGGCAGAAGAAATGTTTGAACCAGCTGTCCTGCAACAAATTATATGAAATAATCTAACAAAGCAGGACCTGACCATAGATCATTCTGGTTTTAATGCTTGGTGTTTAAGGGAAGGGGATATACATGTCTATATATCTCCCGCCTTCCCTTAACCACCAAGTATTAAAATCAGAATATATATATATATTCGTTACGTAATATTTAAACATGTCTCCTGCATACATTTTCTCTAACCCTTTGTGGTCCAGATCGGTGGGAAAGTACTCTAAAATTGACTCCGTGCCTGCCCCTCTGGCTCTCAAATGGTTAACATGATAAATACAGTGATTTCAGGAATAACTAACATCGTATAGAATACAAGTGGAATTTCGAGGAAGAGGCAAACTGCAGATACATCATATCTAAATGAGTTTTTAGTGGAACTAAATCATTTCTAGTTTTATTCTAAGTGATTTTATGTATAAATAACAAAGTCTATATTTAACTAAATGTACGGTACACAGAATTTTATGACTTTTAGGACGGTGTTTCTTATATTCCTTATCCAGCTTCCCTTGCTGTTCCCCTGATCTAAATTTGGGACATTCCATGATAGGGCTGAGTCTTGCTGCTGTGGAAAGGTGACCTGTGTGTCAATGGCAGCAGAATGGTTAAAAATAAGTTTTTCAGACTATTGTTTTTCTGAAGGTTTACTGTTAATCCAGATTATCTCTGTCTCTCAGATCTACCTGTGTTATGTCACATTATTTATACACTCTGGTACATAGAATATAACACAAGTGTCAGATATACCCTGTGTCGTTTTTATTTTTGCTTGGACTGGTTGTTCTGTTTATTTTGCATTTTATTCTTCTGTTAAAATTCATTGCATTGTTGCTTTAGAAGAAAGAAAAATAGTCCTTTTATGTTGACCAAAAGATCTTTTTTCTAGGGGAACTTTGACATCTCTATATCCTCAGCCCAATTTCGACTTAAAGGGACACTCCGCTGCTCAAATAAAAAAAAATAAAAAAAAATCACTGTTTATAGATATGATATACCCCAAATGCAAACATACATCCATTTAATTGCACATTTTTCTAGTTGGTGGTATATGTAAAAAATTTCTTGTATGCTGCCTTTGCAAGCCCTCCCCTTCTAGCCCCGCCCAGACTTTCTATGGCTGTCCAATCACAGACTTCCCAATGCAGCTCAATGAGACGTCATTGCAAGGCAGGTGCTCTGAACACTGGCTGCCTCTTCAGATTATCTCCACTGATCTAAATAAACCAGGATAAAGTAGGACCTGTTGTCTGATTGACAATCGGGGTGGGGGGGCTTAGTTTAATTTATGATTATAAATAACAAAATAAAGAAAGAGGACAGTCTTCATACATAAAGCATTTCAGCAAGTTAAAGTGTTTTAAGGGTACAGCGTGTCACTTTAATGTTCCCAACCTCCTTTCATAATTTCAACAATTCCAAGTTTAATAAGTGAACTTTGTGTTTTCTGCTGAGAGGGGTGTAATGGGTGGATAAGCACAAAACACAAACAATCAAATATAGATAATAATTCTGGAACATTTAATGACGTGTGTGCAAAAAGAATGAAAAGTCACATGACTCTGCCAGGCAGTGCTTAATTTAGATCACATCAGAAATACATACAGGTATATATGGAATACCTGAGACATGCAAAAGTGTTATCTATAAATACTATTTTACCGGTGAGAGTACAGTGCGCACGCACAAACACACAGACACAAAACATTAAAATCATCTGCCTAATATCATGTAGGTCCACCTCGTGCTGCCAAAAGAGCTATGATACATTGAGGCATGTACTCCACAAGACCTCTGAATGGGTGGTATCTGTGGTATCTGGTGCCAAGACATTAGCAGATCCTTTAAGCCCAGCAAGTTGCGAGGTGGGGCCTCCATGGAACAGATTTGTTGTTCCACCACATCAGATGTACAATCAGATTGAGATCTGGGGAATTTGGTGGCCAAGGCAACACCTTAAACTCTTTGTCAGGTTCCTCAAACCATTCCTGAATAATTTTTGAAGTGTGGCATTGTGCATTATCCTGCTGAAAGAGGTCACTGCCATCTGGGAACACCACTGCCATGAAGGGGTGTATGTGGTCCGCAACAATCTCTAGGTACGTGGTTGCGTGTCAAAGTAGCATCCACATGAATCCTTGGACCCAAGGTCCCAGCAGAACATCGCCCAGAGCATAACACTGCCATTGCTGGCCTGCTATATTCCCATAGTGCATCCTTTTGCCATTTCTTTCCTAGGTAAATGATGCATATGTACCAGGCCATCCACATGATCTAAAAGAAAACTTGATTCATCAGAGCAGGCAACCTTCTTTTATTGCTTGAAGGCGCTTATGGCGGTTGACAGGTATCACGGGTACCGGTATGAAGCAAGCTACGATGCACTATGTGTTTTGGCACCTTTATATCATGGCTGTCATTTAATTTTCCAGCATATTGAGCAACAGTACTGTGTGAGCAGACCAGACGTGCCTTGGACGCCTATAACTCTGACGTCAGTTCACCAGTTGTCCTTCCTTGCACTAATTATGTTCGGTACTAACCGTTGCATACCTGGAACACCCCACAAGACTTGCCATTTTGGAAATGCTCGGTCCCAGTCATCTAGCCATCAATCTTTGACCCTAGTCAAAGTTACTGTTCACTTGCTGCCTAGTATATCCCACCTCTTGACAGCTGCCATTATAACGATATAATCAAGGTTATTCTCTTCACCTGCCAGTGGTTTTAATGTTGTGTTTGGTGTGTGTGTATATATATATATATATATATATATATATATATATATATATGTGTGTATAGTAAAATATCTACTCACATGGTCCAGAGCAGCCCAGTGCTCACTATGGTAAGATTAAGCATTAACCCCTTAAGGACCAAACTTCTGGAATAAAAGGGAATCATGACAAGTCACACGTCTTGTGTCCTTAAGGGGTTAAACTCCTCACTTTAGATGTATTTTTGCTGGAAAATATTCTTGCCACCTTGTAGACATCTATATATACCAACTCACTGATGTGTTCACCTGAATTATAAAAGTGTAGTTAAATTTAAACATTGCATTGATAATGTGTGTACTTCTTGCCTTAATTTCCACCTTCTCTGAAGATATTGTGATTGTGAGATGCTCTGACCTCAGTGGTATATGTATATCTATCTCTGTTCCATATCGAAGTGTTTATGGTGTCTATGGTTGTAATCTTATTGTTCGCCATAGTGGATAAAGCCATGCTCTTTTTCTGCCTAAGTGAATTTAAGGAACCTCATCATTACACATACTATGAACACCTCAAGATGTTACACTAGTGATCAAAATCCATAATAAGCAATTTGCAACAATGGTTGTCATAGACCAAGCTCACTGCTTCCTGAACAGCTGGTTAATTTAGGGTTAGAATGCCATTTGCAGCTTGGGATAGAATGCTACATTAAGCTGGCGTAGAATGTCCTATCCAGCAGCAGTAACTTGATTCAATTGGAAATTGAGCTTTGCCAGACTGAAAGCAACTTTACCTTCTGGATATACACTCTACTTGGTGTTCGTTTTGATATCAAGTGGCCAAAAGTGTCCCTTAAAAACATTCCACCCATCATTATAGCACCAGCCTGTGTGTGTTTGTGTATGTGTAAATAGATATAGTAAAATATCTACTCACATGGTGCAGAGCAGACCAGTGATCACTATGGTAAGAGTAAGCGTTATAATACTCACTTTAGATGTATTTGTGCCCTTGCCACAAGACAAAATCGATCCATGGATCCCTCTGGTTAACTGAAAATTCTCACCGTACCATCTGTGTGCCAAAACAGATCAAGATTCATCAGAAACGGTAATGGTTTTTCCAATCTTCTTTGTGGCCTCATCTTGTTCTTCGCTGTGAGAACTTTATCCTGACCTGGTCGTTAGTACTGTTGCTTATATACGTGATCATTTTATTTGTTGTACGCTCAAAGATACCCTTCTGCACAACACTGTCGACAGGACTGGATTTCCCAATATGCAGCTGCCTATTAGCATCTGTCTACTAAGGAAGTCTCTCTGGCTTCTAATTTGCATTTATTCCCCCTCATTTTCTTTACATATATATTCACATACATTTTTTCATTGTGTGGTAATTTTATTTTTATCTGTGGTAGGGAAAAGTGAGATATGTAATTCTTTCTCATATGCATCTTGTAAATCATGGTTCAAACAACAGAACTAGAATTTTTTAATTGTATTTTTTGTGGGAGCAGGGGTCCCCCTGGGTTATTGGGGATCCTGAAATGTAGGTCCTGTCATATGTGTTGAGTGGTTATCATAAAATATGTATAAACCTTCTGTCTACTTGGCAGACTATATTTTCCCCAACATAATTGCTTCTTAGTGAGTCAGTTTTTTTTTTTTTCAAAATTCTCTGTGAATAGAGACTGTAGCACATCTATACCTCGGGAGGATATCTGTTTTGTATTGGAGCCTCCATACGGTATGTATCTTATCTAACCCTAGGTTTACTTATTGCTTTACACATTATATTCCTGGACAATCCATTGCAGCATTACCATAGGGTTAGCTTCACCCATTTGGCTGTTAAAGGGATACTTCACTGCCCAAATACAAAAATAAAAATCACTGCAGATATCTTCTCTGTTGCCTATGCCAGTGTTTCCCAACCCAGTCCTCAAGGCACACCTACCAGTCCAGGATTTAGGGATTACCCAGTTGTGTCTAAGGTGTTTTTACAAAGAAGAAAAAAAACACCTTAGACACAACTGGGTAATCCCTAAATCCTGGACTGGTAGGTGTGCCTTGAGGACTGGGTTGGGAAACACTGGCCTATGCAAGCTCTCCCCTTCTAACCCTGCCCAGACTTTCTGTGGCTGTCCAATCACAGACTTCCTAATGCAGCTCAATGGGAAGTCTTTGCAAGGCAGGTGAGCTGGGCGATAGCCTTCCTCTTGAGGTTAGCGCTACTGAGATAACCAAACCTGGAAGTAACAGGTCAGCTTGAAAGCCAAGGGGGTGTAACAAATTTTAATTTGCTAATTGCAACAGTGGCTTACAGCAGTATATACTGAAACAGCAGGGTACTCATTGACTTTCTTTAAATGAAATGTCCACTAAATGTGCATGTCTTTGTAACCCCTAAAACACAGTAGCAGATATTTCAAGTCATAATATGTGCTTTAAAGATTTTATGCTGACATAGACCATCATGTTTAGTTACCATAGCATATTTTGTATATGCAGTGGCGTACACACAATCCATGGCGCCCCGGTGCGAAACTGATTCGTGCCCCCCCCCCCTCCAGACACATACATAGACACACACATACATACACACACAGACAGATACATACAGACACACACAGACAGATACATACATACAGACAGACACCCCCCACGACAGACACACACATACAGTCTGTATGTATGTGCGTCTCTGTATGTATGTGTCTGTATGATACAGACACATACCGAGACACACACATACATACAGAGACACACACATACAGACACATACATACAGAAACACACACATACACAAAATGTTTGTCACCCTCCTGTTTCCTACCTGACTCCCTCCTCCTTCCTCCTGCTCAGCACTTTGATAGCTGGGAGGAGTGACTGGGGCAGTCACTTCCTCCCAGCTCTGTCTGACATCATCACAGGGGGCCCGCTCGCCCTGTTAAAGCGCCCAGCGCTGACCAGGCCCACTGAAAATCCATATCAATCGGGTGGCCCTAACCGTACGGGCCACCCGATGGGCCCTTTTATGTGTAGCCCCGGTGGTTTGCCACAAAACATGGCGGCAGGTACCCGGTCGTAGGGGTCCGCAGGGTGGCCAGGCCCCCTGGAGTGATGGGCCCGGTCGCAGCTGCATCCCCTGTGACTGCGGTATGTACGCCAGTGTGTATATGTAAAAAAAGTAGCATGTTTTATGCCAGAATAAAGTTTCAGTTGTAAGAATGGCATGCAACATCATATAAAATGAGTTTTAAAAGGGCGTAACCTAAGCCTCATGCATCGGGAGATGGAGGGGGTGCATCGGGCGAGCTCCCACTTGGCTCACCAATTCTAGGGGGTAATCATCTACCACTGCACCCAAATCAGGGTGATTCCACGCAGCCTAAAGTGGGGGTGCCGTGGAGAACCCATCAATACCTCTATCGGAACTCTCCTACGTCAGGGAGTCAGTGGAAGCTTGCTAAGGCCTACGAACATCTGCTGCACTGAAAGAGCACAGACCCAAGCTAGCCAAAATGGCGGGAAGGCCTTCCACGCCTAAGCAGAGCCTGCTACCAACTTGTGATACAGAAAACAGCGGCACAGCGTGCTCCTTGCAGAGACTGGAGCCAATAATCCAGGATTTCTGGGCCCGACTGGAAAGGCGCATGACAACAGCCTCGCTGCTCCCTACAGATCAAGCGCGAGGACAAAATCTGCTCTCTGGCAGAATTCCTCAGGGAAACAAGCTCCAACAGCATCCTGTCCCTCTCCTAGCACACAAACCCAATCCACGGAACAACAGGAGCTCAACCCCCTTCCCAACTGCCGACTGGGAAGAGGGTTGCACCCCATCAGCTGAAACAGCACAGAGCCACGCTTCATCACACGCAGCGGCAGGAGACCAAGCTCCAACATAGGCGGTGGCAGAGAACTGAGCTCCAGCCACTGTCCAGCAGAGAGCAGCAAGCCATCGGAACCAGCAACCACATTTGTGGACTTTACAGGCCCAGACTTTAAGTGCTCGAGTCCGCAAGGTAGAGCTACCGACTTATGCCCAAGTCCGACAAAGGGAGGACACCCTGACCCGACTTACCCAAGCTGCAACCCCCTGTGGACTGTCATACTCCACACTAGGCCTGCCGATAGTGGGGGTAGGCTGACGCCCCAACCTCAACTAACCTCAAGATACAACAGGCCCGCTGCCCGTGCAAGTGAACCAGTGAGAGTCCCAGAGACAATCTTGCTAAGCTTTATATAGTTCCTCAATATATAGTTGCTCAACTAAACCTCCTAACGCTCTTATAATTTTATGCAAACCATATGGAGCCGTAAACCTAAATCCCAGATCAGCACTGATAGCATTTATGTTGTTAAAGTAGCCTGTTCATTATATGCCTTATCTTTGTTATTGAAAGTTAATTTACTAGGAATATCATGTTATGCAGTTTTCTAAGCGAGCTTAACATAATCTTGTACAGTAGGATGTCACTAAATCCTTAAGCACGTTAGCATCTCTTATTAGGACCACTCATATAGTCAGTTTGCGTAACCTGTTTTGGAACAACTTCTGATCTCTCACCACTGACATACCTATGATGCTTGTTTAATTATTCTGTACCTAACCTGAATCTAATACCCTAAAAAATTGTGCCTTTATCTAATGCCATGATGCGGTTTACTCTGTATTTTCTCACCAGCGTGTACCTGCTGTTGTGCAAACTCAAGTTTGTTTATAACTCTAAACACTACAAAAATAAAGAATGTAGAAAACAAGGGTTAAAAAAGCTAAGAAATGCATATTTCATTTTACTGCGTTGTTCAAATGCATTAATAAAAATATGCATTTTGTAGCATGGACATTCGTTTGAACAAAAAGTGTCTGGTCTGTTCTTACGATAAGTAAGTCTTGGCATTCTGCTACTTTAGTTCAAGTTCTAAGTATGTTAACAGTATGTTATTTAATGTATTTTTTATAGTTTATTACTCCTGCATAGCAGAATATTTTTTTCAAGATTACTAAAATATTGCACCCATATAATAGATCTAAATGCATTAATTGCATTATAATTTGACTATTCTAAGAAACTAATGATGGAGATCAGGTGCTCCTTTATATTTTTAAATATAAAACATTTAACATATTAACTTTTCTCAAAGGACATTAGCATTGAGAAAGGGCTGCTGCCCAAAACGTTTGCTGCTTTAACTTTGTCCTCAAATAAATTGTGGTAGCACCTGGGTGTGCACACCTATACTGGATGTGCAGGACTCTTGTTTGTTTTTTGGTTGTATATACACTGTTGGGACTTCAGTGTGGAGTATCTGCAGCACAGGTCTAATTTTCTTTGTTCATACTTTGAATTTTTGTAGGCATTTTTTGCCTCTACCTCACCCTATATATAGTGATTATTGCAAAGGTGTGCCTTAGGCTGGCCACAATAAAAGGCCACTCTAAAATGTGCAGTTTTATCACACAGCACAATGCCACAGATGTTGCAAGTTTTGAGGAAGCATGCAATTGGCATGCTGACTGCAGGAATGTCCACCAGAGCTGTTGCCCGTAAATTGAATGTTCATTTCTTTACCATAAGCCATCTCCAAAGGCGTTTCAGAGAATTTGGCAGTACGTCCAACCGGCCTCACAACCGCAGACCAAGTGTAACCACACCAGCCCAGGACCTCTACATCCAGTATCTTCACCTCCAAGATCGTTTGAAACCAGCCACCCGGACAGCTGATGCAACAATCAGTTTGCATAACCAAAGAATTTCTGCACAAACTGTTAGAAACCATCTCAGGGAGGCTCATCAACATGCTCATCGGGGTCTCGAACTGACTGCAGTTCATCGTCGTAATTGACTTGAGTGGGCAAATGCTTACATTAAATGGCGTCTGGCACTTTGGAGAGGTGTTCTCTTCACGGATGAATCCTGGTTTTCACTGTACAGGGCAGATGGCAGACAGTGAGTATGGCGTTGTGTGGGTGAGCGGTTTGCTGATGTCAACGTTGTGGATCGAGTGGCCCATGGTGGTGGTGTGGTTATGGTATGGGCAGGCGTATGTTATGGACAATGAACACAGGTGCATTTTATTGATGGCATTTTGAATTCACAGAGATACCTTGACGAGATCCTGAGACCCATTGTTGTGCCATTCATCCACAACCATCACCTCATGTTGCAGCATGATAATGCACTGCCCCATGTTGCAAGGATCTGTACACAGTTCCTGGAAGCTGAAAACATCCCAGTTCTTGTATGGCCAGCATACTCACCGGACATGTCACCCATTAAGCATGTTTGGGATGCTCTGAATCGGCATATATTCGACCGCGTATTCCAGGTCCTGCCAATATGCAGCAACTTCGCACATTGAAGAGGCGTGGACCAACATTCCACAGGCCACAATCAAAAACCTGATCGACTCTATGCGAAGGAGATGTGTTGCATTGCTTGAGGCAAATGGTGGTCACACCAGATACTGATTGGTTTTCGGACCCTCCCCCCAGGCCCTCACAATACAGTAAAACTGCACATTTTAGAGTGGCCTTTTATTGTGGCCAGCCTAAGGCACACCTGTGCAATAATCATGCTGTCTAATCAGCATCTTGATATGCCGCACCTGTGAGGTGGATGGATTATCTCGGCAAAGGGGAAGTACTCACTAACACAGATTTAGACAGATTTGTGAACAATATTTGAGAGAAATAGGCCTTTTGTGTACATAGAAAAAGTGTTAGATCTTTGAGCTCAGCTCATGAAAAATAGGGGCAAAAACAAAAGTGTTCCGTGTTTATAATTTTGTTCAGCATATATACACCTACATACTCTCACACATACAAAAAACAAAGATGGTTTATACTCAAGGTCTGATTAAATTGATGCGCCCAGTGCTTGAAGCCAGCTGATAGAATACAGTTCACCAAAGAAACTGTCATCACTCCCGAGTCTTCATTTATAAAACTTAATTTTTATATGTCAACGTTTCAATTTAAGCCTAAAACTTTAATCAGGACAGTTGATCCTATTGAAGTTACAATTTAGATGTGGACGTATAGTTTAGCCGTCTGCTACTTGAGTTTGAACCTCTCCTTTTTAGCCAAGGTTCTTCAACAGGTTTTCACAAATCAATGAGATAGCTGCCTTGAATCATCTGGTTTTTACATTACCTAAGTAATTGACACTGAGGTGGACCATTGCCATGCACACACCCTAAGTCCCTCAGTGATTCTATGAGAAGCATCTGATTGGACCTGAGATCATCAGGATTGGAATGGCTGCAGAGAGGAGATTATCTGCACTGCATTACAGGGAAATGTTATGGATTGTTGAAAAGCTGTTTTTTGGGGGGGGGTTTTGGTGTTAGACAAGATTGCGCAAAAAAAAAAAAAAAAGAACAATCTAATGTTAAAAATAAACGTATATTTATTGTATGTTACTAGTCCTTTAAGCATTGCAACAGTGGCATAAGATCAACCTCTAGTGGCTAAATGTGGAAGTGCATTGATGAAAATATTTATCCATCTGGTCTTGGTTAAATCGACACTTTATAAATAAAAGAACTATAACATAACAGTTACATTTTAAGCTTTTCATTATTTTAGCTAGGTAGATTTTGGGGCTAGAAAATGTATACAAATACAGATATGCAGAAATTATATTTATTAATTTTACCATTTAACAATTTTTCTTTTAGTTAAAGGTTTACTCCAACCACCATGGCCAGATCGGTGATTTGAAGTGGTTGTAGTGGTTGGAGTATGTATGTACAGTGTTTCTGTGTGAGTTATTTTTTTGTATGCTGGTGACTAGTTACACCCCCAGCATACTTGACATTGACTAGCCAAAACTCTGTTCCGGATTGCCTAATGTCAATTCTGTGCATAATAAATGTCGTCAGCGCGCACTGTAGGCTGTCGACAGGCGCATTAATCTTGCCCTAGCAGGCAGTGTGCCTGCAAGAACTAGATTGCTTTATCCTCCCTCCGTTGCGCACACACACAAAAAAATATATCTATGAGAAGCCGGTGATTGGGGACGCATTAGGCCTCTGTGATGTCGGGGAGGGGAGGGGTGGGCATGGAAATCAGTGCCAGGAGCTGTGCCTGTTGCTGGATTCAAAGGTAAGTAACAACCGAGGGGAGAGGGGGGTGCTTATCCATAGTGCTCAATTGGCCATAATACACAGTAAAGCCCCCCCCCCCCCATTATAGTTGGACTAAATCTTTAATGTTTTAGTAAAAGATGAGTCCTAGCATAATTTATACCTTTTCATTTGCCCCCTCTTCCCCTCCAGAGAGGAAATTTAGCCATATAAAAATATTGAAGGTTAGCCCCAAAGCACCCTTATTTAGCATTGTACCTACGGATTATTGTTGGGATACATGGCTTCCAACATTTAAAGGAACACTATGGAGCCCTAGTCACCGTTTTTTATTTGCTTACCTTTATCCATCAATGTCAGCTTCCGAGTGTAGCCGAACGCTCATGCGTTGCTGCTTTCCTTTGGGGATCTTTTTTGACGCTGGAGATCTGTCGGGGTCAAATAAGTGTGATTTACTTAGTGTAAATCACGGAAGCGCCTCTACTGGCTGGGAGACAGCCACTAGAGGCTGGATTAACCCTGCAGTGTAAACATAATAGTTTCTCTGAAACTGCTATGTTTATAGAAAAAAGGGTTAAAACTAGGGGGACCTGGCACCCAGACCACTTCGTTGAGCTGAAGTGGTCTGGGTGCCTATAGTGGTCCTTTAAACGTTTTTTGTCAGCTTCTCTCTAATCCCAAAGGCATCAGTTAGTTCATGTGGAACATGAACTATTCTGCAACTGGTTGCAAAGGAATCAAGGACAGGGGCACACACATTCCTTGCAACCATCCTGTTTTAAGTGGGACAGTACTGATTTGTGGGTCCTGTCCCGCTGTTCCGACTTAGTTCCCTTGCGTCACGCATTGAGGGACACGAGAAATGTCCTCAACATGCATAGCGTGAGCGCATCATTAGATCCACTTAGCGATATGCTATGACATTAGGACCCTTCAGGGAACACTGAAACAGTGCTCCCTGCAGGGCCTGCCCTCAGTGGGCCACCTGGATGATGGACGGTCATCCTGGCATGCATTGAAGCAAGGCTGACCTGCCAATCCTTTGGGGTGACCGGCCATCAGTGACCCATCTCAACCTCCCAACCGGCTTGTCAATTCACATGACATTGGATTTGGGAGGCATGCTTTTGAATTCCAAACTGTCAGCCGGTGACATGCTGAAGCACTATTTGCATGGTCCTACTGCTCAGATGGCAATCAGTTGAACATTGCACTTGCTGGTGACATTTCAGGTGAAAGTAAATGGCGGTGTTAGATATTATAACTTCTTGTGATTTCCTTCATTCCCTCTCTCATGGTGCTTTAAGAGTTGACAAATGGGCTGAATTCTCTATGTTTAATTTCCGCAGTACTAGCGCTTCTTATGATGTGATTGCACTGGGTTTTTCTTGGGATATCATCTCTGGTGTCCTCAGAAGCAGGATATGAGAAGCCAAATGTGAAAAGGGAGGCCAGGACCTCTAAATTGGAATTATCTTGCCAAACGAGGGATGGTTGGGAGTTATGGGGCCAGCTAAGGGTGATATTTAAAAATAGTCCTAGAATGAGATTTAGGGTTAGACTAGATTTATCACTAACATTGATTTTAACCCTAATCTCAAGCATAATTAATCTTGACATGAAACTAAGTTGAGCAACACCCCAGTTCCTTAACTACCTCCACCACCATTAAACTTAGACCTTAGAAAAAGGGATCAGCAAGTTTGCACCTATTTGCATCTCTGGGCTCAGCTGTGTGTGTGTGAAAGGGACTGAAAGGGATTCTCTAGTGCCAGGAAAACAAACCAGTTTTCCTGGCACTATAGAATCCTGCAGTGCCCCCCTCCTTCGCGCACCCTCCCCCCATGCATGGTTGTGCCAGAAGTCCCTATAGGGGCTGTCTGGTAGACAGCCACTAGAGGAGGAGTTAACCCTGCAAGTTAGTTATTGCAGTATCTCAGAAACTGCAATAATTACCACTGTAGGGTTAAGAGACATAAGACATTGCACCCAGACCACTTCAATGAGCTGAAGTGGTCTGGGTGTCTACAGTGTCCCATTAAATTAATTCAAAACAAAACACCAGAGACTTAAAATAAGGTTGGTGTTTTAGCGTCTCACTCATTTCCATATAAGCATGCTGGATACTTCCCATGTCATGTGTGACAGCAGTTGTGCAAAGATTTTATTTATATTGGTAACGCCAGATCATACAGTGTTAATTTATTTAGTCACCATGTTTATGTGGAGGGGAATGGTGCAATGAAAGGAATTCACAGCTATACATAAACACTGGCACAACACTTTTCATGCATGAGAACACTCTTAACATCACGCAAATGCTAAAAAAGTGTTTGATACTTAACTCAGCGGGTACTAACTCAGTCCTCCAGTACCCCCTACTGGTCCAGGCGTTACGGATTACCCAGTTGTGTCTAAAGTGTTTTTTTTTTTCTTCTAAAAACACCTTAGACACAACTGGGCAAACCCTAAATCCTGGACCGTTTTGGGGGTACTTGAGGACTGGGTTGGGAACCACTACCTTAAGTGGTGGACTTACATTAAAGCCAATATTGGTAACATCCCACTCCACAGGTGTTACCTATTGTTACATAACTCTTAAGTGTCCCTATTTAGAGCCCCAATTCCTCTGCCCTCTTTTCCATCCTAATGTCCCTCTTTTTCTAGGATCTCTATATTGTTGGTGTGTCTGAGTGTATACCAGGGCTCCACAGCAATAATGCTCACAGTAATGTGTCTTTAAACTCACAGTTATGTCTTTAAACCACAATACATGTGTTTAGAAATCGGCCTGTGTCTATAATAAGATACATTGTTCGTGTTCTAAATTACATTTTAATTGCATAAATTATTAGTAAGTCACCTAAACCTTCTCAGAACAGCTCTGCCCCTGACCAAACCCTAAAATAAGTGTCCCTCTTTATCCATTTTAAATCCATTGTGCATTTCATAAAGGTCACTTGGGCAACTTTCTTCTACAGACTTATTTTTTACAATTCCTTCATACCATGCTTATTGACTGTGCATGACTAGTGCTTTCTTGTAGTATGCAATATTCATATGCTGCACTAAGTTATATTTGAATATGTGATATCCTCCTACAGCATATGGATGCTAAATACAGAAAAGTCACACTTGTCACTGACACACATCACCATTTAAGGGGTGATACATCATGTGCTTAGAAAAACTGTAAGCAGAAATGTGAATATTTAACAGCCTTATAAAAAATAATAATATTTAATATTAAACTATTTCATAATATCACACATACACAGAAAATGTGGGTAGGGCCCCAGATAAACAATTCAGCTGGTTGGAACATTGGAACACCCTAGATTACGGCGGAACCTTTGTTCCGGAAGCCTTTGTATGCGCACGGACGGAATTCACAGACGGACAGGAAGCAGCTAAATGCAATGGGACCAGGGAGCCTGATAGTTCTTTAATTGAAAGAGCTGGACACGGTTACTGAAAGATGGAAGTGGATTTGCTGGACACCCTGGAGGCCCTGGGGTAAATAAACTGTCAGATACATTGTGTCCCTTTTAATGCAGGGCTGCTTTAGTCTACTCCAATGTTTTCCTCTCTATTTAGAGTGAGCTATGTCCTCTGCAATGCTGTGTTGTCCTGCAGTGTTTATCTGCTGTGCCAGGGCATGGTTATCTAAATTACTAACTAATAATATTAATAAAAAATAAAAAACCTATTTTTAATGCATTATATAGTCAATGCATTAAAGATATTAAAAAAACAACAACAAATTCCTTTAATTTTTTTTGCTTGTTGCTTTACTGTCTTATTCTGCTCTGTGGGGTGATGATATATTGTAAATGAATTGCATAAGAGGCTTATGGAGGCATTGTTTATCCCTTTCTTGTGCATGGGATAATGGAAACTGCTAATAAATGTATTGGAACGCCCCAGGTCACTGTTGTTGTTGTTGTTGTTGTTGTTATTATTTATATAGCGCCAACAAATTCCGTAGCGCTGTACAATGGGTGGACTAACAGACACATAATTGAGATCAGACCACTGGACGTACAGGAACAGAGGGGGTTGAGGGCCCTGCTCAATGAGCTTACATGCTAGAGGTTTTAGTGAACAGGGCTGTGTTTTACAATCCAGGGCGCAATGGACCACATTTGTGCAGTCCATGGTTTGTCTCTTCCTCCAGGAAGAATAAAGAGCCTCTCCAGTTGTAGATGTGGGGCTACCTTTTACTGCTCTGACTGTGGAAATGCTGGTCCCCAGATGTAGTGTGTTCCTGTTTAAAAGGGCCACATTTGCCTTGCTGAAGTTGGCAGAAGAACACATGCTGGCTGGAATAGCACATCAATCCATCACATCACTGACTTAAGGAGATGCTATGTGAAAGTTAGTGGGCATCCGTTGTAATTTCTAAGGAGAATGGGTTTTGTGCTTCAACTTTACCAGGGGGACTCTGGTGGAGATTTATAAAGGGAAAAATTTGGTATTTTTTGGTAGTAATAGGATGAAGGTAAATTCTGGAATGATAGGGTTAAACAGGATGCTGGAGTGAAGTAAGGTATAAAAAATAAATAAATGGAGGTGCCAGAATAAAGGGATTTAGAATGAGCTGTGCTTAGTGGCTTGCCGAAACTGGCATCTGTAAGCTAAGTTTGCGATGACTGATATAAATCATGTATATTTATCTTCCGGTTCCTCTGTCAATCACATGTTTTGTGCAGCCTTGCACTCCTAGTAAAATCAATAAATACCTGGTGCTCAGTAATACAGAATATAATGTAGAAAAATACCAGCACTCTGTAGAATTACAAAAAGGATTGTTCTTTACCCAAGAAAATCTGAAATGTCAATGTTTTCATGAACTTTTATCAGGACAACATATAAACGTGTGTGTGTGTGTGTGTGTATATATATTATTGTGTGTAAAGAGAGAGCAAGAATATGAGACTGCTTAGTATGCCAATAAGAAGTAATAATAATTTTTTTGAACCTGCAAGGGAAATATGTGTTGGTTTCATGAAAAGTAACTTAATAAGCATATTTTGTCTTCTCTCCCATCAGGTATGAGGGTCCTTTGCTGGAGGAGACGATGCTAGCCAAGGCTTTAGAAGACGGCCTTGCATCACCTGAATATACTCAACTGCTTTGCTGGTTGAGCTCACAGATTAAGCTGCTGGGAAATTTAGAAGAAAGCATTAGCTCGGAAGGTAAGCAAGTCCATTTTCTTTTAATCCCAGCTCCATTGCAGGCTCCTTCCCAAATAATATATGTGACAGTGGTATGTTATTACTGTTGTATGTTGGCTTAAAGTGGCCAACTCCCCTACAAGCGCACTTTCATAGTGGAAGCCATTCTTCCCAGTAATCAGACTAATCACACAGTGTCCTAGTGTGACACACAATTTAGCTCCTACTAGCCCGATGGGGCAGCTCTGTTACATGATCGGGAGGAGTGTTTGCATTACAACTTTTAAATCCCAAATCCTACATGTTGATATAATTTCTTGCAGGGTCTCGTGTTAAAGGGGTGCTTCTAGCACCATTACCAATTCAGTGGTTTGCACATACCGACTCTATCTCTGGCAGCGTGATTAGCAAAAGTTCCATGCTTCTAATATGAGCTCTGTGCATAGATTATGTCTATTGTTAAGACTGTAGCAACACAGTTGCAGCAGCAGCACCTTCTATAGCAGTCTGTGATTGGCTGTTAAGCAAAAAGTATTGTGAACTACACATCTAATCACATATAAATGAAATCCACAATGGTGCGCAAAAAAATTATACTACTAATCACTTCATAGATATCAACTTAAATAAATTATCTTTACATACTGCAGATGAATCAATACACAGGACAAAATCATGTAATACCACTCTCACAGAAAGAGTGGTTTATAGTGCCACACTGTTGCACCTCGGTAGGATCAAATTTGTGGGGAGCGTTGGATCCCTACACCTATGAATCACATCCACTCCACAAAGGAAGCGTAGTTGATTCAGAACTCAGGTCTCAAGTATTTATTAAGCAATTATGCCAGTAAAATATTAAAATTTTAAACAAAATAAAGTGCTCGGGAGGTCTGTGGCTCTAAATCTGTGAAGCGTGTTCTCACAGTTTCAGCGCTGTTAAACTCCCCTCTTATATGCAACACTATATACTCAAATTCAACTTAAAAGGGCACTCCAGGTATGAAAACAATTTGACGTACACATTGTGGAGTATATTCATGTTGCATTTTGTCTGCATTCAAATCTGTTTAGTTCTACAGCTTTCTTTAGACATGCCCCTTCTTTTCACAAGTAACTTCCTTATGTGTGCACATGCTCAGCCTCAGAGAAATCTGGTTGATTGGCTGTGAGGGCGGAGTCAAGTCATTGGCTCAGTTCACACTGATTGGCTATCATTCTGTGATGGAATTTCGGTGAAATGTAAATTTAGTAGGCCGAGATTTCCACGTGGCATGTGTATGTTGTATCAGTTAGTTAGTTACACGTAGCTAAGATACTCATTAATGTACTGAGCATGTGCAGGAACTGAAATTACACTCCTTTCTCCTTTGTTTCGGATGAGCCATGTGGTCTGCCCATATGAGGAAATCCAAATCCTGTCCACTGATTGGTTAAGGGTATGTGCGGGTGGAGCTATTAACGGGAGGAGTTATAGTTCTATAAAAAGCATGTACTCCATGTGTTTGTCCCTCAGACCTGTTTTGGAACGTTAGTTCATCTGAGGCCCGATCAGTATGTTAATAAAGACCTCTTAGTTCCTGAAAACCTGCATCCATCTCTCTTCTGCAAGTTTACTCGGTTACATCATTGGTGCATTGGGTCCGGGAATCTCATCGCACGGAAGCTGGCGCAGAGATTTGAGACGGTAAACATTTTACCAACGTTCTCTACGGCAGCACCCCTGAACTTCTGCGTGGACATCCCTTCATCTCGGCGCCACTGGGCTGCTTCGCCCAGGAGATCATCGGCCTTTAGGTAGTAAGTACCGGGATGCCCCGTCGATGAGTGTGAGCCCAGGTTCAGGAACGAAGAGGTAAGACTGATACCGTTAGAGCGGTAGGCCCACAAGAGGTTTTATATTTGGAACCGGTTATTGGATTGCCCCCTCCCTCTGGAGGGAAGAAGCGAAGGAGCATCGCTTATCTGGAAATTAGACGCTCTGTAGTCAGCCTGTCTAATATAGGTGATTTGGGTCAGGCTAAATCTTGTGTAAATAGTTTATGCCGGACACCGGTGTCCTGTCTTGACTAGCGTGTCTAGGTGTAAATTTCGGTCGCTAGGTCGGGGAGGCCGCGAGACTAAGCAGATTTTGATGTACATTCCGTCTGCTAGTTCTCAACCTATCTTGGCTAAGTGTGCGCGGTTGTAAATTCAGCCACTAGACTATTCATAGAGTAGATAGACTAAATGGGTACTGTTGTAAATTCCGCCCACTAGTTCGCTATATGTGGTGCTTGGGCAGCGTAGACTAACCGAATCCTGGTGTAAATAGTTTGATAGTTCTCGAGGTGCTGGCCAATTAGAATAGTTGGGTATTATTGTAAATGTTGTTAAATATACTGTAGTTGGTGAATTGTATGTCCTGCTAGAAAGCTTGAGCTCTGCCGTCTAGTGGGAGTGTAAATTGTGTGTATACTGTATAATAGCGCACGGTATTATAACCATTAACATGTACTATAACTACTGACGTTGTGTAAAAATTACTAGAAACTGTTGTCTTATGTTATGTGTAACACCATAACTGTTACTAACTGATCCGTGACTTTAAAACTGTATTATAACCACTTGCTAACTGTACCATAACCACTGATTGTAAAGATGAGGTTACTAGAATGTGATATAGTCGGTTAGTTAAAAGTTGACTTATAATGTGGATAATTGTAGGGTTTGATTTATAGTTACAGAGATAAGTATCTAGTGTTTGGTAAATCTTTGTGAGTGAGACGTCGTGATATCACTGTATGTACGAGAATTCTCTGCGTGTTTTCGTGTGTGTGTTTGGCCTAGCAACTGTGCCACGTGGTGCTGTTGCCAGGGAAACAAGTGTGATCGTTGGAAGTGTTTGGGGTATTGTGTGTCTTTGTATTAGACGCTCCGTTGCCAGTATGGGTGCGTCTGACTCAAAGATTGTTGATCCCTTGTCGTGTATGTTGAAAAACTTTGCAAAGGGATATAAAATTTGTGATTTTGTGGTGAAATTATCCCCAAATGTTTGACTACATTATGTAGTAGAGAGTGGCCTATCTTGGTGACCACATGGCCTCCACTTGGTAGTCTTGATCTAACTCTGGTACAACGTGTGCACGCGGCTGTATCTAGTGGGCCTGAATTCTATGATCAGTTTCTGTATATTGATTGTTGGAAACATATTGTGGAAGAATTGCCTAAATGGATTAAGGTATGCCACGAGGAGCAATGTCGCCTCATGGTGGCCAGGACTCGCCTGTCCATCAGGGCCGCAACCCCGCCCATTTTAGACTCTCCCTCTGAGTCTGAACTTCCTTCCCCACCCCCTTACTCCTCCTCTAATGTTAGAGGAGGTGCTGCTGTTGTTGCCACTCCCCCTTTCCCATTGTCCCTGCCCACTCATTTATCTAGTTTAGAGCCCAGCCCACTTGCCCTGAGTCCTCCCCTTCCGGTACCTACCTCCACTAGTTCTATATATCCGGAATTAACGTCACTTCTGGTTCCTGGTCAGGCTTCTCCCAGCCCGGCCCGCAACATCCTGTTGACTGAACTTCCGCCCGGTAAAATTAACCCGCCTCACTCTCCTTACCTTACTACCCCTAGACCGGAACTTACTTTAAAACAGCCTCGCCGAATTCCTATATTAACCCGACAGATGACTGGTACCCTTCAACCCCGACATTACCAAATGCCCCACCAACACACGTTGATGAAAATGGCCAAATACAACGGGCAGATCCAGTGTTTGTCTATGTCCCCTTCACCACAACTGATCTATTTAATTGGAAGACTCATAACTCTGCCAGAAATTATTATTAACTTTAATTGTGAGGAAAGGACCTGGATTAATCAAGCGGCTATTAAAGCGCTTGAGGAAACGGCCCGTACTCAAAATCAGGCCAATTCAGCTGCATGGGCTGCAGCCCATTATCCAAATGTTGACCCAAATTGGAATGTGAATGGTTCTGATATGCCCCAATTAAGGGCTTATAGGGAAGCCATTATTGCTGGCATGAAGGCAGGAGGGAAGAAGGCAATCAATATGTCAAAGATGGCTGAGGTGTTGCAAAAGGTTGATGAGTCACCTAGTGCCTTTTATGAAAGATTTATTGGAGTTATATAGATTGTATACTCCTCTTAATCCAGAGGCCCCTGAGAATTCTTGAATGATTAACTCAGCATTTGTCAGCTAGGCCCAAAGTGATATTAAAAGAAAATTGCAAAAGTTAGAGGGATTTGTAGGGATGTCCATATCACAGCTAATGGAGATCGCAAATAAAGTGTATATGAATAGGGAAACTGAGATAAAGCGGAAGGAAGAACGTAAGATGAGGAAGAAGGCAGATATGCCAACGGTAGCTATCACAAGTGTAGAAAGACAGGGAAGGGAAGTGAATAAAGGAGTCAAGAATAGGCTGAGTAAGGGACCTTTAAGTAGGAATCAATGTGCGTTTTGTAGAGAGGAAGGAGAACACAGAGCATTATGAAAATAATAGACAAGGAGAGTGAAGAGTACGGGGAGGTTATAGTGGTAGTTTTGGAGGGAACGGTAGGAATAGTAGAGGGAGTGTTCAAGGAGATAGATATTATCCACCTACTCAGAGACCGAGAGAGAGTGTATAGAGATTTTGTGGGTCTGGCTGACACTATCATGGAAGACTGTTGATACCGACCGGGCTCCATCCCGCTTGGCCGAGCGGAGCCTATGGTTGATGTAGCAATAGGGGGAAAGAGAAGTTCTTTCATGATTGACACTGGTGCTGAACATTCCGTGGTGACTAAACTGGTGGCTCCGCCTTCAGGAAAAACTGTAACTGGGAGAAGCGCAGCTAGACCAGTTCTTAAAAGTCACACTTGCATTCTGGGTGGCCATTTGGTGAAGCACCAGTTCCTATATATGCCAGAGTGTCCGATTCAACTTCTAGGACGAGATCTATTATCGAAGCTTCAAGCCCAGATAACTTTTCTACCTAATGGATCAACGTCTCTGAGGTTTAATGGATTACCAGGCATAATGGCAGTATCGGTGCCAAGGGAAGAAGAATGGTGCTTCTACTCCATAATGACAAGTGTAAACCCTAAGAGTGATGAACCTTTATTTGACCTTCCAGGAGTATGGGCAGAGAATAATCCACCTGGGCTTGCTCGTAATATTCCACCTATACATATTGAACTAAAGCTTGGGGCCTATCCTGTGAGCCTACGTCAGTATCTTATACCTCAAAAGGCTAAGAAAAACATACAGACCTACTTGGATAAGTTCGTAAAGTATGTCATCCTAAAATTCTGTACTTCCCCCAGGAACACTCCATTATTACCTGTTCAGAAACCAGGATCAGATGAATATCGTCCTGTGCAAGATTTGAGAGCAGTTAATGATGCAGTAGTCAATATACACCCAGATGTACCCAACACTTATAATCTGCTTGCTTTGATAACAGGTGGGGCAACCTACTTCACAGTTCTAGACCTTAAGGATGCTTTCTTTTGCCGGATTGCTGCTGAGAGTCAGTGTATCTTTGCTTTCCAATGGGAAGATGCTGTTACAGGTTCAAAGCGTCAGATGACCTGGACCAGACTCCCTCAAGGGTTTAAGAATTCACCTACCCTATTTGGATCTGCATTAAGTCAGGATTTGCAAGATTTCAAGTCCATCCCAGGAGAATGTGTATTGCTTCAATACGTGGATGATCTTTTGATAGCAGCTGTTGCTAAAGAGATATGCCAACAAGCAACTTATGATTTGCTTCACATTCTATGGAGAGCAGGATACAAGGCATCAAGGAAGAAAGCGCAATTGTGCCAGTCAACTTACATATTTAGGATTCTATATTTCCGAAGGTCAAAGAATAATGGGACCTGAAAGAAAAGAACCAGAGTGTCTGATATCTATACCTAAGAATAGAAGACAAGTGCGAGAATTCTTAGGAGCAGCAGGATTCTGTAGGAAATGGATTCCTAATGATGCGATACTGGCGAAACCTTTATATGAAGCTGTGAAAGGCACAGAATATGACGCCTTTTTGTGGACCTCTGAACAACAGAAGGCATTTGAGGATGTTAAGAAAGCACTTATGAGTGCCCCAGCCCTAGGTCTACCAGATCACACGCGTCCTTTCTATCTGTATGTACATGAGCAAAGAAGAATGACTGTGGGAGTATTAACTCAGTATTTGGGATCATGGCAAAGACCTATAGCTTATATGTCCAAACAGTTGGATGCAGTGGCCAGTGGTCTTCCACCTTGTCTGTGAGCAGTGGCCGCCGCTGCCCTGTTGGTAGCAGAAGCTGACAAGCTCACATTGGGTCAGGAACTCTATGTGCGAGTACCCCATGCAGTTCAGACCCTATTGAATTACAAAGGAAATCATTGGTTTAGCAACAGTCGAATCACCAAATATCAAGCTATGTAATGTGAAAATCCAAGAGTACACCTCGAAACTGTCAATAATTTGAATCCAGCTGCCCTTCTGGCCAAGCTACTGAAAGTCAACATGATTGTTTGGAGATAATGGATGAAGTGTTCTCAAGCAGGCCTGATCTTCATGATTTCCCCATCCAGAATCTGGACATACAGTATTATACAGATGGTGGTAGTTATGTGAAAGAAGGTATACGTTATGCAGGGTATGCGGTAACAACCATAGACAAGGTGATAGAAGCACGGCCACTGTCGAAAGGGACATCAGCACAGAAGGCGGAACTGATTGCATTAACAAGGGCTTTGCAATTAGCTGAAGGGTTGAGAGTGAATATTTACACAGATTCGAAGTACGCTTTTCTAACCAGCCATTCCCATGGATCATTGTATAAAGAAAGGGAATTGTTGAATTCAGAAGGGAAAGAAATCAAGTATGCAGCAGAAATACTCCAACTGTTAGAGGTGGTATGGGAACCGAAGGAAGTCGGTATTATACATTGCAGGGCACATTTGAAAGGTGATAGTGATGTAGTAAAAGCAAATCGCATGGCCGATAGTGCAGCAAAGGGCAAGAGGAATATGTGGGGTATGTTGAGGCACTTGTGCCGGCACCTCTGTCTCAATGGACTCCGATATATATACAACCCAAGAGATGGAGTGGTTGAAGACTGAAGCTGGGAAATATTTGGAGAATAATTGGTATCAGAAGATGGAAGAATAGTTATTCCGACATCTCTGGCTATAGAGATTGTTCAGAACTTCCATAATGGTACACGTTCAGGAAGAGATAGTATGGAAGAATCTCTCCGGAAACATTTCTACATACCAAGATTATCCAATCTTACTCAAGCTATTGTTCGAAGATGTGTTTTGTGTGCTTGAAACAATGCAAGACAAGGCCCTGTCAAACCCCCTGGAGTTCAATATACAGGAGGACTCCCAATGTCCGATTTGCAAATAGACTACACTGTAATGCCTAAATCTGGGGGATATTGTTACTTGTTGGTAGCTGTGTGCACCTACTCAGGTTGGGTAGAAGCTTGTCCAACTCATACAGAAAAGGCAGGAGAAGTTGTACGATTTCTGTTGCGAGAAGTTATACCCAGATATGGACTTCCATGTTCTATCGGATCAGACAATGGTCCAGCCTTTATCCATCAGTGTTTACAACAATTGACTCATGTGCTTGGTATTAAGTGGAAACTTCATACAGCATATAGACCTCAGAGTTCTGGAAAGGTGGAAAGAATGAACAGAACAATAAAAACCCAATTGGCTAAAATGTGTCAGGAAACTCAGCTCAAGTGGAATGTCCTTTTGCCAATAGCTCTGTTGCGGATACGTAGTACTCCTACCAGAAGAATGGGTCTGTCTCCCTTTGAAAGCGTGTATGGGCGTCCACCTCCCATACTCAGTAATTTAAAGGGGGACTTGAATCAGTTGGGTGAAGGAATTACTCGGCAGCAGGTTGTAGAGTTGGGTAAAACTATGGAGGAAGTACAGAAATGGGTGCAAGATAGGTTACCTGTGAACATATATCCACCTGTTCATTCCTATCAACCGGGAGATCAAGTGTGGATAAAAGAATGGAATATTGTTCCATTAGGTCCAAAGTGGAGGGGTCCTTATGTTGTTCTTTTATCTACTCCAACAGCTGTAAAGGTGGCAGAAGTGACTCTGTGGATTCATCATTCTAGGGTTAAACCAGCAGCAGATTCTTGGCAAGCTATTCCAGATTCTGAAAATCCTTGCAAGATCCGGTTAAAGCGGGTAGCTCAGTTGGAGTGAGAAATAATACGAGGAGATATTGAGACATCTTAGTTGAAAGTAACAACAGATATCCGCAAGTAGGTATTTTGACGGCCATAATAAAGCCTGACCACCTACCTACGTGTCATAGCCAGAGTGTCTCGAAGGGAGTTCTGTGAAGAAAAGTGAGGATCAGAAGAACGATAATCCTTGTAGCCCTCACAATCGGGAAGCTGAGGTGCCGTCGCACGGTCGAAGAGTAGAAATTAGGACTTTTGAAATAATTTTATATTATGTGTTTAGGCATTTTTTATTTTTATTTATTATTATTTTTTTTTTAGGAAGGTAAAGGTGAGGACATGCAGAGTTGTGTTAGCTGCATTAAGACTACAAAAACAGGTAACCAAATATCCCAAACTCTCATTTGGCACTCACAGTATGAGTGTAGGGGATCTGTATCTAAGTGTAGCTATCTAGATATAGATTACAATGTGTGCAAACCAATATCAGGAGAGCCTAAATGTTTTGATCCCCAATTCCAACCCCGTACAATTTGGTTGGTAATTCGGAACAGTAACTCCCAGGAGACTTTGATAAATAGGACTGTGATCAATACCATGCATTCTACTATTTGATGCATGTAAGGCAATCTCTGGTAGTGGAAAACCTTGGAATGTATGTGGTAATCTTTAAATGGGAACGAATTTATGGGTTTAATTATAAATATTTATGTCCCAGTAAGAGATCTACTGATCCTGGTTGCCCAGATAGGGATTTTAATTTTTGTCCATATTGGTCTTGTGTAGGGTGGGTGACCTGGGGAAAAACAGTGGATCAAGATATGATTATCCAAAGGTTGCCCACTACACCACACTGTAAATCTATGGAATGTAATCCTGTCCATATGACCATCTCTAATCCACAAAATTTTTATTGATAAGTTTGGAAATCTATTTGGGTTCCAAATATATGGCACAGGAGTAGACCCAGGGACCATAATATATGTAGGACTTGAAACTGAGACGATGGCAACTCAAACTCATCAGGTTTTTCATTCCTTCTATGAGGAGATGAGTGTTGAGGATAAAATTCCCCATAATGTTAAGAACCTATTTATTGATTTGGCTGAGAGTATTGCGGGTAGTCTTAATGTAACGAAGTGCTTTGTATGTGGATGTACTAAAATGGGAGACCAGTGGCCATGGGAGGCAAAGGAAGTATGGTACCCTGGTTCTGAGACAGATGAACAACAAATACTTTCTCAGTCTGATCATCAAGTAAGTACTAGAGGTAAATCAGAGTGGCGGTTAAAAACCTCCATTATAGGTCATGTATGTTTAGCCAGGAAAGGGCCATTGTATACCACACCTGTTGGCAAGTTAATATGTCTAGGACAGAGAGCCTATAATGCCGATACTAAAGATACTACTTGGTGGTCAGCTTCAAATGTCTCAGAGCCTACTAATCCGTTTGCCAATAACACCCATTTAAAAGAGGTATGGTTTGACTTATCTGCTACATCCAATTGGAAAGCCCCGGTGAATTTATATTGGATCTGTGGTAAGAAAGCATATTCAGAGTTAATACAAGATTGGGAAGGGGCATGTGTTTTAGGTATGCTCAAACCATCCTTCTTCCTGTTGCCAATTGAGACAGGAGAGACCTTGGGAGTTAAGGTTTATGATGTAAATCATAAAAAGAAGCGAGCATCCTTGAATATAGGTAGCTGGGAAGATGATGAGTGGCCTCCCCAACGCATTATTAATTATTATGGACCTGCTACTTGGGCAGAAGATGGTACCTATGGATATAGAACCCCAATATATATGCTCAACCGTATTTTAAGCCTACAGGCGGTGGTTGAGATTATCACTAATGAGAGCAAAATACTCGGATGAGATCAGCCATCTATCAAAATAGATTATCTCTGGACTACCTATTAGCAGTAGAGGGAGGTGTATGCGGACAGTTTAATCTCAGCAACTGTTGTTTGCACATAGATGATGAAGGGCAGGCAGTGGCTGAATTTACAAGCCACATGGTTAAAGTGACGCATGTACTTACTCAGGTCTGGAATGGTTATAATCCTAGTAGTTGATATGAGCAGCTTGGAGGGATTAAGGCGTTCGTAGGAGGAGTACTATTTATTATATTCTTATGTCTCTTTCTGCCCTGCCTAATTCCATTAGTGGTCAGATCTATACGTAGTATCATAGAGAGTACTATAGAAAGAAAGACAGCTGCTCATGTATTGGCTGTCTATAGATATGAATCCCTAGCCCAAATAGAACATATTCAGGATGAGGAATGCAGAAGGAGTTTGTGATGATGCTAAGATGCTTACAAGGTCTGCTCTGGTCCAATGATGCTTACAAGGTCTGCTCTGGCTACTTGAGAGGTGTTGGTAAACTATGATTGGTGATGCATATGGAATAATTTTGTATCAGAGGCATCAAAGGGGGGAATGTGATGGAATTTCGGTGAAATGTAAATTTAGTAGGCCAAGATTTCCACATGGCATGTCTATGTTGTATCAGTTAGTTACACGTAGCTAAGATACTGTCATCAATGTACTGAGCATGTGCAGGAATGCAGGAACTGAAATTACACTCCTTTCTCCTTTGTTTTGGATGATCCATGTGGTCTGCCCCTTTGAGGAAATCCAAATCCTGTCCACTGATTGGTTAAGGGTATGTACATGTGGAGCTATTAATGGGAGGAGTTATAGTTCTATATAAAGCATGTACTCCATGTGTTTGTCCCTCAGACCTGTTTTGGAACGTTAGTTCATCTGAGGCCCGATCGGTATGTTAATAAAGACCTCTTACTTCCTGAAAACCTGCATCCATCTCTCTGTGTCTGGCTTCTGCATGTGTACTCGGTTACAATACAGAGCGGCCCTTCGTCATAGTGTGTACTTCATGTTAGAAACACTTGCATTGATTAATAATTGTATTTTGACTTTGTATTTCAGGTGAAGATGTTGAGAGTGTTCAGTTGGAAGTGAGTGGATTTTTAAAGGAGCTTTCCTGTCCCTATCCTTCACTTGTTTCTGGAGACATCAAGGATAGACTTCAATCCAAGGAGGACTGTCTGAGGCTGCTGTGTGAGTGCACCCATTGCTTTTCTTCTCTCACTCGTGAATCTGAGATTAGTAATGGTACATGAGTAAAGTAAGGGAAGTCCAGGCTACTTTAGAGTGCTTTCTTTGTTGCAACATTATCAGAATTATTCATTAAATGGTCAAAATACAAAGGAAATCTCAAATTATAGGTCATAATTGTTGACCTATGAACATGAATCATAGCTGACTTGTAAAATATGTCCCGTTTTGTTTATCTTGGTTTAAGAATGTTTAATTCACTTTGAATTCATTGCCAGTCACACTTTATTGAATAACCCTGTCAATCACTAAAACAGGAAGTATAATGAATCAATAAAAAAAAAAAAAAAAAATGGAAAGTTTAAGGCTGCAATCGTACAGTTTGAGAAATTGTCCAACTATGTTATATTTACGTTTTTTGTTATATTGGCATAAAATATGCAATTCTCATGCCATTTCTCCACGATTTATGGTTCAATGAATAGACCTAAAATGTTTTTACAAAAAGGTTTGCTTTTACCCACCATGATATAAATGCTAATATTTGCGATTTGTCGTTTTATAGGATATTGTATATCTTTTTAACTTCTTATAACTGAGTTAATTTACAACCTTTTGAGCTGTCTTAAAGGGACACTATAGTCACCAAAATAACTTTAGCGTAATTAAGTAGCTTTGGTGTATGGATCATGCCCCTCTAGTCTCACTGCTCAATTTTCTGCAATTTAGGAGTTAAATCACTTTTTTTTTTAATACAGCCCTAGTCACACCTCCCAGCCTTCATATACAATTCCTGTAAAGCAAGATCTAATGTTCAAACTGCTTTTATTGCACATTCTGTTTAATTTATAATTTACCTCCGCTGCTTTTAATAGCCTGCTAGAGCCTACACGAATGTGTGATTAAAGTTCCATTTACAGATCTGATTAAAAATTAGAAAAAAATTTCATGCAGGCTGTGTCAGTCACAGCCAGGGGAGGTGTGGCTAAGGCTGCAGAAACAAGAGTGATTTAACTCCTTAATGGGAAAGAATTCAGCTGTGAGATTGCAGGGGGTTGATTTATTCACCCCCAAAAAATTGTTTTGTTTTGATTCCTATAGTATCCCTTTCAATATTTGTGTACTTCAAAAAAATAAATAAAAAAGAGCATTAGTTAACCCTTTCACGCCATTAGAGCATGACATGCTGTCCTGCAGTAGGAGGGCTTAAACGCCATAGCACTCCCTAACCATTTAGCCCTCACTATAACAATGTCTGTGGTGTTAATCACTGCAAATTTGAGATTTCTGTGGAAAAAACAGGTGTTATGGCTTAACTGGTGTGCAGATCTTTGTTTAACATTGTATTTGTTTAACATTGTACTAGCCACTGACTTCAGGTGAAAGGGGTTTTCAATCACAATTTATTCCCCACCATAACATTCTTTGTTTTTCTTTGCATATATTTATTCAATACATTGTTAAACACAGATCTGCACACCAGTCAAGTCAAAAGACTTGCTTTTCCAACAGAATTCTCACATTTGCAGTGATGCTACTATTGGAAAGGATTCTGGGTGGGCATATGCAAATAAGATATAATAACCCCTTTCAGTGCTGGTCGCAGCTGTTTGATCTGCAATCACTGTTATTTTAATTTTTGTGTTGGGTATTCTATTGGTGGAAGTGGGAAATAAGGGTGTGGTAGTGTGTATTAGGCAGGTGGGCAAATAAAATGACCCCTTAGTGACATAGCTTAAATTAATCCCCCTTAGATGGCATGCGGAGAAAGTGTATGCCATTCTGGCATGCTCAGATAGGGACACTTTCGCAGACAGTGACACTATGACAGTGTTTGACATTGAGGCCCCAAGTGAGTCCATCAGTGATGGTGCCACCGCCGCCACCATCTACAAGAAGGTGCTTAGGACACCCCACAGTGCCAGAGGAAATTTTAAATACCCCTAAACTTGACAGCCCTAGAAATAACCCCACGGCTATATCTGACATCACAGCATCGGTATATGTTGGAGCCAGTGAACTGTTTTAGCCTCTTGATGTCAGACGACATTACAGTAGAAATAAATGTTGTATCCCGCTGATGTTGCAGAAAAAAAAAAAAAAATACTATGGCTATACAGGGCTTTTGCATTTATCAAGGGAAGGATAGCCATCGTGACCCCCAGGATGTGGGTACAAATTGCAAGATTGAGTGGGATCTGATCCTTCCCATGTTAAATAAGGGTTATCATCCATGGGTTGATGGTTATATTATTTAAATTTTTTGGACAATTTGGACAAAGCTTGGTATCTGAGTCATGCCATATTTTGTGTGCGTCTTGTTTGGCCTTAGGCTATACATAAGGGGCATCTTCAGGTAGATGTGTTTTGGGCTGTAGATGAGCAATTGCGTTTGAATTTGTGTACTGTTTGGTAGAGGGGTGAGGGGGAAGTGGGTGAGCAGCGATAAGGGAGCAGGAAATGAATGGCTTCGAGGGGGAAGGCTGTGAGAAGATGTAGAAGACGTGAATGTATGATAGAGTAAAAATGAGAGAGAAAGAGGGGGAAAAAAGTGGGGGGGGTGGGTTACAGTAGTGTAGTTCAGGTTCGGCAAATTAGCGGTTGATGGAGGGTGTCATCGTTGTGTGTGGACTGGCTCTCTACTGCCTTTGGGGGTCTAAGTGTGTTGTCTGGTCTGTCACGGGCTGCCCTCTGACTGGGAGGACAAGCTTGTCTGGATGTGGGGAGGTTTCAAAAACTAATCCTGGTGATATAGTTCAACCGTGGGTACCAAGTCAAGACACATTTGGCAGTGCGGCCTCTCAGGTCTGCGGTCAGGGTCTCCTTGCTATGGATCTCTTCTATCCTGGCAGCTCATCGCTGAAAGGTAGGAGCACCTGTCTGTTTCCATAGTGTTGGGATTAGGGACTTTGCCGCTGTGAGTAGGTGGGTAGTTAGGGAATTCATGTATGAGGCGATGGGACTGTTCATGTGGTGAAGAAGAATCGGAAGAGGTTGTAGTGGGAGGTCTGTGCCTGTAATCTCACAGGTTTTAGAATGCACCATAGCCCAGTAAGGGGGCGATGACTGGGCAAGACCACCAGATGTGGAGATTTGTGCACTCTTTCCCTCCGCAGTCCCAACAGCCGGGATCTCTGACTTCATGATGTGTAGGACGTCTTGCGTCCGATACCAGGGTGTTAAGAGCTTGTAGCTTAGTTCCTGGTACTTGGAGCTAATGGAGCACTTATGCGTCAGGGTGAGAATTTTGTCCCATTCACTGTCTGTAAGCGCCTCCCCCACAGCTCTTTCCCATCTCGAGGTAAACCCGAGTGGTGGTCTATCACATCCTGTAACTAGTATAGTGTGGAGAATGGAGATCCCTTTGTTTAATATTTCATGTGTCGTGCATAGTTGTTCGAATTGTGTAAGGGGTTTGTGAAACTGTGTTCACCCCGCAGCAGGTGCAATAGGAGCGTATTTGGTGATATCGAAACCTTTCCATGTGGGCTGGCTGCCTGTCAGGGATCAGTTCAGCAAGGGTCTTTAGCTGAGTCGAGGTGCACCAATGATGGATACATGTCCAGTTCGAAGCCTAGAAGCTGGCCGGTCACAGGCTGCCCACGAGCTCCCGGGTTGTGTGTTATGGGTTGGTTTTGGGGATGTGGTTAATGGATTTGAGTAGCGAGTTGAGCACCAGACCTTGAGCAATGCGTCTCTTGTAGGATTGCCTGTGCGGAGTGTCCCGTACGGTACTCCTCGAGCCAGTGTAGGGAGGGGATTTTGCCCTCCATCTGTTGGGTTTCCATTGTCACCCACAGTTTCTTTGGTGCCTTTGCATGCCATTCAACCAATCTTTGTAGGTGGGTTGCGTGATAGTATGTGACCACCGACGGGAGGCCAGCTCCTCCTGTGTGCTTGGAGAGGATCAGTTGGGTGCACCGTATTCGAAAAAAGTTAGCGGGATTTCTACCAGTAGGGCCTGGAACAGATATAGTAAGAGGTTGATGGTTATTATACCAGTATGGATTTATTTAATATATTTTGTTTTAAAACCCTAGCTTGTGGCACAGCGCGTAAAACATGCAGAGGTTTTCCCCAAACCCTGACATGCAGTAGAGGCTCAGCTTCAGCTCTCATGATACAATGCACAACAATAGCACAGTGCCAGTGTATGTCAGAGGAAGAACTGAGCAGTTGGAAAAAATCAAAGTGCATTGTTAAACTAGCATGTATATGGGGGGAGTGGACTTGGCTGATCAATGTATACAGGCTTATCTGCTGAACTGAAAAAGTAGGTCCTGGTACAAGACAATTGCAATATATTTAGTCAATTATCACTTCCTATTTGCTGTATAAAAGGCCGCCATAGGGAAGCCATACCCATTTCTTAATTATTATTATGTTGAAACTTTTGTCTGATATTTTATTTACCCAGTCCCCCAATCCACCCTCTTCGGAATCAGATGATGTCCAAAGACTTTGTGGCAAGCACTTTCCTTCACAAATCCCCCACGCACACCCTGAATAAGTCGACCCAGAGAAAGGACCCTTTCTGGCCATCTCAATCTGCCCTCTGCATAACAGACTGTGTCAGAGTCTACCATACAGAGCTAAACTGTTGCATCACTCCGTGTGTGACTTTCTCAGTGTGTTTGTTTATTTTGGATATCTGACCTGGGCTTGTCATGATTTCTCTTTGTTAGCTGCCTGTACAGACGTATTGACTTGTTATATCAACTACTCTGACTTCTGGATTCCCCTTACCTTGGTCCGTCCTTGTTTAAGTTAAGTCCAGGCATTCTATAGTGCAGGGCTCGACAAATCCCAGGTTGCCATGGCAACTTGAAATTTCGCATTGGCGTTTGTGATCTGTCAGCTCTTTAGCTAAAGCAGCTGTCTGGGCAAACTATGGAGCTAGCCGCCATTTAAAGAATAGAGGCGGACGGTTTAAGGAGCCCTGGGGAGCATGGAGGTGATTGGCTGAGGCAGTGCGCGTGGGAGCAGTGATCTTCCTGCATCTTCCTGCATCTTCTCTCTGCTCCCTCCCACTATATAGTGATGCCGTAGCCGGAATATGACATAATTCAGGCCCCCGGCATCACTACAGGGAGCAGAGAGAAGCTGCAGGAAGATTACTGCTCCCTCGCACGCAGGAAGAGAGAGAAGTCACACTGGACCCCAGGGAAAGATCTACTCTGCTCTCCCAAAGGTAGGCTGTGTGGATTGAAATAAAAAATTTAAATTGGTGTGTGTGTGTGTGTGTGTATGCCTCTGTCAGTGTGTCTGTCAGAGAGTGTGTATCTGTTTAGGTACCTGCCCCCCTCCGATCTCAGAGAAGTGTTTTTTACTCTCCTTTTTTCCGACAACGTGCCAGTTTCGCCACGGCTTGTCCCGCCTCCATAGCTGAGATCAATGTTTATAAACTCAGCTAAGCCAATGCTTTCCCATAAAAAAGCATTGGGAGGATATTGTGCAAGTTCTCTATGGGTAACATTCAGCGCATCCATGCAGAGCACTGACACAGGACTCTCTAGTGGCCGTCTGAAAATGCAGCATTTACATTGAAAAGGCTATAGGCACCAGAACAACTTCATCAAAGAGACACTATAGTCACCCGAACAACTTTAGCTTAATGAAGCAGTTTTGGTGTATAGAACATGCCCCTGCAGCCTCACTGCTCAATCCTCTGCCATTTAGGAGTTAAATCCCTTTGTTTATGAACCCTAGTCACACCTCCCTGCATGTGACTTGCACAGCCTTCCATAAACACTTCCTGTAAAGAGAGCCCTATTTAGGCTTTCTTTATTGCAAGTTCTGTTTAATTGAGATAGCTTGCTAGACCCTGCAAGAGCCTCCTGTATGTGATTAAAGTTCAATTTAGAGATTGAGATACAATTATTTAAGGTAAATTACATCTGTTTGAAATTGAAATCAGTTTTTTTTTTTTTTTTTTTTAATGCAGGCTCTGTCAATCATAGCCAGGGGAGGTGTGGCTAGGGCTGCATAAACAGAAACAAACTGATTTAACTCATAAATGACAGTGAATTGAGCAGTGAAATGATCTATACACTAAAACTGCTTTATTTAGCTAAAGTAAAATTAGGTGACTATAGTGTTCCTTTAATCTGTAGTGATTCTGGTGACTATAGTGTCCCTTTAAGATTTGTATGTTTCTCTTTGTAAATTTAAACTTTGCTAGTTTAAAAAAAAAACTGTCTCCTAACTTTTTTAGCTGGCTCCTAGATTCCAAACACATTTGTCAAGCTCTGATATGGTGGCTACCCAAAACAACTCAAAATCCTACTTCTAGAATACTTGTTAAAATGGTATGCCATTGTGGGGCAATTTTCTTTCTTAGTCAGTCATGTTCTATTAAAGGCGATATGGGCCCAGAAAATCAGTGTGTCAATATTTCTAATATTTTGCAGTGAGACTTACCAAAAAGACCTTAAAAACCGATATGTGGGGGTACTGTTATATTAGTGATACAATGTGAATCAAAACTACTGAGGCCTTATTGCACAAACTCCTATCAGGATTATTACATTCCCTGTGAAAATGGAATTCATAAACAAAACACAACAGAAAAGTTGACCAGCATTTGTTTTAAAGTGGCCAGACCAAACCATTCGAGGACTGTCATTTGCGGGAATTCACTTGGACTCTAATACTTACTAGACTTTTTTTTTTAATCGACGCCCAAACAAACTGACTTGCCCACGATTTACCTGTGGAGTCTTATTCATTGAATAAGACTGTACAGGTAAATCCCAGAAGGATGGATTAGTTTGGGCATAGATTAAAAGGAATTTCATTGTGACGCAGAAGTCTAGTACTTAGCAGGTTTTTCTTTCAATCAGTATTTCTAGGCACAGAACTTCAAGCCATGCAGATCTTCCATAGCAGGAAGCAAACGGACACAGAGAAGAATGACCCTGCCTACCTGGAATTGAAAGCAATATGTGACGCACTCCACTTACCTGAGCAGCCTTCTTCTGATATCATGTCAATACTGAAGATTGTGGAGGCCAAGGTGAGGAACATACCTCTTTCCCTGTCCTATGAGTAACCACCACGCATCATGTATTGGCTCTATAAAGGGCATAGTTAAATGTACATTCTTAGAACCAAAATCTTGGTTCTAATATAATCAATCATAATATAATATATTCTATTATAATAATATATCTTAATGTAGTGTTTTGGTGCAAAGATCCTGTCCATGCACTCTGATAAATGAAAGCTTGCTGTTTGTTAGAAATGGCAATGTTTGCATTTCTCATTTATGATGCTTCTGGTGGCTATAGGAGAGCCACTATAGGCATTTCTTCATTGAAGCATCCAATAGGTAGAGCACAGTGATTGCATTGCATGCACCATAGAGACCCAGTGCCCCACTGTACTATAAAAACATAGAATGTGACGGCAGATAAGAACCGTTTGGCTCAACTAGTCTGCCCAATTTTCTAAATACTTTCATTAGTCCCTGGCCTTATCTTATAGCTAGGATAGCCTTATGCCTTTCCCACGCTTACTTAAACTCCTTCACTGTGTTAACTTCTACCACTTCAGCTGGAAGGCTATTCCATGCATCCACTACCCTCTCCGTAAAGTAATACTTCCTGATATTATTTTTAAACCTTTGCCCCTCTAATTTAAGACTATGTCCTCTTGTTGTGGTAGTTTTTCTTCTTTTAAATATAGTCTCCTCCTTTACTGTGTTGATTCCCTTTATGTATTTAAATGTTTCTATCATATCCCCCTGTCTCGTCTTTCCTCCAAGCTATACATTTGAGATCCTTTGACCTTTCCTTGTAAGTTTTATCCTGCAATCCATTAATCAGTTTAGTAGCCCTTCTCTGAACTGTCTCTCCAAAGTATCAGTATCCTTCTGAAGATACCTCCAGTACTGCGTACAGTACTCCAAGTGATCACAATGATCTCACATTTGACAGAGCAGCTACAGTGCCTTTATTCAGATGGCTGTACTTGATGATATCTGCAGGTGATCCTATTAGAAAGAATTAATGCTGTTACAGGGTAGCCAGAAAACCTTTAATTATGGTGTCCTTATATGCCATCAGTGCAACCTGGAATATAGTCACTAACTAAAAAAAAAAAAATATATTATATCCAGGGTCTATCACCACAATGAAGGGATTCTTTTTTTGTAGTTTGAAAATAGTAAAGGAAATGACAAAAGAAATATGGTTCTAAAAAGAGATTGGTGGGTTTATTTTTTTTTTATTTTTTAGTAATGTTGTGAATATTTTTCTAAATGTAAGTGTTACTCTAACACAGGTTTCCCCAAACTCCAGCCCTCCAGATGTTGCTGAACTACAACTCCCATGATTCTCAGCCTATATTTCATTCATAGAATCATGGGAGTTGTAGGTCAGCAACATGTGGAGGGCCGTAGTTTGAGGAAGCCTGGTCTAACCCTTTATATATGGACTTTGTTATGAAAAGGTTGTTAATTGAGCAGCGCCAACGTTTCAGACCCAGTCTTGGTCCTTTCTCAAAAGGTCTTCAGGCTCCTGGGGACCGAGAATCTCACTAAACTGTTTAATAGTGATGCACAACCCGGTATCCATGGACACCAAGCACCATAACCACTTCAGTATGCTGAAGTGGCTATGCTGTGTGCAGTGTTGCTTTTATCCTGAGATGATAGAGCTATGTGGTAACAATATTTAACATTTTCTAAACCGAAAAAAGAAAAAGCTGACTAGGTCAAATACATGACTAATTAGAAATATAATATAATCTATGCACTACATAGTAAAGACCTGTTAACTGTCCATGTAATATTTAGTCCTTCTCGAATTATCCTTCAGCCTAAGTTATTGTTTTACTCTTTGTGCAGGTCACAGACATCATGTCGCAAGTGAACACAAAGCATGTTGGACCAATGTTGCTTAAATCGGAACTGAATGAAGAACAGCTGGTGAGAGACTGCAAATGAACACAATGTACAAACTATTATAACATGTTCTAGATTCTAGCTCCATGTAGTAGATCCATAGAAGGGAACGGTACAGAGAAGTTTTGACTATAAATGGCACAGATTTAGACCTAAAACACGATTTTCTGTATAGTTGGAGTAAATAAAAAAAACAGGTGATTTGTTGTACTGTTACATAATATAAAGCACTGATCCCTGGCCAAACAAGCTGTAGCTTAAAGGACCACTATAGGCACCCAGACCACTTCAGCTTAATGAAGTGGTCTGGGTGCCAGGTCCAGCTAGGTTTAACCCTTTTTTTCTATAAACATAGCAGTTTCAGAGAAACTGCTATGTTTATAATAGGGTTAATCCGTCCCCTAGTGGCTGTCTCATTGACAGCTGCTAGAGGCGCTTACGTGCTTCTCACTGTGATTTTTCACAGTTAGAAGACGCCAGCATCCATAGTAAAGCATTGAGAATGCTTTCCTATGGACTGGCTGAATGCGCGGCTTTTGCCACGCATGCGCATTCAGCCGAGGAGGAGGAGGAGAGTCCCCCGCCCGGTGCTGGAGAAAGAGGTAAGTTTAACCCCTTCCGCCTCCTAGAGCCCGGCAGGAGGGGGACCCTGAGGGTGGGGCACCCTCAGGGCACTACAGTGCCAGGAAAACGAGTATGTTCCTGGCACTATAGTGGTCCTTTAAGAGACAAAAGCACTTTACCATCTTAGTCCAGTCAGCACTCTAAACTCTTTAAAGGAACACCAAACGCTAGCTGTAGTGATTATGGTGTCCAGATTTCTCTGGCTCGTCCCAACCTCCCTTAATGTATGTAGTCAAACCTTTTTTTGAACAGTTTACCTCATACCAGGGTCTGCTGGTTGCTTGTCTTTGCCTACACTACTAATTGCAATTGAAATTGTCATTTCTACGACTATGGTCAATGGGGGCTTGCAGTTACAGGTAGAGATGCGCCGAATATGGGTCACATCTGCCAAAAATAGGGCAGAGTGACTTGTCGGGTCCTCTGTACAAGATGGTCCCGCAGCTTGCCCTGTGTGCAGCGGTGTGCAAGGCCCTTCCCGTCTGCCCGGGGAGAGAGCCAGTACCGTCTACAGCTCCGACTGCTGTGAGCTGCAGCCTGTGCTGTATCTCGCGATATCTGTCAAATCCGAGTGTTTCTGTGGGTTACCACAGCAACACTCTGACTTCTGGAGCTTGCGAGATACAGCACAGTCTGCAGCAAACACCGGTCGAAGCTGCAGACTGGGGTGACAGACCACTGGACCACCTACAAAAAAAAAGAAGGTATTTCTAACACCCTCCCTCACTGTCACCAGTCACCCCCTCCCTCTGTCACTCTCACCAGTCACCCCCACTACACACTACATCTCGATACTGCACCACACCATGTTCCCTACACACACTATATACACTACATCCCTTTCCCACACCTCACTATATTCCATACAAACACTACATAACCTACACAAATCATTTGGGGGGGAAAAGTAATTTTCGGTTTTTGGCCAAGGGCATCCTGAATTTTCGTTTTCGGACAAGAATTTACATTTCGCTGCATCCCTAGTTAAAGGGACATTGTAAGCACTATAGCTGCTCCATTTTGTTGAAGTGGTTATAATGTCTGAAGTCCCCGGGTGCTATCCTTCTATTTAGCATTGTACCATGTTTTTAATGCTAAACAAGATTCCCCAGGAATTCATACAGTCTGTGCTGCTTGGGTTAATGAAGCATTAGCTCGAGCATTAATGGGTTGCAATGATTGGCTGACAGTGTCACCTGACCTCAATCAGCCTATCACAGTGCCATTGCAGGTATGAATCGGTATGGCTACAAGAAAGTGTGTAATGTCTGCGTTAGCCGTTATACATTTAGTGGGTATGGAACTTTGTGAAGCATGGGGTTCTCATTTACTGTTAAACAGATCACAAATGGTTTAACACTGAATGGAGGGGCAGTGCCAGGGGATTAAAAGCAATATAACTCAGTAAGGTAAAATGGATATCTTGCCTACAGTGTCACTTGAACCCCTAAATCAAGTGAAGTACTTTATGGGTGTGGAGTGTCCTATTCATTATAATCTTTAAGAGGCCACTCCACGGTGGAGAATGAATTATGCATAAAAAAAAATATGCAAACAAATCCAAAACACAAGACAAGAACATTGTGAAACATACTTTTTGAAGTTTCTTCTTATGTAGCTTATCCTCAGGGTTTACATCTTCTGCAGGGACATCCCACCCACTCAAGCTGTTCAGCCTATCCTGATTCTTACATGGTTTGTTTTAGTGAGGTTCAGTAGACAATCGTTTTATAGTGTTTGCATTAATAACTAATTATGTGCAGAGAGTCTGGGACAGGGTATTCTTACACCAATTACATCATAACAACATATGCTAATTACAGTTAACTCTGCAGACTGTGTAAATGGTAGAGAGTATGTATTCAAAACATTTCCATTCCTGCATTGTATAGCGTGACAGTGTTTCTTTTTTCCCTTTAGGACAGCCTGGAGAAAATAAACGAAGCCCTTTCCAAGGAATATGAGTGTCGACGCAGGATGTTAATAAAGCGTCTGGATGTGACTGTTCAATCGTTTGGATGGTCAGACAGAGCAAAGGTTAGTGTAATGTGTACATGCAGTACTTCTAAATGTACAGCTGGTGGCAGCACTGTCTTATAGAAAGCAACGTGGACAAAAACAGCTATGTTCAGTCCTTAAGGGCTTAATGGCAAGTACTGCATGACATTTTTTTGTACATACATCTCTGAGAACTTTGACAATTTTGTAGTCTTTGTTCAGTCATAAATTGTATCAATTCATATTGCGTCTCATGTCTCGGAGTATGGATACTTCCACTGACCATTATGTGTGAACAGTCGAGGAGACCGTAAAATCACATTGTGACAGTTTGTTAAAAAAGTTGAAGACACACAGAAACATAGACTGTGACAGCAGATAAGAACCATTCAGCCCACCTAGTCTGCCCAATAGTAAAGCTGGCTCAAACTGCATGCCTTGAATAAATCACCATTTGGACTTTAGCTGGGTCCTTCCCAAAATTATATCCATTATACCGCCAGAGAACGCAGGTTCAGGGGGTTTTTCACTTCCGGGTTCGGCGTCGGGACGCATCCTGCGTCATCACGTCCCGACATCTATTCTTAATTCCGGTTCCAATTACGTTAAGACGTGTCAGAAACGTCATAACAACGAAGTCCATACAGATAAAGTTTATAAAAGCGGAAAAGTGCTACCTAAATTGATAATTATGCAAACAAAACTTATGACCGCATTTAAATACTATTAAAAGGTAAATACATTACTAATTTAAAATTCATTGACAATAATTAATAATTATATATATAAATTAATAAACAAAATTAATCTAGTCTTTTGAGCAAAAAGAGGCAAATCATTAAAAAATTAGATTATTAAAGTAGAAGACAAATACCTGCCTTAAAAATAATGGTACATATGTTAAAAGGAAAACTTGATGTATAGGAATCTCAAAATTAGACAATAAATATTCATATAAAAATATACATTAATAGCCATAAAAATAAATATATTATAAAATTCATAAAAAAATAAATATAAAAAAATATATAAAAATATAAAGGGGAAAAGAAAAGGAAAAATTGTTAAATATAGGGCCTTTAATGTGAGTGAGACCAGTACAGAATTTTAAGTTTTTATTTTAAACATTATTACCCTATGTTTTTTTCCATTTTTTGTTTTATTTTCATAACCTGATGCTATTTGGGTAATATTATTTTTATTTATTTGAGTGCTCTCACCATTTTCTTTTTAACTTGTCACTTGTATTTATTTAGTGGTTATTGTGGCTCCACTAAGGTGATTGTAGCACCACCACTTTCTTTTAGGAATTCTTCACTTGTATATTGTATTTTAGTCTGCCCAATAATTCAAAATACTTTGAAATAGTCCCTGGCCTTATCTTAATTCTAGGATAGCCTTATGTCTATCGTACGCATGCTTAAACTCCTTTACTGTGTTAACCTTTACCACTTCAGCTGGAAGGCTATTCCATGCATCCACTACCCTCTCAGTAAAGTAATACTTCCTGATATTATTTTTAAACCTTTGTCCCTCTAATTTAAGACTATGTCCTCTTGTTGTGGTAGTTTTTCTTCTTTTAAATATAGTCTCCTCCTTTACTGTGTTGATTCCCTTTATATATTTAAATGTTTCTATCATATCCCCCCTGTCTCGTCTTTCCTCCAAGCTATACATGTTAAGATTATTTAACCTTTCCTGGTAAGTTTTATCCCGCAATCCATGAACCAGTTTAGTAGCCCTTCTCTGAACCCTCTCTAAGGTATCAATATCCTTCTGAAGATACGGTCTCCAGTACTGTGTACAATACTCCAAGTGAGGTCTCACCAGTGTTCTGTACAATGTACAGTGTTCCTTCCCTCTTTCTACTGCTAATACCTCTCCCTATACAACCAAGCATTCTGCTAGCATTTCCTGCTGCTCTATTACATTGTCTGCCTACCTTTAAGTAATCAGAATTAATCACCCCTAAATCCCTTTCCTCAGATGTTGGTTAGTACTCTATCAAATATTCTGTACTCTGCCCTTGGGTTTTTATGTCCAAGATGCATTATCTTGCACTTATCCACATTAAATGTCAGTTGCCACAACTCTGACCATTTTTCGAGTTTACCTAAATCATTTGCCATTTGGCTTATCCCTCCTGGAACATCAACCCCGTTACATATCTTAGTATCATCAGCAAAACGACATACCTTACCATCAGGACCTTCTGCAATATCACTAATAAAAATGTTAAAGAGAATGAGTCCAAGTACTGATCCCTGAGGTACCCCACTGGTGACAAGCCCAAGCTTCACATATACTCCATTGACTACAACCCTCTGTTGCCTGTCATTTAGCCACTGCCTACCCCATTCAACAATATTGGAATCCAAACTTAAAGATTGCAGTTTATTGATCAGCCTTCTATGTGCAACAGTGTCAAAAGCCTTACTGAAATCTAGGTAAGCAATGTCTATTGCACCACCCTGATCTATTATTTTAGTTACCCAATCAAAAAAATCAATAAGATTAGTTTAGCATGATCTCCATGAAGTAAACCCATGTTGTCTCTGATCTTGAAATCCATGTGATTTTAGATGTTCAACAATTCTATCCTTTAACATGGTTTCCATTACTTTTCCCCACTACTAAAGTAAGGCTTACCGGCCTATATTTGCCTGACTTGTCTCTACTACCTTTCTTGTGAATGGACACAACATTCGCTAACTTCCAATCTTCTGGGACTATTCCTGTTAACAATGATTGGTTAAATAAATCTTTTAATGGTTTTGCTAGTACACCACTAAGCTCTTTATAACTTTGGGTGTATTCCATCAGGTCCCATTGACTTATTTGTCTTTACTTTTGACAGTTGAAATAGAACCTCTTCCTCTGTAAACTCACATGTAACAAACTGAGCCGGATTAACATAGGGGCTGATGGAGCTGCAGCTCCAGGCCCATGGAATAGGCCCATTTAAAAATAATTTTTATTTTTTTTATTTTACACACTACTCTTAGGTTTGCCACCTGACTGGTATTTTACAGGCACAGACGGTATTTGAGGCTGCCTGGCCGTACCGGTATTGCAGTAATACCAGATATTTTTCTTAGTACAAACGGAGATTACTCGGCAATACCAGCACCAGCCAGTAGGGGTCACTGTGTGTGGAGAGAGGTAGGTATAGGAAGTTACAGCATATCCCTCCCTGCCTCTCTCTAATCGCTAAACCGCGGGGGAGCAGCTACACAGCACAGAGAGTGCAGACAGCAGCTCCCAGCCTGCAGAGACAGACTACAGCTCAGGGAAGTGAGGGATGAGGGGAAAGTCAGCAGGGAAACATGGGGACACTGGGAGACACTAGGGGACGCTGAGACACATGGGGACCCCATGGCTCCCAGCCAGTGTCCCCTAGTCTCCCAGTGTCTGTGTCCCCAAATGTCTGTGTCCCCATGTCTGCCAGTGTCTGTCCCCATGTCTGTGTCCCTAGTGTCCACAAGTGTCTCATGTCTCACTGGGAGTAATGGGGACACTGAGAGACTAAGGGACTAGGCGACATGGGGACACTGGCACTGTGATACATAGGGACACGGATGCCAAGCTGGCCGTCCAATTCTTTGGACAGACAAGCCCCCTTTTTGGGCATGTTCGACCTTTTTGGCAGTTCGGGTCAAGCCCATTGATTTCCTGCTTCACTGGACACTTCTGTTAGGGGGTATGGATTTACTTAAAGATCCTTTGAGTTTCCCTCCAACACCATCTCCATCAGATACATGACGCTTTAGAGGTATGACTGTTTTAGTGTTTTTGGTCGATAAGATTCTGTAATTCTGTAATTAGGCCCCATCATAATTGTCAGCACCAGGCCCACTGGGCTCTTAATCTGGCCCTGGTAACAAATGACTCACTTGTCCTTTTTCCTAACTGAGGCCCCGTCTCCTGTTGCCATGTGAGCACTTACAGAAATGCAACTGGGAGAGATTTTAATGTTGTGCCTTGGCTCTGTAGCTGTGGTCTTACCTCTTTATTAAATGTATGCACACCGTCTGTCACTGACTGCCTGCAGCCAAATTCTGCATTAAAAGCAGCTCAATCGGTGCGATCTGTGGATGAGCTGTGTACATACACTGATCAGGAAGAATTCAGACTTATGGTGCATCATTCTGCAAAAACTATAAACATCTGAGCATGCAAAAAAAATACAGCATATTAATGAGTCCAAAACCTATGCAATGCATTAAATTGCATCGGTGCTGGGGTGTCTTTTTAATCTATTGTTTCACTAAAGCAATATCAAATATAAAGACCACTATTATTACTTGCACTCTTGCAACATTTTATATACTTATTACCCATTGTTGCTACCTGTCATCTTGCACTTATTTTGTTTTGCAGGCAAAAACAGATGAGATTGCAAGGGTTTATCAGCCAACACGTTACTCTTTGTGTCCCAAGTCTGTTGTTTCACTGGCAAACCTCCTTGCTGCCCGAGAGGATCTCTCCAGAATTGTACGCACTAGCAGTGGAGAGATTCGGCAAAAAACAGTGTGTGCTGTAAATAAGGTAGGATGCCTTTATTTTAAGAAATATAGCATGTACGAATCTCAGCTCCCCACTCTCCAGCATTTGCCTAAATTATCACTCTGCAGCTGTTAGAGAATGGAATTCAAGGACACTGTATTTTGTATCATTATACTGTGATTTTTCTGATACTTGGATATTACACTTACAGCTCTGCATGTTCCTCAATTATATTGGAAGTTCTCCTTCCTGTATGTATCTATAACATTCCGTCCCTTGCAGGTCTTGATGGGGAGAGTTCCTGACAGAGGAGGCAGACCTAGAGAGATTGACCCACCACCACCAGAAATGCCACCTTGGCAAAAACGTCAGGATGGTGGAAGAGGAGGATGGAGAGGAGGTGGTGGTGGCGGCAGAGGTGGTGGCTTTGGTAGAGGAAGTTATAATTCTGGAGGAAGGAATTTTGGAAGAGGTGGTTATCAAGGTACTGGGGGATACAGCAGAGGAGGAGGCCAGAGATGGTAGTTCTACTTGGATGAAAAGAATAACTCCTGTCGCCAAACATGAGAACGTTTCAGTATTAATTGTTTGAAACCTCTTTTGTCACATCAGGAAATATTTATCCTTTTACCCAGGGGACTTAATATGAGAAGAATCACCTGTGTGGCAGCTAGTAACAACTTATGAACATTTTTACCATATTCCCCGAGGTGGACCTTTTCAGTGGACTGAAGGTCAGATTACTTTTGGAGTTGCTCATCTGTTTGCTCTTCAGTGTGTGGGGTTTTTTTTTTTTGTATTGTGGACTGCATTTTGTTTGTTAGTTATGGTAAACAACGCTAAAAATGTGACTACCATGCAATGATCAAATGGTTTAGTTAACTATTTATGCATAGGATTTTTTTACAAATAATAATGAAGAAAAACAAAAAAAAATCACTGTGGGTAAGTTATTCTAGGAACACATGAATCATTTTATACTAGAGCTTGTTTTTAATCCAATATAAGACTATTTTATACAACCTGCCATATGAAATGCTTTGCTTTAATTGAGAATCTCACTTTAATTGTTTGGCTCGTGCAACATTTGTGAAATTGTTTCAATGTGTACAATTAAAATGCATATGCTGTGAAAGTTGGTTTTTTTTTTTATGCATTCTAGTTTTTAAAATTTGTAAAATCATACCTTTTGCTTAGATGCAAAACTTGCCTTGTGCAGCTTTGCTGACCTGCCCCCTTATTGCAAAATGCCTTGTTTATGCTATGCATTATTCAATCAAATGTTTCTCATCTAGAAGCATTGTAGATACGGGGAGCATAATATATTATATAATATAATATAATGAACACTTACTCCAAAATGTTTAGTGAATATTCCACAAATACAACCATAAACATACAAAAAAAAATATTTAGAATTTTTTTTTTTTCCTTTCTCCCTGAGATAATCTTTGCAGGCATTGATGCCATGTTCAGTCATCTTGTGAGATACTTGTCTTGTCTTACACAAGAGGCTGCTGGCACAGGGCAATGCTTTATGCTGGAATTAAAAAGGACAACTGTCAAATATTCTTTTCTAAAAAAATTTAAAAGTTCATTAAATGAAACTACTGTTTTTTTTTTAATAATTATGTACATATATTTTTCTTAGGCAAATAAAATGCCATTTTCTATTTGCCAAACTCGCTAACATAGATCACTTGCAGCAGAAGGTCAGACAACCTTAGTCTGACCAAAAATGGCTGCGCAGTCAGATAAAAAGGTAATCCAATATACATAATTTACATTTAATGAAATGCAAGATTTTTTTTAATGAGCTTTTAAAAAGAAAAAGTAGAAGTGAAAATGTGATGACCGTTGTCATTTAACTGGCAAACAGAGCTATTAGGAATCCCAATCCTAAAGTGAAAACTCCACTTCTGTTCACCCAGCATGCCAATAATATATGTAAATTGTCTTTTAGCAAGTGGACAAGGAGCCTGTGTGATTGACAGCCAGGAGGGTGTGGCTATGGCTATAGAAATAATGTAATTTAAATCTTAAATAGCAAAGAATTAAACAGTGAGACAGCAATGTGGTTTTGGTCCTAACCTCCATGTTGTAATCTGCACCACTGTGCGGTGATGGCTAGCGTAATGTGTAATTGAAATATATAATGACCCAAAGTCATGTTGTTGCACTTTACCTTAGCCACATTGCACTTGCATAGTCCTCCTGACCGGTTAGGGCAAACAGACTACAGTACAGTGAAAGTGACTTTAAATTCCTAATTTTTCCCTTTAACCCAGAGAAGACATGCATTTTCAGACCATATTATAAAAAGAAAACTTGAGGTTACTGTTGCCAGAGACCCAAAATGATGTACTTGGCGCGACCCATTCTTCAAACAAGGCTCAAAATTTCCACTCCACCAGGCATTGGTGACTGTAACTTGGCTTGCGGTGAATAGTAACATTTAAAGCCTGACTAGGGGTGTATCATTTAAAAATTTATGCCCAGCTTCATTTTGAATGTAATTAAGATAAAAAAAAATAAATTTTGCAATACCCCCAAATTATATCTCCTCAGTATCGGCCTTGCACTAGTGAAAGGAGTGATACCAAGTTTAAGTATTAAACTCAGTTGTGAGCAGTCATGAGAGACCTGATGAATATGTTGTTTACTTGCAAATGGACCCACTTAAATCTCCGGCTTTTCCTGGACTGACTTTCAGGTCCACACTTATGGGTAAAGAAGCTCTAGTCTAAAGTTTAGAATGCATTATATGTGAACATGGCAAACGTACATTCAAAAAAAAAAAAGTACATTTATGTAAAACCAGTAGCCATTAAATAGCTTGGTGTTAAAAGCACAATATAACCACTTCATCTCTTTTAAGAGTTGTAGTACCTTGAATCCCTGGCACCATACTGTCAAGAAAATACTGCCAATTAGAGAATACAATTTCAGAAAGACTGTATTTTAAGTGATATTTTTCTCCTATAAATTCTTTGGTATTTCTGACTAAATGATTTTCTAATGTTTTAATTTTGATCTGTGTGAAATAGATCTCGTGGAGACAAACATTAAAAGGGCATCTGTCAGTTCAGACTACATTTCCTTTATTGCCAGGAGTGAGATTGTTCTTATCTTGATACATTTTGTTTTATATTTAACTAATTCTGTTTGGGATTCTGGCTTTTGTTTGTTTGGCCCTAAACATATTGAGTAGCTAGAGAGGTTTGTGCAATTACATTGTTACACCTATAACGATATCAAACTTAGACATGTCACAGAATGATTACTTATTAAAGCATAAAAAATGATCTTTATTATGTTAATGTTTATTTTAGTTAGCGAGTTCAATTAGGATTAGTAGTTCCTAATTTTTTGGAGAAACTTTGAATATATAATGACAGTTGTATTTTTTAAAACATTTATACATCATTTGACCATTTTCTATGCTTAATTAAGTATATGACCAATCAGATTTAAGACTGTTGTATATAGATTACGCCAAATCCCAGGAACAATTTGAATACAATACATACAGTGTCAGTTTCAGCGTTTATTTATTTCTTTAAGAATTTGAGATCACACATTTAATCCCATCCTTATCTCACAAAAGTAACAAGTTAACTGTTCGTTGAAGCCCTTATACAGATTTTATAGGCACTATATAACCCCTTTGTGCCACTGAAGTGGTTATAGTGTCTGGAGTCAATAGTTAAGATGGAGATTACACTCTACCATAGCCATGCCAATTCATACCAACAGTAGGAGCTGTGATTCACTTTCAGCCATTCACTGGCACCCATCACTACTCAGGCTAATGTTGGAAGCATTAACCCGAGCAGTAGAGCGGTACTGTTCTACCAGGGAACCATATTTAGTTTTAAAACATTTACAATGAATGACAGGACAGTACCCAGGAACTCCAGGCACTATAACCACTTATTCTCATTGTAGTTACAGACCTACCAACTAGCCCGGTGTAAATGTCTTATTTTTCTCGTTTCAGATTAACACTGTCAGTTTGTTCATTTGAGAGAAAGCAATAGAACATAGTCACACATGTCTAAGTGTGCTAAACATGGATGTCTGGTGTTTTGCACTTCCATGTTATAGTAACATGCCCTCAAAAACAAAATCTGGTTAGGGTTGAAAAGTTGCCAAAGGCATTTTTTTATTTTTATTTTTTTTGTCTTGTCAGTTTTGTTTTTGTGGATAGCCCAATCTCTGAATGTAGAACACAATGCAAAACTATGTCCATGGCTTTTTATATAAATAGGCACATAAAAACACAATATACACATATATAAAACTGTACACCATATACATAAATTGGTTCAGTGACGTGTAGCAGCACAGCATCTTCTAAAACCATGCAATGCAACGTGGCATCTCAGGCTTTTCCTGGACTACTTTCTAAGCAGAGGCTTTTAGGCTACCCTGGTTAATAGATGCTGTTGAGAGCTGGAGCTAACGTTTGTCGCTTTATAGATGTCACTGATTCTGTTATGTACTTACTACAAAGTTAACATTTTTGTTGAGGATTCCATCTTAAATCTGTTACTGTGTTTAAGAATGCTTGATAACTGATCAGGCAGAGCAACAATAAACAGGTTCATCCTTTAGTCTGACTAGCAATGCACATGACAGGGTGACAAACTAAGAATTAAATGAATTTCTGAATTATACATTTCTTCTACTAATCCTATAACTTACTGGAGAAATGTGTAAACACAAGCTAGGTTTTGGTTATCTTTTTAGATAGCTGAAACCTGACGTACGCCCTTGACTGTACTTCAGCACATGACTGTGTATCAAAGGAGACTCCCTGAAAACTCCAGAGTATATTAACACAAATTCAGCCTGAAATGGTATATACACTAAGGAACACAGAATGCACCATACAGAGTAAACCTTTCTGAATTCTAGCTCAATAAGTAATAGAAACAGTCATCAGACCACTCGACAAGCAGAGACTCAAACCATCGTAGTCTGTTAGCACACATAATATGAATGCAGTTTTTGTTGTAAGACGTGGTGGTTTCTCCACTCCTAGCTAGATTTACCAGTTAGAATAGACGTGCGTACACAAAAAGATGGGTTGTGACAAAATAACTGGTCATTTAGCTGCAGCTCTTGCCTTTGCGCAAATTTGCAAATCCAGCAATTGTACTTGGTAGACATCCAGTCTCCGACTTGCAGCCATGCTTATTTTCCGGGCGGTTCATTGTCCAATACATACTTTCGGAGCTCTGCCCTTAAAGTTTCAATTCGTCTCTGTGCGTCTTTCAGTTGAACCTTCAAAGCTATGTTTTCTTCCTGCAGAATTGATCGTTCCTTTAAGATTTGGAAACAAAAAAAGAATTCAGTTTAGATGGGTACTAGACAGTGGTGGAGGTGACCTCTTTTAAAGCTTTTTGCAAATTTTTATTTTTTCTGGTAATTTATTAAGTAATTAAAACACTGTATTACAGCTACCCCTGAAATAAGGTCAGAGTGACCATTTTCAGGGATACCTCCAATAATTTTTTACACCATCTCATTTGTCATACTTTATACAATTTGAACATGGAACAAATAGATCTGACATGCTATGCTTTGTCTTGCAATCCTTATCACAGCATCAGAAATGTACGTAGGCATGTATACGTTCTAGAATATGTGCCAGGTGCGAAATTAGAAAAGTCTTTCAATGAGATACCTTGCTAATAGATATGTCAGGAATCTGCTGATGTTTTGAGGTAAGCAAAATGCTAGCGGATTGCAAAAATATACAGTAAATATAACAGTTTAAAACCCGGGAAAATCCTTTAACCCCTTAAGGACCAAACTTCTGGAATAAAAGGGAATTATGACATGTCACACATGTCATGTGTCCTTAAGGGGTTAAAGGAACACTATAAGCACCAAAACCACTTCAGCTCATTGAAGTGGTCTGGGTGCACTATCCCTGTCCCCTTAACCCTGCATTTGTAATAATTGCAGTTTTTGATGGGACTTTATATGCTGCTATTATAGCCTGCAATTATGTCTCAGACTTTTATACGTCATCCTTTTCCCTGATTAATTACTTGTGCAGCTCTGCAGCTTAGAGCTATGTACAGTAACACATGGGAGGGTTTAAAGGATACCGATTTTGAGAGATGCGGGATGCTGCTGAGTGATGAACAGTGCACAAAAGGAGGGTTTAAAGGGGCATTCTATGCACCATGAAGACTTCAGCTGCATCTAGTAGTTACATTGTAAGAAGGCCATGGGGTTGTGCCCCACTTTTTTTGTTTTCACCAAATCGTTCAATTTGAGAAAAAGAAAAAGCACACCCTTGCCATTGTAATCATCCCTTCTCCAGGTAACTTGAAAATACCTTGATCTTACTCTGTCAGTGTATCTAGTTTATCATGAGTCAGTGTCATACCTGCTCCAACTCTTGAACCATTGATTTAGCGGCTTTCCCCTCCTCTCTTGCTTTACGAATAGAGTCCTTGTTTTCCCATTTGGCATAGGCCTTCTTCCTGACAAGTACTGGACTGGGACAAGGTGATGGATTTGGGCTGAAGGATGGATAGAGGTATGTAGGATCTGGCGATTGGTTCCAGCAGGGTGAGGGTATCTGTAGATATGGACTTGTTGGCTCAGCATCCGTCTGTGTCTCTTTGTGATTTCCAGATTGTTGCAGCCTCACAGAGATCTTCTGGGAAGAACTTCCCATGAGCACGAGTGTACGGTCCTTGCTGATCTCATTGTGGTCATTGTCTCCATTTACGTATGAAAAGGATTCCTCATCAGCACCTACGCCGTCTGAGAAATTAAACTGTATGTTAGAAATAAGTTTTCTAAGCTGTTTTTCTGGAATTGTAATTCAAACTTACATTTAACATTTGCTTAGTTTTTGCATGTTCTAGAACAGGTGTAGGCAACCTTCAGCACTCCAGATGTATAATGCTGGCAAAGCATCATGGGAGATGTAGTCCAAAACATCTGGATTGCCAAAGGTTGCCTACACCTGTTCTAGAACAATGATATGCATAATAAGAAACAGCCCACCTTTCATCTACCATCTTCATTTGCCCATAACCTACCTCAATGACTTGTTTTGAGCTGTAGTGTTTTGTTTTGTCTTTTTATTTAATGTGTCTGCTCATTAAAGTAAAAAAAAAAAAAAAAAAGATTCCGTGTCACATCCCAGACCTGATTCTTTAGATATTGAGGATATGCTGGTCCTTTATGTATGCTGAATGTGTGCCAAAATATGCACAGTCTGTGCTATTTAAGTAGATATGACAAGCTGGTTGTCTGTAAATCTTATCTTGTAGCAAATTTCTCCACGGTAAAAAAAACTTAACACATTATTTTCTCAGAATTTTACCAACATTACTCATCTAAAGAAGGGAGGATGTTCAATCCAAAATGACTTGCCATTTGAGGATTCTTTGCTGCCCATAGGGAAAATATTGGTTTGGCCATTCTCGGCTGAGGAACTGCTGTCTCCCATAAAAGGTTTAGATCTCTTATGGCATTCAAACACCACCAACTCTTTGCACTGTTTATGGCAATTCATCCCACAATCTGAAGAAACACAAAAGATATTGCAGTTAGATCAGTCCTTTTGCAGCTCTGTACAACAGCAGCTGTTACAATGAGTTCATGGACTCTGGCCAGAACATCTAATGGTAGAAAATGTGTAGGTCTGTTGCGTTCTATGTAGATTTAAGAGAATTCAAATACAATCACTGAGGTTTTGGTTTGAAATTGACAACTCTCAAATGTGTTTCTTGTCCAAGTTTCAAACCAGATGTCAAGAAGCACATATGGATAGAGTGGCAATCTTCAGTATCTGAAAGAAAATACTACAGAATACTAACCTTTGCATCGGTATCCTTGCTTGATTACGCCCCAAAGCTGTAAGACAGAAGAGATTTAACATTATCATTCTGTTCTAAATGTGTTTAAACTCAGACAGCAAAAAATTCTACCATATTTGTATGTCCGTATGTAACAAATAATGCATGCTAAACCCCATTCAGACTAAAGGCCAATTGCACTTACACTTTATCGGATAAATAACTGTATAGCCCAGATATTGTAGAACTACAACTACCATAATGATTTGCATGTCTTTAGAATGACAAAGCGTCATGGAAGCTGTTTAAAAACCTCTAGGGATCTACCTTTTGGGCATTTCTGCTTTATGGCAACCTGCGACCTCTACATTGTAAAGTCATTTGAGAAGGGTCCTCATCAACCGATTGTTCCTGTAAAAATGTGTAATTATCTCATCTATTGTACAATTTCCCACTTAATAATTATTTCTGAGAGCTGCTGCTATATAAATGGCAATAATATTTATTTATATAGATATGTCCAAAGCATGTGCGATTTTTAATTACTTTGGTGAATATAAAACCAATAACCCACCAGAATTTGGCTATTATTAAAAGGCCACAATCACAGCAGTCCTAAAGTTGCATGACTGACAGCATTCAAGGTTGGTCACTAAGTGGGGAGTGTCAGCGGTTCAAAACTGAATTAAAAGTGAACTTCAAATTTAATGCCAAATTATCTGAATTTGAAACTACTGAATGTTTTAGATTGGCTATTTTGGCCTCCAATTTAAAATATACTTTGTACACTGTAGTAAATAACCGTTTCTACAGCAATAAAGATATTTTTGTCCTGTAAACCATTCTGGTTGAGCAAGAAAACTTCGGCTGGGTTGGTAAGTAAAGTATTTTTAGATTGATCAGTAAGCCCTCAAATAACAAACTACACAAATAGCCCATTTGAGCCTAGGTGAACAAAGCACTGTGATACACATGAATTCATAACATAATCACCTTTGAAGAGGGTTTGTCACTTACCCTATTAGCCTACTAAACAACAGGGAAGCTTTTACCAAGATGAGGAGTGCAGCAAAGGGAAGCATAAGACCACTTTTGAATTTGGACAATATTAGGGACTAGTGTGCCTGGGCATCAGCTTGAAAAGTGCCTCTGCACTCTTGAGTATTCCTGTTATGGCATGAATGCTAGTCTACTCAGAGTATGCTTAGGGCTATGGTTTTTACATTCATTTGCATTATATGCCTTGGCTGTGCCAGGACAGCCTAGCATATGACAAATGAAAAACCATTATATCGGCCACTGAGCAAGGCAATATCAGGTGGCTACTGTAAGAATACTACTAGAAGTCCAGATGACCCTACAGTCCTTTCTGAGCCACTCATGTTTCTAGTCACTAAGTATTAATGTTTGTTACCATAATCTATCTGCACTAATGTGATAAGAGCTGTAGTACTGGCTTGACTCGAGAGTAAAACTAGGAACTAAATTCATTATAAAGGACAACCACTTTTTCTCCACATTTCTGTAACCCAAAGCTTTTATTGCCTTAGGTTTGTTATTTCCTTAAGTACCAATGGCAATCAGTACCATTATCCCAATCTAGTCCTTGAAACACGTTCCCCATTTATTTAGCGTGTACAGGGCCATGTTGAGTCGGCTCATGGTAAAGCATAGTTTGCCCCTAACCGGTACTTGGTACTTAACCGTTTTTCATAAAGACTACTAACACGGCATTAGTTTGGTGACCTATTGTTCAATTGTACAGTTCGCTCAGCAGCCCATTATGTTATACAGTAATTCTATCACCATCATCACACTCTTTCAAGTATCAAAGGGGTCTTTGCTACACGTAAAAAGGTAATGACCAGGTTAATTTTCCAATTTGCTAGAGGCATGATGAATTTAAAAGGCCTGTTCCAGTTCACCTCTCAGCCCATATTTGTCAGCATATACACCCATTGTAGAAGTTGCATAAATAAATAAAAAATAGACCTGTAAGTAATGATGGGACGGGTATGTTAAATTCCTTCAAACTAAACTTGGTAGATCTTATTACGGGGAAACATATAAAGCTTGAATACTCACAAATCCAGCACAGTTGTCACAGAATGTTGGGCGTAGATATGTGGTCTCTTGGAAGTTATGGAGAAATCCCAGCCCAAGTTTGGAACAGATAGAGCTGGCTCGCATAAAGTATGCGGTGATCTCTGGTCTGCTGATCAGGCCCTCCCTGTAAAGATATGACAATATGATAGCAGTATGTGACACGTCCTCCATTGTATTTTGTTTTTTTGTTAAGTGTCTGTCTTTTTAATAAACCTTTTCACAATGCTTTTCTATGATATGCATTAACAGTACTTAGCATCATCATGGTGTGTGATGACAGTGAACTTAAAGGGACACCCTACTGCTCCAAAATAAATGAAAGTCACTGTTTGGTAGATATACTCCAAATGAAAACTTGCATGCATATAATTATGCATTTTTTCTTTTGGGATGTATCTAAAACCACTTACAAAACCTCTCCTGTCTGCTGCCTTTGCAAGCCCTCCCCTTCTAACCCTCCCCTGACTTTCTGTGTCTGTCCAATCACATACTTCCCAATGCACCTCAATGAGAAGTCAGTGCAAGGCTCTGGGCAATTGCTACCTTGAGTTCAGTGCAACTAAGCTAACCAAACCAGAAAGTAACAGGGCCTGGTGTCTGACATCCAGGAGAGGTGTAATTAGTATAATTTATTTAAAAGTGTAAATTTCTATTGAAATCTGCACTTTTTGTAAAATGGAAGAAATATATATATTTTTTTTTTTAAAGAGACACTTAACACCCAAAGCAGTTCGGCAAGCTAAAGGACTTATCCTTTAAAGACTTTTGCTTTTTGACGTTAAGGAAGAAGCACCTCTACTGAAAGCCACTAGAGGCATGTTTTGGGTAAAATGTTAACATTTCTGTTTTGCATTGTCATAGAAAAGGACACCGCTTCCATGCACCAAAACTACTACATGAAGATGTAGTGGCTTTGGTGTTTAGAGTGTTCCTTTAAAAAGAAAGGCTCCAAGCATATAACCACTACAGCGCTGTTCGCTAATGTTTTCATTTCTTACCTGCTTTCGGCCGAGCCCCATTTGCTGCCTGAATTAGAGCCAGAAGCTTTTAGCTCTGAGCCAATAAAAGTGATGCAGCACTTTGCTCATTGGCTGCGAGTGAGCAGCTGAAACCTTAAGCCATTGAACTGGACCTGGACAGCCAATGGAAGCTCATACTAGGCTCTCTCTGGCACAAATTATATGACTACTTACATGTGTGGGGGAGGTGCACCTGGGGCACTCTTAGCACCATAACCACTACATCACGCTGTAGTGGTTATAGTGTTTGGGATGTTCCTTTAAGGAAAAATATTTAGAAACACAGTTTGAACAAACATTTATATAAGCAGTGGTTTTATGAAGTAAAGATCACTTCAAACTATGTTCTATGAACAGGTGAGTAAAATTATAGATCAAGCTGGTCTAGATATGATCAAGTTAGATTTTTCTAAAGCATTAATGACTGATATATCGACTACAAACGATGAACTGATCTTATTCACTGCAATAAACTTCTATATATCAGTGAGTTTCTTTATAGAACACACACACCTCCTGATAAAAAAAGGTTGACTCCTAATATTGCATGTTCAAACTGTAATTCTAAATATTAACCTTTATTATAAGAGCACATTATTAAAAAGATTGACTTTTATAGAACAATTCTGATATATTATTTATATAGTGCCAGCAAATTCCGTAGTGCTGTACAACATTCACAAATATATTCTTACCTGTCTTTATCCATGACACAGAATGAGAATGGGAAGCTGGCTGCTATTTTTTCAAAATCTTCCTGAGATATGTATCCATCCTGATCCAGATCATAATTCTTAAAGACAGACTGAACAAAGTATAAAAAAAAAAAAAAAAGAATTCATTATGGTTGCTTTATCAGTCAATAAAGGTGTATGATACTACATTGCAATGGATTTTCATGAGATGTATTTGATAAACTACTTTTTTAATAGTCAGTATCCGCTCATATTTAAACAATGAAATGGTTGAAATTTGGCAGCATCCAAAATTACCTAAACCATAAGGTTTCTGAACGAATAGATAAAAATAATTTGGCTTTCTCCACCCCCCCTTAATTTTGATCTTTCACCCATTTAGCAGATTGCCATAATCAAGGGTATGTAATTAGGGTGCTGTTTAGTAGGTAGCTCTCCTATTTTGGAACCCTTATGTTGGATTTCAAAATTAGGGCACAGAGTATTTGGTATCCTTAATTTAGACATGTGGCCTACTTAAAGGGACACTCCAGGCACCCAGACCACTTTAGCTAATTGAAGTGGTTTGGGTGCTGTGCCCCTTTTGCACTTAGTGCTGCAATGTAAAACATTTACATTGCAACTCTAAGTCTGCCCTCTGTTGCTGTCTAACAATCCTAATGGACTTTTGGTCCGTTATCTGACGCTGGAGGTCCTCACGTACTTCTAGCGTCAGATTTTCCCCATAGGAAAGCATTAAATAATGCTTTCCTATGGAGAGGTATAATGCACGTGCAGCCATTGCCACACATGTGCATTGGATCTCCCCCGCCGACGTCAGAGAAGCATGGGCAGAGCCTGACCCAGCGCCGAGGGACATCGGCGGAGAATTCAGGTAAGCAGCTGAAGGGGTTTGGGGGGCACTACAGGATCCTGCAGTGCCAGGAAAATGGGTTTGTATTCCTGGCATTGGAGTCCCTTTAATAGCACCCTAATTTGGTATCCTCAAACTGGTAATCCCACATTAGTACTAAACTAGCTGAGCATCAGTGCATCAAATACCAACACCTCCTTGGTTTAAATCTTATTGATACATAAATCTGGACACTGAAATTGTATCCATTGTTCTTTCTAAGTCTTTGTATCTTTTGTTTATGTTGGGGAGTCCAGGTTCCTTCTAACGTTACACTCCAATATGTAACTACCTAAGATATAATTCAGAGAAAGATGGCGAGAAAATAAAGTCCTATACATTCTAGACAACATACATGTACTGTGTATTCTGGGTAATCAGGCAGACAGACTAGAACATGGTACTTACATCCACCATCTTCTGAACATGTTTGCTTATTGTTTTGGGGTCCGGTTTAGGGGACACTCCCGACGCCCAGTCTGCCATCACTGGTGGCTTGCAAGGCGTTGCTGGCTGCATGGAGAGATGTCAATGAATGAACACATTCCTTAGAAAGCCCAGTACAGCAAGTTATAATCTCATAAGTAACAATTGTATATATTTTCTTGTAATAATGATTAAGAACAGCATAAATACAGAATAAAAGTATGAATTGCTTTATACATAAAAATCAGTAGTGTGATGATCCCCAAATAAATACTCATGCATTACCAGCAAAATTTGGAAGTGCTAGAAAACGGATTCGTTACGGAGACGTCAAAATGTTGCAAGGAATTCTGGGTATTGCTAATGAACAATCACTATGCATCTTCCCTTTAATAATAACACAACTTGAATTGTCAATGTTGCATTATCATCAGCTTGTACAGGAAACTCATACTGCACTGCAAATGACGGACTTTTTTAGAATATGCCAGGGCTATAATCTAATGTGACAGATCTCAGTTTATAACTGTTTGTACAGGTGAGAGAATACTGCTGAGATACAGCTACTATAAATGTCTTCTTTTCACACTCATATTTCACCTCATTCCCAACAGATGTACAGTCGTTCTACCAATCTGGGTCAGGCAAGAGTTCTTGCGATTCTTAGATAAAATTAACGACACAAGTCAAATAAAGGTGGCTTAACCCTTCAGAACGAGGGCGAATAGAGGCTATGGTTTTAGAAAGAACACCAATGAACCAAATGGATAAAATGTTGACTATATTCTATGAGAATCTGTTTTTCTATTGCCATCAATATAATTACGATAGGTTTCATATGAAATAAGGTTTCACATACTGGTGCTCGTTGATTCCTTGGCTCCCGTGCATACGATAACTCATACATTTCATCTTCGGTGTAATATAAATCCAGAGAAAGCTAAAAGGTACAACAGAAAACAAGGATTAGTAAGATTACACCAGCTTTCCATTGTAGAGCTATTAGAATCAAAGGATGGAAGGAAGGTTGGTCTTTATATAATCAAGTCATGTAAAAGATCCTACACGCTTTCTGTTATACTGAGGGCTTTTCCATCAAAGACCTAAGGGTCACAAGTTAGTGTGCAGGGTGTCCAGGGGGGCACTGGTTTAGATCATTAGTAATTTTGAAACCAAAGCTACCGAGCCAGAAAAAGAGCAGAGTTGCTTTTTTTCCAGGTATTTTAAGTTAAATGTGCAATTCCCAACATGAATAACCCGGTAAATCTCCATTCTTGTGTGAGTAAAAGGGAAAGGCACTGGTGTCTTGAAACTTATCCCCTGACCCACTTTGAAGAAGTTACACAAGACTGTAGGAGACGAAGGGACAAGGTGCAGGAGAATAGTCTATTCTTGTAAAACTCTTGCCAATTGACAGCCAGTCAACATGACCTAGATTGTTTTAAAAAGGCACGGTCACCGTACCTGCAAAATGAGATAAAAGCGGAAATTCTAACTCTGTCAGTGGAGAGTATTTTTCCTCCACTTGACTAATGCCATCAAGAAGTGTCAATGCCCAGCCATCGACGGGGAATTGGCTCTATTGCACATGTGTGAGAGCACAGCTGAAGCACCAGGAGCAAAAGAGGACAGGCAGGAAGATGATGGTGGTGGTGCCCGCGAGAGACATGTTCAGGTAAGTAAAACTCACCTTTTGTAATTCATTTTCACTCCTCACAGATATATATTTATTTAATACAGGGATATGTAAACATAATCTGAAAATCTCAGTAATTCATAGTTTCCCTTTAAAATATGATAAATGGTGGCTAAATAAAAATCTCCATTGTTCTCCTATCCTTTCTCCACTTTTATATTTGCCGTTTCTTATAACATTTGCAGTCAGAAGAGGCCACCTACCATTCTGTTAAACTGTCCCAAATCCCTGTCTTTTCCATGAGACAAAGTCCCTGTTTCCCCAGTTAGGTCTTTAGACTCACTGTGAGTAAATGCACGAGGTCCATGTTGGCATCCAGAGGTGGAGGAATGTTTTGTAGCTGGACGAGTTCATTAATATGGTTAAACATAGAGTGCAGCTTGAGCACATTAACCTTCTTATCTTCCAGATAATCTGGCATGGCTTCATGCATTGAAATGAGGTCCTTCAAATGTACCCCAAGAATGGGAATCTTGAAATTGTTGCACTCACTGTAGGCTTTCCGGTAATTGTCATAATTTCTACAGGAGGTCAGCAGATCGGTCATCTCATTAAGGACCTGTAAGGGATAAAGTTATTAGTTAGCCAGGTCACATTAAAAAGTAAAATCTTAAAGGACCACTCTAGGCGCCCAGACCACTTCAGCTTAATGAAGTGGTCTGGGTGCCAGGTCCAGCTAGGATTAACCCATTTTTTCATAAACATAGCAGTTTCAGAGAAACTACTATGTTTATGAATGGGTTAAGCCTTCCCCCTAATCCTCTAGTGGCTGTCTCATTGACAGCCACTAGAGGCGCTTGCGTGCTTCTCACTGTGATTTTCACAGTGAGAAGACGCAAGCGTCCATAGGAAAGCATTATGAATGCTTTCCTATGTGACCGGCTGAATGCGCGTGCAGCTTTTGCCGCGCGTGCGCATTCGGCCCAGGAGGAGGAGAGCTCTCCGCCCAGCGCTGGAAAAAGGTAAGTTTAAACCCCTTTCCCCCTTCCAGAGCCGGGCGGGAGGGGGCCCCTGAGGGTGGGGGCACCCTCAGGGCACTGTAGTGCCAGGAAAACGAGTATGTTTTCCTGGCACTATAGTGGTCCTTTAAGAAAAGATTTGTTGATGGGACACTTGTCGACAGCCTTAAAGACAAAACAACCTACAAAGCTCATGAGTTGAATTTCCGATTATGTTGTATTGCTAACTATTAATAACTATTATTTGTACTGTATGGTCTGAACCCGACAAGCATGTTATTGGTAATATATTACACTATTTACATGTAAACCTTGACAAAACATGCTATCATCATGTATATTCAACATTTGTCGAGTCCCAGTTGGACGTACCTTGCTGACTTCATGAGGTATGTAAGCACTGGTTTCCTTGAGTCTGGAGATAGAACTGTGACAAAGACCTCCAACAACCGCCATCAGGGTGTTGAAATTTTGTAGCTGTTGAAGTTTCTGTGAAGAGAAATCAAATATCGGTTTCAGAATGAGAACACAATATGTAATAATTCATAGATGTCTCATTCCACACACACAAAAAAATATATAGATTGTGAAGCTTTAGTTTGCAGTTCTTATATTTTTGCATGTAAGGTTATCCAGTATTGTGGTAAATGTAAATTTCGTTCATGAGCCACTACGTAGAGAACGGTTGGACTTTTCTTCTGATAGTAGAGTGACTGGTATTAGAGGTGATACATTTCTCTCACAGACCTCTCTCACTGCTCAGATATTGTCCAAAGAGCTCTTTAATAAGGTAGGATGAGAGACGTCTGGTCCAGGGCAGAAGGTAGGAAATTAAGGGAAACGTGTGATTTGGGGGCTTGGGTATATGACATGGCTCCACAACCTTTACTTGACTAGGGCCTTGGCCATGCTAATAGTGACACTTATTGATAGAGACAGGCAGAATGTTTTTTTTAAATAAATACAGGAATGAAAATACCACAACTCCAATTAGATTTGGTGACTATAAAAACTATGCAAAAGGTAGATCATACAGATAAAAAGAGAAGAAAATACAGACCAGTCAGAAAGGTAAACATAAAATGTACACAAGATACTCAGAGATAAGACAGATAAAGAAAAATTAGAAGAGTGTGTGCAATGTGTCAGGATTTTACTATAACACTCACTTGCGCCACGTGAATGAATTTGGTGAGGACCTCAGCACGAAGCTGTGGAGTTGGTCTGCTCAGAACCATTAGCTGAACCCACTGAGAGATTCCGTTACACAAACCAATAGAGCGTTCCATGGTTGGGATATCTTTCACACAGCCATTTGTGATATAGTTCTGGAAATCAGAAAACTGAAGGGAAAAAAAATTCTAATGAGATGTAACTTCACAAGGTTATTCACTTACGTGAGAATGGTCAGGATTTCAAACTAAGGCTAAAGTAGCCAAACTGGAAGAATATTTTTTTCCAGTTGAGCTATTATAATCTTAAATCTGAAATTCTATCATTATTTTTTTTATTAGGTGTGCTAGTGTGCTTGTCACAATGCCAGAAGCAAGGCAAATTAGAGACTGGTAGGAAAGCAAGGTACATTATTAATAACTGCGTAACAGACATTACACCTGTTGGTTTACAATCTACAACAGACAATGGTCACTCACAGAGATTCTGCGGAAGGATTTATACTCCAAATAGGTCAGATGTTCGGCCAGTTCTTCTGGCTCCAGATGGTCAAACAGCAGAGATACTTTCCTCTTCTTGCTACAGTTGGGTTTCATTCTCTGAGTCAATTTTCTAGACCAATCACGAGAGTTTCTAAAAGGCAATTCAAAAACAGAGAAACAGGTTGTCTATTAGTATAACAACTCCACACATAGGAACTCCACCTTTTCAGTATCACAGAAAAATCACTCACATTTGGGAAGTGTCAAGCAGACGCCAGTGAGACTCATCTCCTTGGTTTTTCACAAGGTCTTGAAACTCCTCCATAGTCTGTGTGAGCTTAGAATCCACCTTGAACATGATCCAGAGTTCCGTAAGCCAATATCTAAAGACAGTAACAAAATAATTATTTAGCATTTTTTCAAAGCACATGCTGGAGAGGATATAGAAGACATTACCAACAAAAATAATCTTCCTATACAGAAAAAAAGACGTATAGAAATAGGAAATATATATGGGTTTGTGTAAGCTGGCTAGGGATTCTCATTTCCCTAGACCAATAGTGTTTTAAACCACCATTTATACGGTTAGTTGGCACTCTATGCAATTTTTTAAATGTTGAACCGTAGATGGCCTGGGCTGTCATTGCCAAATATTGTAGAGCCGTTTAAAAACAGAATGGAATTAAATCAGGAATTCTAGACTACTGTACAGCAATTAATACAAACTAAAAACACAAATGTCTTAATACTGATTAAATAAGAATCATTTTTGTATATTCCTTACCTTACAAAATAGCATATTTTGAGACAGAAAAGCAGCGATCTCTTCTGCATAGAATCCTGATATGTTGGGACGTTGCGTTAAGGGAAAACCAATTGCATATATAGTTCATATAAATATGCTCACATCTTGCCTGAGATATAGATATAGATATATAGATATATATATATATATATATATATATATATGTATATATGGAGAGGGAGAGAGAGAGCGCGCGCTATCGAATACGGTATACATACACACTATATATCAGATGCAGATCATATTGATTTAATAATTTCCTTGGTAGGTATCCAGATTCTGTTAAATCTTAATTTTCAAAAAATAATTAAATCCATATGAATACGATGTTCTATGGCCTGGTACACTTTGTGCAGCCTCCCTTATACAGGGATGTATAAAATAAGCACAGATCAATCAGAATCCAGGTGTGTGTTTGAATTATGTAGGGGTCAACATGAACTCTAAATATTTATTAAAAATAAAGATGTCATACAAGTTTTCATGATACTTTTATATCACAATCTATTTCAGAAGATTTCCGTATTTCGGTTAAATATGTTTCAAATGAACATATTAATGCACACTTATATTACCAATGCCTGGACCTTAAACTGTTTGTACAACAGTGAGTAGTTTTATGTAATATCCACAAATCTGGATATATGCTATGTTTGCAAACAATGGATTTGATCGCAGTAAGTGGAGCATATTCTGATCCCATTATAATTGTACCAAATTTTTTTTTTTTTAAAACAAGCCACGCACACAAATACTGTACATTTTTAAGTCAATGAATGGAATGCAAGCAAATTGTGGGATATTCCAAACACATGTAATATCATCCAGCAAAGAAATGGTTCAAGATATTGCCCATGATCTGCAATTAAAAGGATATAATGTCCGGAGCCTGCTAAGCAGGTCTGAAGATGGGATCAGGAATCCATGCATTGTGATCAGGATTTGTAGTAACTCACTGCTCTGACACACATTCCCATCAGTATCTGAAAATATAAAGGGATAGCAGTCAAATTACGTGGTACATGAATGACAAAGCACACATTGTCAACATATTAAGTAGGAACGGTTTCCTTCACCACAATTCCAAAAAAGAACCAAACTTTGTAATCCGTAAGCTCCAAATCATTGCTACAAGGTGGATCCTCAAAGGTACTTTGTTTATTAAAAAAAACACACAACATAGTAGAAAAAATACTCGCAGACCTCATAGGAAATCCTAAATCCTACGTGATGAAATCGTAAATAAGGTAACAAAAAGCTGGGAAAAAAATCAAAGTTCTAGTTCCAAGTACCTGTGAGAAGGCGAGGGGTGGGGGGGAGAGAAGTAATCGGGTTCTGAATGCATTTAGCGTTCACCCCAACGCTTTCTCAGCAGTTTTTTCGACTGGAGCGTGCTGATTACACACTGTGGTTCTTTTTTCGAATTGTGAAGATGGAATTTGAAACTATGGAATCTGCACCAGAAGCCCACTGTGTACAGAAGTCATCACTAGAGGCAAATCTAAAACAAACTTACCTCCACTGAATTTCAGTGTGAGCAATGAATTAATATTCCCGAGATATTGCACGCAGACATGCGTGGCATATTTTCTCAGGATACCAACCTTACAATTTGCACACACAGAAGCACGAGAATAAGTTCATTTGTAACAAACATATGGCAGTACCTGGAGAGCCATGCTTTGAATTCAAATGTACATACAGTAAAAGAAAACATTACAAAAAAAAAAATCAGCTATTTATTTGCAAATTATTTTACCAGGAAGAATACATTGATATGTCTCTTGTTTTTAAGCTTGATATAGCATCATTACCCCCTGAAATGACAGTTTAGTGCAATACAATCCTACACAGCCTTTTAACATTGATGGCTCCTTAGAAAACTACTGGCAGAGTTCTCCCTTCCTGTCTGCATACTTGTTTTGGGTGCCGTAGCTGGCCAATGTCTAGAGTAGTGACCCCCAACCATTTTTGGAGCAAGACACACTTCAATGAAAGAAAGAATTGATGCATATTTTTTTTATTCTTCAAATATACATTTTATGGACTCCAACCATATAAAGTCTAGATGTCAATGTGTTTGTGGCACACTTTCATTCAGGAAATTTGAGGCATATCAGTGTCACACAGCATATTAGTTAAAACCCACTGGTCTAGACACGGGGGCACTCAGCAACTTTAAGGCTTCCCTTGCTCTTCTGTTTGACATCCGTACAACAACGGGACAAAGTGATAAGACTTCACATCCTCCCTCGGCTGCCATGATCGAGTAGGAAAAAAGGATCCAACTCTTTTTTTTTTTTTTTTTTAGAGTACAAAAAGTAAGTATAGAGTACAAACATTTCAAAGGTCAGTCATGCAGAGGTCCATGCTTATTAAAAGCAAAGTGTGATGAAAGAGGTGATAGGATTAGCGGTCTGCAACAGAACATTCAACCAGAACAAATCCATGCCAGCAAGCCATTCTCACAACCAGAAAAAAACATCTTATCAAAGTAACTGCAACAGTGGCCCTGGCTTGTTTGACTTTGAGTCACAAGAGAAGACAGGGACCGTTGCTCCAGGGCCCCCCCACCTCCTCTGCCTGGCCCATCCAGTTATCCTTTTGCTATGTTCCAGGTATCAGGATAATAATTCTTACATTGCCAACTGCATTAATATTTATCCTTCCTTGCACCAGATCTCAATATGCACACCTCCCAACACTACAAATGGAATGTTTATTTCAGCAGCAAGGATGTGGCAAGGTGCAAGGCTGGTTTGAGAAATTTTAAGGGCCTCACCAATTCCGCACCCTTTTAGTTTGTTGGATTTATTTTCCCAAACCTTTTTTACCATTAACAATATTTGGAGGAGTCGAAATGCCACATGGCCAAAATTTGTCAGAAAATGTAAAACCGTTTTAAGGATGGCAAAGTGGTTTGGTTGTGGTCAAGTCTCAATGTGCAAAGAGAAGAGAGCTTCCCTCGTCTTACAGTCCTCTGTACACCGTGCACAATTTTAGATGCACTGTACATGGGGTAAAAGGATGTGAAACAAATTGGAAGTAACATAGAAACATAGAATGTGATGGCAGATAAGAACCATTCGGCCCATCTAGTCTGCCCAATATTTCAAAATACTTTTAATTAGTCCCTGGCCTTATCTTAAGTCTAGGATAGCCTTATGCCTATACCACGCATGCTTAAACTCCCTCACTGTGTTAACCTCTACCACTTCAGCTGGAAGGCTATTCCATGCATCCACTACCCTCTCAGTAAAGTAATACTTCCTGATATTATTTTTAAACCTTTGCCCCTCTAATTTAAGACCATGTCCTCTTGTTGTTTTTCTTCTTTTAGTCTCCTCCTTTACTGTGTTGATAACCCTTTATGTATTTACATTTTTCTATCATATCCCCCCTGTCTTGTCTTTCCTCCAAGCTATACATGTTAAGATCCTTTAACCTTTCCTGGTAAGTCTTATCCTGCAATCCACAAACCAGTTTAGTAACCCTTCTCTGAACTCTCTCTAAAGTATCAATATCCTTCTGGAGATACGGTCTCCAGTACTGTGTACAATACTCCAAGTGAGGTCTCACCAGTGTCCTCTACAATTGTATGAGCACTTCCCTCTTTCTACTGCTAATACCTCTCCCTATACAGCCAAGCATTCTGCTAGCATTTCCTGCTGCTCTATTACATTGTCTGCCTATCTTTAAAGGTACACTGTAGTCACCTGAACAACTTTAGCTTAATGAAGCAGTTTTGGTGTATAGAACATGCCCCTGCAGCCTCACTGCTCAATCCTCTGCCATTTAGGAGTTAAATCCCTTTATGAACCCTAGTCACACCTCCCTGCATGTGACTTGCACAGCCTTCCATAAACACTTCCTGTAAAGAGAGCCCTATTTAGGCTTTCTTTATTGCAAGTTCTGTTCAATTAAGATTTTCTTATCCCCTGCTATGTTAATAGCTTGCTAGACCCTGCAAGAGCCTCCTGTATGTGATTAAAGTTCAATTTAGAGATTGAGATATAATTATTTAAAGGATTACTATAAAGGCACCTTGACCATTTCAGCTAATGAGGTGGTTCTGGTGCCAGGTCCAGCTAGGGTTAACCTTTTTTCTATAAAACATAGCAGTTTCAGAGAAACTGCTACGCTTACTTTAGGTTAATCTAGTTTCAGTGGCTGCCCTTGACAGCCGCTAGAGGCGCTATGCTGTTTTCACTGTGATTTTCACAGTGAGAAGACGCCAGCGTCCATGTGAAAGCATTGTAAATGCTTTCTATGAGACTGGCTGAATGCGCAGCCTTTGCCGCATGGCGCATTCAGCCAAGAGAGGAGGAGGAGGAGAGCTCTCGCCCGCGGAGAAAGAGGTGTTTAACCCCTTCCTCTCCATCCAGCCGTAGAGCTCAGCATGAAAATTGAGCCACTTACTTGTGTGAGACATATAGTGCCAGGAAATGAGTATGTTTTCCTGCACTATAGTGGTCCTTACAAATTACATCTGTTTGAAAGTGAAACCAGATTTTTTTTCATGCAGGCTCTGTCAATCATAGCCAGGGGAGGTGTGGCTAGGGCTGCATAAACAGAAACAAAGTGATTTAACTCCTAAATGACAGTGAATTGAGCAGTGAAATTGCAGGGGAATGATCTATACACTGCTTTATTTAGCTAAAGTAATTTAGGTGACTATAGTGTTCCTTTAAGTCATCAGAAATAATCACCCCTAAATACCTTTCCTCAGATGTTGAGGTTAGAACTGTATCAAATATTCTGTACTCTGCCCTTGGATTTTTACGTCCAAGGTGCATTATCTTGCACTTATCCACATTAAATGTCAGTTGCCACAACTCTGACCATTTTTTAAATTTTTCTAAATCATTTGCCATTTGGATTATTCCTCCTGGAAGTAGTGTCAAAGTTAAATACAGTTCAAGCAGTGACAATTCTATAATGATTCTGCCTTTTGCAGTCAAACCGTAAGAAACGTAGCAGAATCCTACTGCAATGTAGACACTGGGTATTTTAAATGCTCACAGAGCCTCTGCAGGAAGTCACCGAGCTCTTTCACACCCTTCTTCAAACTTCCTCTCCACCTTTCGTTCTCTTTTATTACGTCACAAGAAGTGGCTTTTAGGAGACACGGTAAACTGATCATGCACGAAAAAGAAACCGAGGGGGGTTAGAGTAGCAGTTAATATTTCAAAAACATCTCAATATAGTAGTAATGCGCATGGAGCTTTATGACAGCTAAAGCCCAGTATATTTAGCAGTTGTTTGTGGGTGTCATTAAATTTACATTCTGTTCAGGCCTTTACTGATGGGAGGTTAGGAGTTACAATCTGGAAGCAAAAATGGATCAACATTCATTTTTCACACCGTACCTTTAACATTAAACTTCAAAAGGCACAAAATTGTTTTATGAAGATATAAAAGTTAAAGCGTAACCTTTCTAAACTACTCACTAGAACCCCCATGTGTATTTATTTTTTGGTCATGTGACTAACTGTGGACTACATCAAATGAATTATGCAGTTTCTGAAAGCAAGCTGTCTGTTGAAGGTACAAAATAATAATTTTGTATGAAACCAAATGGTAGAATGTGGTGGTGAGTATTTATGCAAGGCACTGTATTAAAGGACCACTATAGTCACCCAGACCACTTCAGCTTAATGAAGTGGTCTGGGTGCCAGGTCCCCCAGGTTTTTCAGAGAAACTGCTATGTTTACATTGCAGGGTTAATCCAGCCTCTAGTGGCTGTCTTCCTGACAGCCGCTAGAGGCGCTTCTGCGACGCTGAATGCGAAAATCGCATTCAGCGTGCAGAACGTCCATAGGAAAGCATTGAGAAATGCTTTCCGATGGGCGGTTTTAATGCGCTTGTGGCTCTGGTCGCACATGCGCATTCCACTCGGGAGCTGGCATTGGAGGAGGAGGTAAGGTCACCGGCGCTGTATTAAAGTAAGCCAAGGGTGGGGGGGACCTAAGGGTTATATAGGGTCAGGAAAACAAGTTTGTTTTCCTGACACTATAATGATCCTTTAAAAAGGATTCAGTGGGGGAAAAAATCCACACAGAGCTGCAATACATACGGCTGAAAAAGTCCATCGGCATATTTCAAGATTAGTTCAAAGTCATGTAACTATTTCATTTGACTTTTTTTAAATGATTGCGGTTTTCTTTTCTGTTTTTTCAAAGGGGATTTTATTTGTCTGGTAAAAGGCAGCATCTAAAAATATACTCTGTTTATCTGCTCTATTTTAAGTTCAAATGGACAAAGAGGGATACTTTCATTTTAGGCGTGTAAGTGGGGGTGTGGCTGTTCTGGGATATTTTAGGGGACTTACTAATGACAATTGATAAAATATAAATGTAATTTAGAGCAAGAACAATGTATCTTATTCACACAGACTGATTTCTAAACACATTTATTGCAGTTTAAAGACACATTACTGGGAGCCTTATTGCTGTGGAGCTCTGTTCTACACTCAAACACTCTTTTCGTTTTGATTTTAGCCCAAAATAGGGACTGTCCTATCCTAAATAGGGACACTTCCTTCTTCTGGTTTTACATCTCACAGTGTCTTCCAAGCCAAGTGTCCTTATTTTGGAGGGACAGTCCTAGTCTGTGACCCAAATCCTGTGTTATTTTTTTTTTTTCTGCCCCCAGTGTCCCTCTTTCCTAAAGTTCTCAATTTTTGATGTTGGTGGGTATGTTTTATACTTCAGAGAGGACCTGAGACGCAGTTGACCAGATGGATTTTAAATCTCTGGAGACATTGACCCCTATTAACACACAATCAATAATGAAATAACTGTTTATTTTCTTCTGTTGCATGTTATATCAGACCCATGCCATAACCCATGGAGATGTTCTCCGACACTCAGAGGGGCAAATTCTGAGTGCCATTTTATTCTGAAAATAAAATGGCACTTAAGCACATTAATCTCTTAGAGCATCATGTAATGGAAAGTAAAAGCTAAATAAAAGAGCTGTTTCTCCATTTCAGTTCTTGTATTCTGTCAGGTTAGCAGCGGGTTTCCTGCCTCTTTTCCATTCAGGGAAAGTTGTTGTATGAAGTCTAATGTGGTTGCAATTTTTCTCCATTTTCCTTCAGAGTGGCAGACAATGGAAGCTTGATTTGTTAATTTTCCTCCCACATTTCCCTGCACATAATTAGTCCCTGGGGGGTTTCCAGCTCTCCAGGTAACAAATATCCCCCAATCTTAAAAACAATACTCAAGGACAGTTATTAACGAGCAGTATCACAGAGTACAATCTATTTATTTATAAAATATTTTACCAGGATGGAAGAGAAATGTGACAAGCGATTATTGTGACAAAAATCGCACATGAAAATTAAATGTGATTTATGGAGATTAATTGATCATGCAGCACATTAAAAACTAAAATCTAACACTTTATTCTAGAACAGTGAAGACTATCTTGGCATCCTAAATGTTTCAGAATTAGGTTTCCAGCAATGCTTGGCCAGCAAGGCTCTCTGGACATCATGGAAAATGAAGTAACCAAACATCTAGGGGGGTGGCAAGGTTTGCCCTTCCCTGCCACTACAATTAGGTGTAGTAGTTATGGTGCTTAGATTGTCCCTTTAAGTTTGTTAGAATACTGTGACAAAACAGTCTTACATTCCGCCAAGATCAAGTATGTTTACCAAAGAGTTATAAAAGCCACTAAGACTCTAGTGCTCCCAATTAATTAGAGAGCATCACTCATTTCAGTAGCTGGCAGTCACCAGGACTTTGAGAACCAAATATCTCACAAACAATCTAAAACAAATCCAACCAAATGTGGTTAATGTACTAAATAATATACTTGTATATCTCTCACCCACATCCTAGTATACTATATACACTATACAAACCATGCAAGCTTACAATCAGCCGCCAATAAATAAATAAATATATATTTTAAAGAAAATTCTAGGAAAATGTTCTAGGAAAATACAATTATGGTTATAGATATAAACCCAAAAAGGCAATAAAGCAGAATTCTAAAACCTACAATGATTCAGTTATTTGGATTCTATAACTACAGGGACCTGATTGCATTCATAACAGGGTATGTCAAGAAAATGCTAATATATATATATATATATATATATATATATATATATATATATATATATAAAACCATGAAGGAAGAGCGCGCACCTGAAAGTTGAAAATGTAAAGTATTCAATGATGAATCTCAATGAACAAACAAAAGAAGGAACCTGCACTCTTATCTGGTCCTGGTACATCCAAACCGTTGACTGGCAAACTCCACTCCAATGGTAAAACAATAAATGTAGTCCAGGCACTCCGGATCTCTTAAGTGGCAGTTTTATTTGAAAATCAGGAAAAACATGCTACATTTTTCAAGTCTGAAAACTCTCTCAGTTGAGATCGAAACGTTGTGTTTTTTTCCTGATTTTCCAATAAATCTGCTCCATAAGTGATCCTTAGTGCCTGGACTACATTTATTCTTTAAGGAGCAATAAATAGGATCTGGGAGGAGAGTGTGGAGCAAGAACGAGACCTGGATGACATCTTCATGACTCTCCCCTCACCCCCACAAAGAGGTCATTGTCCTCCAACCTGGTCTCAATGCAAATCCCACAAGATTGTAAAAACATTTATATACAGCATTGTGGACTTAGATCTTAGGATGTAAGGGACCTCATATTTTAATACACATTTGATGTATCCCTATTATGTCTGCACTAAACCTGCATGCTCTTTCTTCTGGAATGTAACCTGTAAAGTGATAATTACACCTTTTAGTGTCATAAATAAAGTCTTCATAAGTACAAGTATAAGGCAACGCCTTAATTCCTGGTAGCAGGAATTATCTTTACATTACGATAAACGTTCCAAACAGGTGTGGTATTAAACCAAGATGTTCTAATACCTGAACATGTGCCAAAGGCCTTTTCTTTATTACAACGCATCTCTCGGTTATTAATACTCAGTAAGCCATAACAACAAACATCTTCTTCGCAATGCCTTGCTCATCTTTCTCAACTAACCATGAATGAGAAGATCTACTAATCCTTTACAAGTGAGCTGCAGACATCAGGACTATTGCCACTAGGAGTAATATATCCTCATTCAATGATCTTATTGAGCACACAGTAACAGAGATTGTAGAAACCTCCAGTGTCCACAGATAATGAAACATAAATCCTTACTCCTATAAGGGGCACTATTGTCATCAAAACAACTTTAGTTTAATGAAGCAGTTTCAGTGCGTAGATCATGCCCCTGCAGTCGCACTGCTCAATTCTCTGCCATTTAGGCGTTAAATCACTTTGTTTATTAAACCTAGTCACACCTCCATGCATGTGAATTGCACAGCCTCCCTAAACAATTCCTGTAAACAGTCATCTACAATTTATCTTTCCTTTATTGCAAGTTCTGTTTAATTTAGATTTTCTTTTCCCCTGCTATGTTAATAGCTTGCTAGACCCTGCAAGAGCCTCCTGTATGTGTTTAAAGTTCAATTTACAGAGAATGAGATTAAATTTGTTTAAGGTAAATTACATCGGATTGAAAGCAAAACCAGTTTTTTTCATGCAGGCTCTGTCAATCAGAGCCAGGGGAGGTGTGACAAGGGCTGCATAAACAGAAACAAAGTGATTTATCTCCTAAATGGCAGTGAATTGAGCAGTGAAACCTGAGAGACATGATCTACACACAAAAACTGCTTCATTAAGCTAAAGTTGTTTAGGTGACTATAGTGTCCCTTTAAATTACACCACTTCAGCAAAGTACTATCTTGAAGAATGATGGAGCATTATTTAAGAACAGGCAAGTAAACCAACCTCTCAAACTATGTGGGCTATTTACTGGGCATCTCTTGTATTTCACAATTAATTAAGTCGGCTTATAATTATTCCTCGTGTTGAAAAATATCAAAGCCACCTCATTCTGGGCTTAAATGATGCACAACATGGGTATTTTTCAATGTATGTGTGACTTTGGACAATTCATTTGTTATGAAAATAGAGTAAGAATATTGTATCCATAAAAACAAAAATGCCACTACAAAGACCAATTTATAACCACAAGGTTACGTTTATTTCCTCCTTATTTATTGCCACCTTAATTAGTCCAATGTTATGACCTTATCAATGTAAGTTCCTCAGGGAAACATTTTGATAGACACCCTAAACTAGCAGAGGTCCCTGCTTGCCTCTATATTATATTCTACCCAATGCATATATAATGTTAATTGCTTCAAAGACCAATCAACAAAATGTCCTAAAATAAAACACTATTGATTAGGCACATATGAAGTGTCCTGCTTCAAAAAGAATCTGGAACTGTGATATTTGAGTTCTGTATTCAAAGGTTGAAGTGAGATAAAAAGATCTCAAATTATAGACCAATACAACCTAAATTGGTCTCTTATAGCTAAAGCAATTATACAAATGTCATTTCAATGTAGTACTAATTAATTTCACTTAATATCATATTATGCATAGGAGTCTAATTACTAGTCCTAAATACCGATTAATATATACAATTTGACCAGTTTGATGCACGTAGAGTGGATACAGGTTTCTTAAAATATTGAACGACACACTTTATCATGGTACCCAGATGTCCGCTTTGAGGAGAGGTATTTATGAGATCTATATCCGCATTGAAAATCAGCAATTCTTGGTCCTAAAGGGGCTACGACAAATGACGGCAGGGATAACCTTTTTGAAAATTACAAGTTTTATTCCTTTAATAAAAGCAGGGCTATATAGCGCTATCAAAGCTAAACACACAGGATATCCCATACGGACATAACGTGTTTTGAAGGCCTGATTGTGATTTTAACAAACATTGGCATGTGGTTCTCAAGGGGTTAAAATAGACAATCTTGCAGGATGCATTATATTTTATGATGCTTTGCAGGATGCATTTCCTTTACAAGCTTCCTCTTACAAGTAATTCAGAGCAAACAGTGTGTTATATAGCCTTTTCTAACTCTGCGGATTCTAGAAGAGGTTTGTAATCACCAAAACAACAGCTTTAGCATTTTATTGCTGCTGGAGAGGACAAGATAAGTGTTGCCTTGTGCACTATATAACTTCTATCTATCAGGAAAGAATCTAAAAGGAACGGCCACGATTAGAAAATGGAATACTCTCTCAGAACAGAATGGACACAAAATTCAGGGCAGCACTTTACATGTCATGTCCATCAGTAATCAATATGTGGAAGCGGTGTATGTCCAGCACAACATGGTGGCTTTTGCAAGCCTTAAGAAGAATGGTCTTCTTCTTAACTCTGTTTCGAAGAGATGTTCAACCCAGACAGTTTCATCATTATCAATGTTCAAAATGTGATAAATATCAGCAGTCAAAATATCGAGACAGCAAATGATGAAACAATACGTTGACTCAACGCGTGATCAAAGCACCACAACCACTACAACTCATTGGAGACTTCCACAACACCCCCATCCAACTTTGGGGTCACAAATAGGGTGAAAGCACTGCATTAACCTGCCCCTACCGGTGTTAGCCTATCATATACTCTAATGGTCGTACAACTGAGAGTCTAAGTTAATTTCTGTATTAGCCAAGTCTCTCCAGAGGGGCTAGGCTTTGGATACTGAGAGAGACCCATTTTTGGCAAACTGCTCAAAAACTGTTTGACACAAACTTTTGAAGCACCATAGCCACTAGATCTTCCTGTAGTGATTAAGGTGCAGAGTGCCCCTTTCTAGCAAACATTTTAATACGAGTAAGGTTGTCATTAAATCTAAAGGTCAGAAATTAGCCAACCAAATGTAAGACCATTGTTAAATTTGTCCCTAGAGAGCCCTAATCTCTGTTTGACATTCAGGGTTTCTCTAAATAACACACAACCCAAAGCGAAATACTGTGTTTAATTAAGCAATACATTATCCAGAAATTAGGTGACCCCGAGGCTAGTAAATTGTTATTATGCCTGTAAATCAAATTATGTTGTGGCTAATTCTCCCGTAACAATGTTTCTTTGCTAATCACTGTTAAATTGAAAATGCAATAACATACAAGAAGATAATGGTTTCACTAGTGTTTAATGTAAACAAGACAAAAAAAATGAGTAAGGATTCTGATTAAACTCAGCATATATGGTTGTTGCTAATCTAAAACAACTATCATCCTCAACCATCGCACAACCGTTATTAAACTTTAAAGGGACGTCTCAAAATGAGTCCAATCAGGACCCACTTAGGCAACATTAAAACAAGGTAAACATTACTGTGTGAATGAGGATCCTTTGTTTTGCTACAAAACGATATCATTTATTTTATCCCCCAGCATTCTAATCATAAAATTAGAGCCAACACACGGATGAAAATGGATCAAAAACTCACCAAAGGTTTGAATACACATCTGTATGAGGTCATCCAAGGTGGCTCCTTTGGAAAGCTGTCCAAGAGGCATCATCACCCTTAAAGGAGTGACGGTAGGCAGCTTGGAGTTGGATGCAGGCTGGAGGATATGCTTCAGCTCCAGAGCCAGTTTGGGGATGGTAGTACAGCCATGAGCCGGTCTACTGTAGAAATAAATAAAAAAGAGCTGGGCTGAGCATCATAGCAGAACTTACAGTGGTGTCATTGGACAGGAGGAAAACCCTCCAAATACATGATTGATGGATGGATGGATGGATGCTTGGCACTCCCCTCTCCGAGTCACTAATATAACTTGATTTGGTCCTTGCATTGAATGTATATAAAAGAAAAGGGGTGAACTCTTACGTCTATTTAACATTTCGAATTCAAATAAATGTGTTACATATCACAGAATATCCTTGATCAAGGTTTTCAGTCGTTCGGGCCTTTTTCAAGACCTAATAGTGCACTGCTTTTCTAATATATTTCAAATTCAAACATAAAAAAAAGTTAGATTAAGTTAGAACACACCAATTACACCCTGCAGAAGAATATTTTGCTTTCCAAAGCAAACTTTAATCATCTATTTTATATAATTGTAAATAAGAAGAAAAAAAAAGCTATAAATAAATAATAACGTATAAATTAATTGTACTCTAAATTAAGCTACACCATCCTAAAACAAAAAGTCAGGCAAAAGACAATGGATGGTTATTGGAGAGTGTCTGCATCCGTTGATCGGCAATAGTAGAATTAAAATACATTGGATAATAAATGGTATAATTATCCATTTAGTAAAGCACGAGAGTCTGCAAGCACCCGACCTGAATAACCTTGATAAGTACAAACTATCTCAAAAGTAGGATTTTGCCAGTTGTTTGATTGGTTTTTACCATCTGTAGGGAAATGAAAGTTGCAAAACATCTCATATCTGCTTTTATTTATCTACACAACTTTCAATATTAATCACGAGAGTTATTTGCAATAACTCATGGTTCAGCAGAAACCATGCAAGGAAAATAAATAAATACTCGTCTTTCATCCAAGCTATACATGTTAAGATCCTTTAACCTTTCCTGGTAAGTTTTAAACTGGTTCATGGATTGCAGGATAAAACTTACCAGGAAAGGTTAAAGGATCTTAACATGTTTAGCTTGGAGGAAAGACGAGACGGGGGGGATATGATAGAAACTAAGCTAGAATGCCGCACATTCTCAAACTCAAAAGTGATTTTATTGAAGGCACCTAATTAGTGGTATGTAGAAGTCATATTTAAAAATTAAATAAACCTATTTTTAATAAAGATTTTTAGACTGTAAGTTTAAATGCAAGGCTGCAAAAATTTACAATATTTGTTTACTTGCCGCTTAAACTAGGTTATTAAAACTTTATTGTCCAAAGCATTACAGAATTTATCAGCACTATATAAAATAATTATAATTCTATGGAATACAACTCTTAATATTAACTCGTGTGTAATTTCTTCTTGAGAATCACCTAACAAAGCTCCTAAGATACGATTTTGGTCAAACTGGGCTAGAAAAACCGATCCAACTTAAAGGACCACTCTAGGCACCCAGACCACTTCAGCTTAATGAAGTGGTCTGGGTGCCTGGTCCAGCTAGGGTTAACCCATTTTTTTTTATAAACATAGCAGTTTCAGAGAAACTGCTATGTTTATAAATAGGTTAATCTAGCCTCTAAAGCAGGGGTTCTCAACGTTAGTCCTCAGGACCCCCTACCAATCCAGGGTTTAGGGATTACCTCGGTGTGTCTAAGGTGTTTAAAAAAAAACAAAAAAAAAAAAAAACACCTTAGAGTCTAAGGTGTTTATTTCCCTTTTTCTAAACACCTGAGACACACCCAGGTAATCCCCAAATCCTGGACTGGTAGGGGGTCCTGAGGACTGGGTTGTGAACCCCTGCTCTAAAGCCTCTAGTGGCTGTCTCATTGACAGCCGCTAGAGGCGTTTGCGTGCTTCTCACTGTGAAAATCACAGTGAGAAGACGCAAGCGTCCATAGGAAAGCATTATGAATTATTATCTACTATTATTATCTATTATGAATTTCCCATGAGACTGGCTGAATGTGCGCGCAGCTCCTGCCGCGCATGTGCATTCAGCCGAAGAGGAGGAGAAGAGGCGGAGAGCTCCCCACCCAGTGCTGGAGAAAGGTAAGATTTTAACCCCTTCCTCTCCCCAGAGCCCGGCGGGAGGGGGTCCCTGAGGGTGGGGGCACCCTCAGGCACTATAGTGCCAGGAAAACAAGTAGGTTTTCCTGGCACTATAGTGGTCCTTTAAGCAGACATATTATTTACAAGTTTCTGGAATTATTCTAAAGTTTGTAATTACTATAATTATTATTCTAGAAAACAAATCTGCTGCTGTGTTTGTTACAGCAGTAATACTATAAGTTGTTATTCTCATTTCTAAACGTTCTCATCCTCATAAATGTTTTTAAACCAGCTTCACTGTCACAAAGACATGAAGCTATATTGCAGAGTCAAAAGTAAACAGACACGACAAGAGGTGGCCAACTGCTAGGAGCAGCTGTCATTCTCTGTGAAACTTGGATTAATTAGCTGAAAGTAAGCTTCTGTTTCCACACACTCCCTGCTGCCAATTCTTTAACACCCTTCAGATATTGGTTTGATGTATATTTTATTTCCCATCGCCTTCCTGCTCACCAGATCCCATTTCTGGAAAACATTCTAAAGTGCGGCCCATAAGGGTTTAATTCATATTCTGTAATTCAACGTGCCTTTTGGACAAATCTAGTTTCATTAAACATAAATTTCAGCATTTTAAGCATTTACCATTTCCGAAAAAGTACTTGATACCGAAAAATGCATCCAGAGATGACTCAATTTATCCTCTCGCCCATCTTTGTTGGTTATAATGCTAAAGCCAATAGAGATACACATTTCTCTTCCAAAAGCCACTACTCGTTTAATACCTGGAAGCGTGTTGAAATTGACAACTCACCCCCCTCTTTTCAAACAGTAAAAAAACGTTTCAATGGGTCCCAACATTCCTACAGTCAGAATAGAGGAGGAGTAAATGGGCTCTACCATTTCACTTTTAGAATTATATTAGAATTACATTAGCAATCCCGTGATAAACATATGTGTAACATCAGAGGGCGAACCTGGAACGGGATCCTAAATTCAGGGCTGTCCTACCTAAAACAAGATTTACATTTATTTTAGATAGATAGATAGATAGATAGATAGATAGATAGATAGAGAGAGAGAGAGAGAGAGAGAGAGAGAGAGAGAGAGAGAGAGAAAAAATTGAGCATATGGCATTTTATAATAAAACATGTGAAAGTACTGCATTAAGTCCAGATTTAAATAAATACTCTTTGAATTGATTAACCACAAACACGTACATATATCTCCAAATGGACATATTCAGGATCAATCTGGCATTCGATAAATGTGACATTTTTAAACTGTTGCTATATCGGAAAACAGAGGTACCATTCATCAGTAAAAGTAGTGATCTGTGGTCTTCCATTGTTATATAAGCCAAGTAACCGGATATTAAAGAATGACAAAGAGGATGAGAGATTCAATGAACTGATCAAGAGACAGAAGTACTATTCACAAGTAAAGAAAACCGTGATTTGAAAAGAAAAAAAACAAAAACACATGCTAGGTTACAGTAGCTTTTAGTCTCTCTCCAAATTCTTCCCTTATATTCAATTAAGAATAAATTGTGATTATTTTGTAATCCAAAAGCTTTTTTGTCCACAGCCTATATTTAACTCTATGCATTGAAAATTTAAATCATACCTGCCAAACCTGTGTGTATAATGTACGATTATAAAAATACTAAAGAAAAAATTAAATATTTACATTTATCTCAATATACCTATATGTCAACAGAAATTTTACAATATGATTGATTTATGAGAATTTGCATTCCCAAAAATACCAGCAAGTTCCATTGAAAATATTACGGAGCAGTGTTTATTTTCGGTGTCACACCTACAGCAGCACTTTATCAAATTTTCCAAAACACATCAAAAGTATTGCAGTACATTGGATACCATATAATCTCGAATATTTCTGCAAGGAATGAATGACTAGCAGTTAACGTAAGCTTTGGGTTCATAAAAGAAAATGAGTGAAGAGTTGAACTGGCTTTACTAAAAGTTAAAATACATTAGGATGGACATAAAGGGAAATAAATAGAAAGGATGCAGCTAAAGAATATGTTGGCTAGAGACACGATTAAGGGAATGAGGCAAAAACAAGTGGAGAACAAGGAGGGACTAGAATATAGGAAGGTTTGGGGATAAGTAGACAGAGAGCCCTGGTACAACGGAAAGGGTGGTAAAAGGAAACTGCTATAAAGGGAGGAGGGGACTTAATAAAAGTTAGGTAAGAGAAGGGAGATAGCATTAAAAAGTGAGTGTAAGTGGGGCATCCAGCTAAGAGACATGGGTGGATTGCAAAGATATGAAAAGAAACGAACCATAATTAACAGTAGTATACGGGAAGAAGCATATAGAGCAAATATAGATAAAGAGAGACAATAAGTATTATCCTGCCGAGGGCTTTAATGTTAAAATAACACTCCAAACACGCTCAGCTTGTTGAAGTGCTTGATCTGTACAGAGTGTCCTATTTGTTTCATTTCATAAAAGTGCAATTAAATGCGAAGACACACACTTCCGCAAACACACTTGTCTTTGACAAACTACTCAATACATGGTAATACAGTTTATTTAGAGTCGCGAGGAATAAGCCAAACAAGCAGCGTCTAGGATAACAGTAATAAACTGCACCAAAATAGACGACTTATCACTGGTCCTTCGAGTGGACAGGTTTAAGGTACAATAGAGAGGAAATGTAGTCAAACACAAGCCTAGGTCTGGATAACAGAAAGACAGCAAAAGCGAGAACTAGCCAGAATCAGGTAAACGTTATATCAATAGGTAAAAAACTAATGCCAGAAACGGGTTACAGAGAAACTTAGAGGCAGGAACTAAGCCAAGGTCAATACCAGATATGTAACAATGAAACAAGGAATGCACTAAAGGGTACTGAGAACAAACACCATGCTAGGGCACAGTAAATGGGGCCAGAGGAGTTTAAATACGGTTATGTGTGCTTTGATTGGTCCACGTCATGCCTGTGACCCCAGAACTTGTGTGAACAGGGACGCCAGACTGACGTGGACCAACCTGAGCCAGGAAACAATGTTATGTCCCCTGTGTGTCTTTAAGAACACGCTCCGTAAGCAAAAACATTCTCAGTGCTGGGATTCGAGCCACACAAACGGTTATTTCATTTGGCACGAAGCCCATGCAGAGGTTCCTGATCAGTTCTAGGACTGGGTAAGTATCGTTACAAGAAGTCTGTGATTGGACAGCCATGCACACACGGCTGGCATGAGAAGAAGCCTCTGATTGTCTATTTCCTGGCACAGACTAGAAAATCTATAACAAGGAAAAAGGGGAGGTCTTCCAGTAGCTGCAGATACTAGATCTGCAGCTACTGCATGCCACAATTTTATATACCCACAAAGAAACCATGTAAAAAAAAAAAAAAACGTTTTCTTTGTTGGTATATCTACCAAATGTTTGTTTATTTTTTGATGAAGTGTTATTTTAATTCCAGCTCTGATGCTACATAGATTGTCTAACTTTATCTGCCTGTTTATCACCCGTTTAATATTATTCATGGAGTTCAGCATTCACCTGATCAGAAAAGCTGTACTGGGATTTATTCCTTTAGTAAAAATAACCACAAACACAAAGTTATGTCTGAACTCCGGAAATGTCTAATAATATTGGCACATCATTGCCATGCCAACCCCACGGTCATACTGGCATATCACAGTACCTTGTAATAGAAAAGGCAAATAATTAATCACGCAGAACAAACAGATATAAGCACCCGTGCTAACATACCTTCCGACATTTCATACGTTGGAGCATTTAGGATGTGTGACTAAGGTGTGTAATAACAGAGAATTAATTGTTCAATAACATAACCAATCTTTACTTTTGTATCATTAATTCATCCCAGTAACATTGTATCCGAATATATATATCTTAAACCCATACAATTTTGAAAATCCTACTGCATTTAGGCTTAGTGCTCTAGTATTCTTATTAGCATGTACACAATGCCAGAACATTCTGCAGCACCTTACAATTGCATGGAGGGATATAAAAACTGCAAATAAATTACAAGTTTAACGGGATCAGAAATAGGAGGTAATGATAGGAAATGACCAACTCCAGAGAGCTTTCAACCTAGAGGAAATGTGAATAAGACATATATGGAAATGGAAACAAGAGGAATAACAACATGTCAAAGGGGAGCAGAGATTATAACATCCGTGCAAAAGATGTAGAGTGAAAACGTGAGTGAGAGTGAAAGTCACAGAAGAGCCAGTAGTGTGGAGTGAGTCAGAGGACACTGGTGTTAAAGGGACGCTATAGTCACCAAAACAACTTTAGCTTAATGAAGCAGTTTTGGTGTATTGAACATGCCCCTGCACTTTCACTGCTCAATTCTCTGCCATTTAGGAGTTAAATCACTTTGTTTATGCAGCCCTAGGCATACCTCTCTGCATGTGACTTACACAGCCTTCCTAGACACTTCCTGTAAAGAGTCATTTAATGTTTACACTTCATGCCATTTAAGTAGTCTGGGTGCACTGTCCCTGTTCCCTTTCGTTTTTGAGTATAAGACTGTCTATAGTGGCCGGCTACCAGACTACTGCAGTTTTACAGAGTTGTTCTCATGAAACAACACTGGACATACAGGGTCAAGCAAAATCCCATAGAAAAGCATTGAGCCAATACTTTACGATGGGGAAAGCCTAAAGCATGTGCTCGACGTGCATGCGTATTAGAAGTGCCCCCCAACAGAAAGTTTTTCTATTTTTTTTTATTTTCAGGGGGCAGAGGGATCTTTTTATTCCCAACATTAAACTATTCCTTTAAACTTTTTGAAGAAATATGTTTAGAGGGTGTACATAAAGCACATTATGATGAGTAGAGTTGTAGACCGTTTATAGGCAGGTATCAGGATTTTTATTTGGAAAATCAGTGTAAAGACTAGGAAGCGGCTTTGATGTATGACGAGTGGTGGGTAAGAAAGAGAATGAAGATTGATAAGGATTAAGATGCAAATTATAAGATCATGAACAAATGCCATGGCCGCATCATTAAGCAGAAAGAGGTAATACTTTTAGGGTGTAGAATATAGAATTTAGAGACAGACTGGATGGGGGTGGGTAAAAAAAGGAATGGTCAGAGTAAAAAAAAAACAGGCAGGAAAAGAGACAATGGAGGATTGATCTTGAAGGAGGACTATATAAGAAGTCCAGTTTTGAAAAGACTGGGTGTCAGAAAATATTGGTTGTATAAGAAGACTGACAAGAGATAGACACATTCCAGGAGGCTGAAGAGAGATCATGGGATGAGATTTATATTAGGGTATCAGTATGCATGTGTTACGGAGTTACAAAAAGACACAAGGTTGCCAAGAGTGAGTGTAATGAGAAGATGGCTTAAACGGAGCGCTGGCGGGGGTTCCAACTGTAACAGGTAGTGGAGAGGATGCCGAGACAGAAAAGTAGACTATGAACGAGTGCTGAAAGGGGCAGTGAAAACAGGAAAAAAACCTCTCTCATGAAGTCTAAGGTGTGACTGTTTTAAGAAGAAACATATAACAAAAAGCAGCAGTGAGGTTGAGAAGAATTAATAGAGCATAACGACCTTTGGATTTAGCCGTGATTAAATTGCCTTGTCACTTTGGTTATGGACATTACAGCAGAATCCACAGAGCAGAGACCATTGGTTGAAAAGGGATGTATATGAGAAAACAAATTTGAGACAAAAGGGAATCGTGATACGGCTTGGTAGAGGGAAACATTGGGTCAAGAGCTGACTTTTTTTGGATGACAATGACAATTATATATGTTTGAGGAAATGGGGACAGCATCAGAAGAGAAATATAGATTAAATATATGAGTGGAGGTTACAAGGGGGAAAAAAACATTAGAGTTCAAAGGAAAGTAATCAAGGGGATACCTGGTGGGTGAGATGATAGAAGTGCAAAATCCTATACTGGCTGTGGAGAAGGAATTTAAAGGGACACTATAGTCATCAAAACAACTTTAGCTTAATGAAGCAGTTTTAAAGTATAAATCATGTCCCTGAAGTTTTATTACTCAATTCTCTGCCACTTAGGAGTTAAATCACTTTTGTTTCTGTTAATGCAGCCCCAGCCACACCTCCCCTGGCTGTGACTGACACAGCCTGCATGAAAAAAAACAGAGGTTTTATTTTCAATCAGACTTATTTTAAGTTTTTATCTCCTGCTCTGTAAATTGACCTTTAAACACACACGAGGCTCCTGGCAAGGTGTAGCAAGCTATTAGAAGTATGGGAGGTAAGGATTTCTAAATTAAACAGAATTTGCAATGGGACATTTCAATGAGCTGAAGTGGTCTGGGTGCCTACAGTGTCCCTAAAAAGAGGGTAGTGAATATGGGGTATGTAAGCCATCATTAAAGGTGGTGTTTTATTTCACACACCACTTTCATATCAGTATTTGGTTTATCACATGACAGGAAATTAGAGTAGCTTTCTGGCAACATGACAGGAAGTCAGTGCATCGCCATAGTTACACATGTAAGCAGGAAGTAAATATTAGGATATTTGGAATCCCAACTGAGAATGTTAATATTTGATTAAATATTGAACCATACACCTTGCATATTTGTAAACACATTATAAGTATATAAATTAATTTGTATAATACAGTGTTTAATCTCCACAAACTAATTTTGCTAAATAAAAAAATTTCTATCTTCCATTATCAATTATTTACTAGTATCAAAATGTTGTTTTTTTTCAGTTATTTTATTTGCTTGTTCAATGTATAGCAATGCAGTGTATTATTAAATACCACTATCATTTTTAATATCAAATAATTGAACCAAAACAGACCATGCTGGGTTTAGAGCTTAATTGGCCCGGTACTGAAAATCATTTTAAAGGAAAACTATAGTGCCAGGAAAACAAACTCGTTTTCTTGACACCATAGCTTCCCCCTCTTGCGGCACTGAAGGGGTCCCTCGGTGCTGGCTCAGCTCCGCTCCTCCTCTGCTGATGTCCGCCGGCAGGGGGGGACCTGATGCGCAGGCCCTGCAATGGCTTTAAATAATGCTTTCCTATAGGAAAAAAAATCTGACGGTGGAGGTCCTCATGCAGAGCGTGAGAACGTCCAGAATCAGATAACGGACCAAAAGTCAGATTCAATTCCAGAAGTCCCTGTAGTGGCTGTAGACAGCCACTAGAAGAGGACTTAACCCTCAGAGGTAATTATTGCAGTTTATAAAAACTGCAATATTTACCACTACAGGGTTAAGGGTGATGGGAGTTTGCACCCAGACCACTTCAATGAGCGGAACTGTCCCTTTAACTAGAATGTCCTAAAACAACTATACTTCCACAGGTGTTCCGCAACTGATAAAGTAGTTTCGATTTGGTACCTGTGTCTTGCCTGCCTAGGTTATTTATTTGTTATCCTGTTTTTCAGTACTCCAGAAAAATCTCTTACCTTGCAGATTTTGTCCCCATGAAATCAATAGGAGAATGCATGATGCTGCCGAATATGCTAGTGATGCACCGTGCATAGGTGGAGGAATGTCAGTCATTTATAGGAGGAGTGTCTGAGATATATTTATATACTTGGAATCAATATACTTGGAATCCCAACAGAGAATGTTAAGCAAGGTTTCAAAAAATATTTTTATCTCATTCTCTTTTGCTATGTTTTACAATGTATCTTTCTGTTAATTTTTTGTATGTTTTTTGTAGTAACTGTAAGAGAACAAGTAAAACTGATACAAGTGGTCATATGTGGTTATATATGTACTGTTACCACTTGTATCAGTTTTACTTGTTCTCCTTTTGTACATATTGGGGTTAAGCCCCTAGAGACCCCTGGAGTCTCTAATTGATACCTAATACAGCAGGTCACAACTGGGCACTTTGCTTTCGCTATAGCAGCTCATTTGCGTCCTACTGTTTTCTGCTTTTAGTTCTTGAATAGTAACTGTATTCGGCTTAAAATGGGAAAAGTAGTTGCTCCAAATAAAACAAAAAATAAAAATAAATGTCTATTTTTAAGAGCAGGAGGGACAGCCCATGTGGCATTTTTCAAAATGATGTATGCACCCTCTGTATCACGCCCTCCACATCTTAAACCTGTCTCTACCTGAACTCATCTTACAAACAAAATTTCAACAATAAACTTTGAAATCTTAATTTGTCTATTTCCTTTTATTCTTACTAGTACGCAGAAATGGACTTCTGGTATTCAGTCTGGCACAGAGTATGAGGAGGAAGAGGATGTGTTACATGTTGGGTTGTGAGAGAGGTAGAAACAGCATGGAAATTTGCATAGTACAACTTTAAGTTAACTATTTGATGACCAATTTGCTCCCCTGCATTCTCAATAATAATAATAATAATAATAATAATAATAATAATCTGCAAATGCCCTTAGAGGAAGAAAAAAAAAAAAAGCAAAACAATTAAAAATATTGCCACATGCACCGTCACATTGTTAAAGGAACGCTCATCTCAGTGAAGAGGTCTAGGTTATTCCCCCCCCCCCCTTACCATAAAGTTGAAAACATTGCCGTTCAGCAGGAATGGCAACGTTTCTATTGCAGGATTAAGCAGTCTCTAGCGCAGGCGTAGGCAACCTTTGGCACTCCAGATGTTTTTTTGACTACACCTCCCATGATGCTCTGCCAGAATGAGTGTAAGAGCACTATGGGGATGTAGTCCACAACATCTGGAGTGCCGAAGGTTGCCTATCCCTGGTCAGTCTAGTGGATGTCATATTGATAGGCACTGACAGTAAAATAAAGTAAAACTCTGCTATTTTGGTCAGGTGGTCTCTAGAGATCATCCGATTGGTGCAGCACGGCGATATTGATGATCTCAGCCACAGAGATGATGCTTGAGCAGGGAGATCAGTGCGATGAAGGGGGAAAAAAGGTAAGTAAACTCACTCTTTTTTAACCATGACAAGGCTGGCCCAGTAACCTTAACAGTGACTAGGGTACTAGAGTGTTAAAAATACACAGCTGTATTCTTTTTCAAATTATTTTTTTTTATTTAAGATTTTTCAAAAAATTTTAAACAGAAAAAAAACAAACCAAAACACAACAACTAAATTGGTGAGCAAAATAGGAAGGGGGAACGAGGGGGTAACAAACCTAAAAGGAAAGGGGCTTCCTTTCATAAAATACTAATTTTAATTATCGTATTATGTACATAAGGATAGTGTTCCTTTAATGCATTTTATCGTAAAAGTTGGTGGCTAAAGGGAGATTCACAATTACTTAATTACTATAATTTCTTTTTTTTTTTTTTTTAAGGTAAGGTTTCTATCAATAGTTGGGGAGAATTTGATGTTATGTTGATGACAAGTGATAATTGCCAGGTGCACATCCCCATTCAAACAGAATACACAATGTGTGCCATCCTTAACCCCTTAAGGACCAATCTTCTGGAATAAAAGGGAATCATTTTAAGGGGTTAAAGGGACACTATAGTCACCAGAACAACTACAGCTTAATGTAGAAGGTTCTGGTGCGTATAATAGCTCCCTTAAGGCTTTTTTCATGTAAACAGTCTTTTCAGAGAAAAGACAGTGTTTACATTGACCCTAGGGACACCTCCAAATGGCCACTCTTCAGATGGCCACCGGAGGGGCTTCCTGGGTCAGTGCTGACCAAAAAAAAGCCGCCCTGACATTCAGCGTCCTCACGCACTGCATGGAGACGCCGAATTTTCCTCATAGAGATGTATTGGTTCAATGCATCTCTATGAGGAGGTCCTGATTGGCCAAAACGGCATTTGGACCTGCCATCTATGGGAAAGCATTTGATTGGCTAAAAAGCGGCGATTTTGATGATGCCACAAAGGGGGCGGAGCCTGGGCCTGCAGACCCGCGCGGTGCTGGAAATAAGGTGAGCTTTAAACTTTTATAGGGGGGCTAAGGGGGATAAGCCACCTAAATGGGTTTAGCCCTATAGGGTCAGGAATACATGTTTGTGTTCCTGACCCTATAGTGATCCTTTAAAGCTGTATCATATGATGGAAAGATCAGTTTACATGGTGCAATCAGTAACTGACTATGGTGGAATATTGCAAATTTTGGGCTAAATTAGAAAAATATTCAACTCCGCTGCGATTCCATTTATATTATTGTGCCACAAAATTAGCAAATTTCAATATGTGTGAGTTATGAGAAATTCTATGTGAATGTCAAACATTAGGCCAAAAAAAAATCCTTCAAATCTGCTAATATTTCAGTTCATTTATATTGGCCTTAACGTTGAAAATTGCATTGAAGTCCTGCCTTGAAATTCAAACTTTAACAGAATTACCCTGTTAGTGATGCCGATGAAGTCCAAAATGTATTGTATTTAGTTTCATGCATTTTGTAAATCTGTAAAAACGTAACATTATCCACTGTGTTCAAACGGATACGGTTTACTTATACATAAAAAAAAATATAAAAAAATACATACATAGAACAATACTACAATGTTTAGAGTTTGCAGTCCTCAGAATTCACAGTCAGCGGTGGATCAGAACTATAGTCTGACAATTTAGACAATCATAGTGTAAGGGGCATTAATGGTATTTAATTATCCCATGCAAAGCTCTTAAGCACCAGGTCCCTGTCCAAAAAGTCCAACAAACCAGTCTCTGGGGACAATGTATTCTAACTATATTAAAATAATCTGTAGATGGCAGTAATCAACACTATTCTAATTCTGTCTGCTTTATAGGTGATCAACCTTGAAGAAACTCAGGAAAACATGTATAATGTACAATACACTGAGAGGTTGCCAAACAACACACACACAGGAAAGAGATTCCCTTTTCCTTATTTTATAGAACGCTGCTCCCATCAACCTCAGCCAATAGCAGCTGCAGTCTGTAATGCATGCAGCTTTTCTGGATGTCCTGCATATTCAGGAGCTGACTACACGTTAGATGAGAATGTCCCAGGAGATAGAAAAAAACCACAACATGCAATCTAAACATATATTTTCAATAAAGTATCCATGTCCCTATAGTTTAACCTGTACATTGCATTTCTGTCCTGAACTTTAGAAAACAAACATAAAAATGTTCTACTTCTGATCCACTATACCTCGTATTACACAGTAATCATTTCATATTCAGCATTACAAGCAATGGTCATGGTTACAAAGCATTAGCAGGATTCTATGTCCAAAATCACAGCTTATATCATATCACTGGTCTGTTTGTATTGAATGGTCTTTTTCCCACATTGTACAGCGCTGCGGAACATGTTGGAGCTTTATAAATGCCAGTAATAAATAAATAAATAAATTAATAAATAAACAAATAAATGCGTAATAAATAAATTAATTAATGCCAGTAATAAATAAATATCATAGAACGCTAACACTAATCAAGCAGTGAGTGACTTTATACAGAATATAACTCGGGTACAAGCAATAGACACCCCACTCATTGGAACATGGCTTATAATATCCCACACATTGAATTGTGCATTATTAATACAATGTATCACTCCGTGCTCCTGTGCCCCCAGAGACACAGCCAGCCCAGTGAGGGAGGTGTGATCCAGCCACATACAGAGTGTAAGAATGATCTGTTTGTACTTACGGTAGGTCCTTCTTTTTGCCTACAGTGCCCATGAAGAATATGTTGTTGTATCCTCCTGAGTGATCTGCGGTCCCAGCACTCTGTCTGTACCCCATCCTGGGAATAAAGGCTCAACCAGAGGCTGATTATTGGTCTACACCCAAACACACCTCCCTGTGCCCAGTTCTGCAAAAAAACTTACACATCATGCACATAGATCTTCTATCCTCTCCCCAACCCCCCCCCCAAATAGACCTGGGGTTCTGCAACAATGCAATGTCTATGATAACCCCCTGCTGTCTGAAGGTTCTAAAGATGTAACAGCACTGATACACAGAACAATAAACAGAACTTCTCCCCCTTACTTCTGACAAGTTAAACTGATACCCAATGCCTTCCCCCTCCCATTCACACACACTCACTCTCCTCCCACTCAAATCACACACACAATGATGTTGAATTAACCCTTATGTGTCACACACATTCACAATGTCACCAGTCTGACTTGCAGCAAATCGATACATAGTAAATCCAGAATGTCACCAGTCTGACTTGCAGAAAATCTATATACTGCATCCCCTCCCCCCTGCTCTCACAGTGCACCCCACCAAACAGACATTATAATGGGAGGTGTCATTCTTTACTTCTGTATCTACACTGAAATTCAGAGGGAGAGCAGGGATTTGATTGTAATTTATATCCATGATAAACAGAACACAATGTATTATACCCGTGGTCTCCCAACCTGCTCCTCATCCATACTACATCCTTATGCCAGCGGTTTAGTTGGCTCATATTATGGTGCCACATACATTGGACTGTCCACTGAAAACTACATTGGGCTCACGCTCACATTTTATAGGCGATACTAAATGGCTAATTTTGCTCCATCTAACCAACGTTCCCTTTATTCAGTACACTTGCGGGGGTACTAACTGTGTAAACAATCATTACAGCTCGGGTGCTTTGTTCTGATTTGTGTGTATAGATCAGGGCTCAAAAGTTTCACTTGCCATTAACCCTGGCGAGTAGAAATTCACCCCTGATGAGTATGCCATAGACCAGGGGTGCTCAATAGGTCATTCTAAAAGCATGCAAAGCATCTTGGGAGTTGTAGTTCTACAACTTCTGATGATCTACCTCCTGGGCACCCCTGCCATATACCCTCCAGACTTGCAGTGGCAAGTAGCTAAGCCTGGCTAGTGGTGTAGTACATTTTTGTTTTGGGCGTTTTTTCACACTTCAATAGGATATACCAGGGTGAGGAAACTAGGAAGGTCATTTGCAAAGAACCAAACGCTCTCTAGAACATCATTCTTGTGAACTTATTACTTCATCTTCTAACGGAACACTATCGTGTCAGAAATACAAACACGGCTCCACCCCGTCACGCCATGGCTGAGACTATCAAACTCAATGATCTCAGCTAATCCAATGCTTTCCCATCGGAAAGCTGTGGGAGGCCATATTGCACGTGTTCAAAAACCTCTTCTGTACCAATCAGCATTTTCTCATTCAGATGCATTGAATCAATGCATCTATATGGGGAACGTTCATGTCTCTATACAGGGCGCGAAGATGCTTAACGTAGGCAGCACTGAACTAGGAAGCACCTCTAGTAGCCGTCTGAGTGACTATCACTAGAGGTGTTACCAGGCATCAATGTAAACACGGCCTTTTCTTTGAAAAGGACGTGTTTACATTGAGAAGCCTGCAGGGACTGACTATATACATCGGAACCTCTAAATTTAGCTGTAGTGGTTCTGGTGACTATAGTGTCCCTTTAAATTCTTTATAGTTCAATAACACTAAATATCCTCAATAATATTGCCTCAAAAAACTTTTTACAAAAAGATGTAAAAACAAACACGATTTTGAAATCCAATTCAACCTGTAGCAACAAGTTTTTATTGTCTCAAGCACCTGAAACACGTTTTATTCACCATATTGGCGAATAGGTGCTTTAAGGTTGTCTTAGGTAGCAATAAATGCATTCACATAGATTCTTATGTTCACATTGAAACTGTTAATTAGTTTGGCATAAAATATCACAAAATGTGATGAACATTTTTGTTAATTCAGTACACTTATTTTACCCCCATCAGTTTAAGAAATGTTATTTATGAAACATACTTAATTCGATTCAAAAGCAAAACAAAAACAAAACAAAAAAAACAAGCAACATGAGCTGGCAGAAATCACCCAAAGAATTAAAAGAAAAACAAACACTAAGAATATTTTTTTTCTCTCTTTTTAAGTGTCTTTTTATTGTGTAGATTAAGGCAGTAGAAACAAATATACAACTGGCATCAAAACACAAGTGAACTACATTTTTTACAGTAAGTGCGCCTCAGCAATGGTCAGCTCGTAATGAAAATAAATGTATATAAAAGGCTTAGATCCATCTGTAAATAACCTCAGTATACGCAAAACATCCACACTATGCCCTGTAGACAAAATTGTTCAGCTAATTAACCTTAATCTCTGAGTAAACATTAAGAAAGAACAATTGTAGACATAATCAATGTGACGGAACATTCTGCCTGCTTTTCAGTAAGGTGCAACACTGCACCAGGAACCAAGGGTGACATATTCAGAAAGTCCCATATGTGACACATTTCAGCTGCTAATGATGTGCAATAGGAAAAAATAAATAAAAATAAAATAGTTTTGTACTAATTTGTTATTTCTTTAATTTCAGTTCATTCAAGATTCAGAAATGTTCAGTTTGTAACAAAATGAAATTAAAGGGACACTATAGTCAGCAGAACAACTACAGCTTATTATATTTGGTCTGGTGAGTATAATCATTCCCTTCAGGCTTTTTGCAGTGATCACTGTTTTTTTTCACGAAAAATGCAGTGTTTACATTACAGCCTTGTGATACCTCCACTGGCCACTCCTCAGGTGGCTGCTGGAGGTGCTTCCTGGGGCAGTGCTGCCAAGTGTGACTGACATTCAGTGTCTCCACCCTCTGCATGCAGACACTGAACTTTCCTCATAAAGATGCATAGATTCAATGTATCTCTACGAGGAGATGCTGAATGGCCAGGGCTGTGTTTGACTCGTGCTGGCTCATTGACAGTCTCAGCCAATCTTATGTGAAAGCATTGTGATGGGTTGAGAGAATCACTTCTAATGATGATAGCCAAGCAGGTAGATTAGGGGAGCCAGCAGCAGACTTGACTAAAAGTAAGATTTCACTATATCTAGGGGGGCATGGGGGACTAAGGGTGCTGGATGGTGGTTTTAACACTATAGGGTCAGGAATACAGCTTTGTGTTCCTGACCCTATAGTGTTCCTTTAAGGTCAAAAATGGTTTTCCAAATTTCGGATGCCATTATTCCAAAGTATTCTGAAGTAAAAGCAGCTTAAAGATACAAATTAATAAATAAAGGTATATTTCTTTTTCGTGGAAGGTCCACTCAAATGCATGGAGGGGTTCCCGGAACACACCCCACCTTTGTGACTGATGCACGTCAGCGCGGAGACAGGCACAGACGACCGTGGCAGCTCATGTACAAACGCCATGGCCGAGGACAGATGCTGATCCAAAGCTACACCACACTTATTGCTACACCCCGCCGAGGTGCCCCTGCTTGGAGCGCCGACTTTGCAAGTGCAGTCCACGTGCATCAAGGTTGTCCCAGAGGCTCGATCCTATGGCACGCTATTGCTGGACTCATGTAGACATTCAGCAGGGACACAACTCTAGTCAGGGATTGTGGGGTTCCCCTTCATAACTTGGCACATGCAGGCCTCCATTGTTGTGTTTCCCCAACCTAAGGTGTAGGCTAGATAAAAGCAAGCTTACATGGGCAGCACTCACCTAATCCCGATCACAAACCTTTTGGGAACCCGCTATGTTTTGTTGCCCACCAGATGATTTTATGACCCATTGATGCTACCACGTTTATATAGTCTTTCAACATATACATGAGTCAGTTTATCTACAAGTCTCCACCTCATGTGCCTCAGTATAGTATCAAAACATTGACCCAGTGGTTCCCTACATCAAGTAAATCACGTCTCTCAAACACTCACTCCTGTACGTCATGTTAGATAACTTATATATGCTGATTTTCAATTGCAATGCTTCTGTCAAATGTTAATGTGAATGTGCCTGCTTCTGCTATCGTGGCAATGAAGACATACTTGTATTTATAAGCACAACAAAAATAAAGAACTAAAAAAAACAAAAACTATACATGGAAAAAGAAGCCTTAATTTTGATCTTTCAGCTGTTTAGTAGATAGTTCCCTAATTTGATATCCTATCCATACGTGGTATTGCTTTTTAAAAAAATTTTTTAAGGATACCAAATCAAGGAGCTATTTGCTAATTTGGTATGCTTAAATAGGGCAATCTCACACAAGGGACTCCATTTAGGGAATTATCTACTAAACTGTTGAATAGCAAAAATAAAAGCCTATTTTCTTACATGTGCTCTTTCAGTTGTTTAGTAGATTAGTCCCTAGTTTGGTATCCTCAAAATAGCAACCTCACATAAGGGTATCAAATTAGGGAGCTATCTACTAAACAGCTGGAAGAGCAAAATAAAAAGCCATTTTCCCTAAATGTGCTATTTGAGTTGCTTTGCAGAGAAGTCCCTAATTCCCTAATTTGCTATCTTGAAAACGAATGGTTAAGAAATTATTTATTTGTCTTCATTCCAAATTTGTTTGTTTCTCAGAATTTGGCTCACAAACAAAATGAATTGGACATGTCTAGTAGCGTACACTTTTTGGGGGAAAAACCCTGAAACACCAAAACAGTCTAAATATCTTGAAAAGTTTTTTATTATTATTTATTTATTTATTTTTTAGCAACTTCCCATAATGTAAATTATTGGCCTCATGTAGGACAATAAGGGAGTGCTTGCGGTCCCATCTGTAGCCATATCTTTAACCCACAGACGTTGCATCTCTAGCAGTAAGAATTGCATCATAGCTTAGGGAACCTTGAAATGTGCAATGGGGTGTCTCGATGTCCTCAATATACCCCTTTAGGATGGAGACTTCCTCTCTCACTAGTAAGAGCTATTTTCAAGTCTATTTGGAAAAAGGTTCCAAATAGGGCACAAATATCCAGCAGGAGTGCCTTTATGTCACAATTATTTACATAGCGCCACCATATTTCACAGCAATGTACAATAGCTAAAACAAGACAAACCATTCTACCAAAAAAACTAATTTGACATACGGGAAATGTAGGTGAAGAAAGAAGGCCCTGCCCAAACAAGCTTAGAAATACGCAGAGGGAAGGGAGGAAATCTGGATATACCTGAAAAGGATAGGAGAGGGTGTTTGGGAGGAGCAAGCACAGCAGAAGAAGGTTAAGGGAGTTAAAGGAACACGATGGAGTTAGGAATTCCACAGTCCTGGTGTCCTTTACATTGGGGTTTAGGGGTAGGGGGTTAGGACAGGTGGAGCAGGACTGCAGACTAAGATGAAGTTGTTAAAGTGCCTACAGTGTCCCTAAGGGGTGAGTGAATAGACTTCTCTAAAGAAGTTTGTTTTTCAAGATTTACAGGATTGTTTGGAGTACTGCAGAGATTGGGAGAGTTGATT